TTTAAACATCTATTCAGACGATCCGTAAGACACTTGTTTTATGTCGAAAGAAAACGTCGTGAGGAAACCTGTATGTCTGAGAGAACCTAGCAAGTTTTCGAAAAACATGTGAAGTCCGCTAACCCGCACTTGGCCAGCGTGGTGGACTATTGCCTGATCTCCCTCGTACCGGGAAGTCCGTGTCCAGCCGTGGGACGTTATTAATGGCTGAATATTCTGGTATTGGTGGCATGTCTAGTTTGCACTGCTTACATGGATATTGCAAAATTTAGTACGCTAATAGGCTATCTTACGCTATTTAAGCAGCCAGGGACAAGCCAAAGCGAAGCGGGGGTAAATCGCTAGTGTTTAATAATCTGCTGATATGATATCGAAATATTGACAATAATTATAGCTTTGTAAGCCGCGAGGTCTGTCGACCGCTAAGGTTGCCGCTGTGTTTAGAGTTCAGTTTCCTTTACATATTTCCTGTTTAAATATGTATATATGTATATAAAGAACTAGTGTTTTCTTACGACTCCATCCATGTCGTTTAATTATAAATAGTTATTCTTTACTCCGATCTCCTAGTTCATAGCGTGAGCTATAGAACTCAAAAAGTTTTTTTTTTAATCGGAAATTAGTAGGTATAGATAGCGGGCAATGGTTGATAAACATTAGGTCAACGACCCAAACAATTTTTCTCATAAAAGTTCTGTATATGTTGAGATTATTGTTGTTGTTGCTTCCAAATTCTGGCCAGCCCTGGGTCTATATTTTCTTCTTATGACTAAACTAGATAAAAAGCTCGGTACGTTTTAACGGTTAGTATGAAATACAAATCTTTGAATTTTTCAGCTTTTCTGTACTATAATATACATGTTTTTTACATATAAACCTTCCTCTTGAATCTCTATCTATATAAAAAACCACATCAAAATCCGTTGCGTAGTTTTAAAGATCTAAGCGTACATAGGGACAGACAGACAGCGTAAATTAAATTAAATATTTAAGTACAATTCATATAAATTATACATCTGTTATCAATTATTACTAAAACTCACTGTTCTAGTCACTACACAAATAATAAGAAGGATGTCTCCTTTTTTATACTGATTATGATTGAGATGATGATGATTGATATGACTGAGATGATTATGATTATTTTATATGAGAAGATACACTACTAATTATTATAACATTATTTAACATACATATATGCAACAAACTAATTACCTGAATAAGATAATTATTATGTGAAGAATGAGAATGAGTGTAAAATATTTATAGTCATCGTTTTATAATGTTGTTATGATATGTGCACCACTATGACGCAGTGACGCCGAGTCTGACTGATGCTATCGTGGACACAGATTCGATTTATAAGTGAAATTGTATGAAGCAACTGTTACATAAATCATAAATTTATAAAATTCTGATTAATAACTTCATTTATTTAGGGCAGACTGCCTCGCGGTGACAACCGCCTGTTTACAATGTTAAAACTAAAAAAAAATGAGAGCTTTGTCATATCTATGAGGATAACAACTGCTTATGAAAAAATTATCCTTTTTTTTAGGGATGACATGACATCGTCGATAACCGTCCCGAGCGTCACCCTTAGCTAGGTACGCCACTGACATTTTCATTCAAAAATACCCTTACTCCTTGGCCTTTAAGGTCGTAGCAAGACAGCTGATTAATTTTTAGCGCTTAAAGTCGATATTAGTATTTTGCGGGGTTTAAAGGTTCACGAGTACATTTGGTACTATAAAGTAAATATATATATATATATATATATATATATATATATATATATATATATATATACTAGCGGCTCACCCTCGCTTCGCTCGGGTTCACCTCTAGAAAAGCACAAACAGATCTATCCTACGGGAACCGTTCATTTTTCCGGGATAAAAATAAGTAACCTGTTGTTTGATCTGCAATATAAGGTATCAGCATTCCAAATTTTACTAAATTAGGTGCATAAGTTGTTCTGTACTGAGCTGTATAAGTTACTATAATTTTTTAACTATCCCACGGGAACTCTTTAATTTTCCAGAATGAAAAGTATCAAATTTCATTTAAATAGGTTCAATAGTATCGGAGATTAGCCCGTACGAACAGACAGTAAGAAGAGAACTGACTTGTTTTTTAGCAATTTTTTCTACCATCTATGTACAGTCATTCGACCTCTACAGTTTTATTATTCATATATGTACCTATATTCAGATAGAATAAATAACGTATAATAAAACAGAAATATATAATAATGAAAATAGTTATAGCTAGTGTACCTTAGGAGATAGACATATACTATGTAGAACTTTTCTTAGACCTTTTTAAGACTTACAATTTTCTTGTACAATGTTTTGATCTATCTCTTAAGCCGCGTATCGGCACTTCACAATCCTCTTAAGGTTGAGCCAACGTTAGCCATATAAATTTCTAAGGACAATTCGAAAGAACCAGTTATTGTATTTTCCCGTGGGAATGAATAATTTGCCTGTCGTAAAAAGTATTCTAAATGTTGACCCGAGCACTAAGTTTTATCACTATACAAAATGAAGTTAAAATCGGTTGAGTACTTTTTGCGTGAAACGCGCACATCGATTTGACTAAGTTTTATTATAGGTATAGATAAGAATAAATATTGTGAGTGTAACTTAGGAGATAGACATATACTATTCAGAACTTTTCTGTAGGACTTTTGGACCTTTTTTTTTTTGTTGGACCTACAATTTTTTAGTATATTGTTTTGATGTATGTCTTAAGGCTTAGCCAGAGGAAGGTTTCTAGGGAGGACTCGATAAAACCAGTTATTATATTTTCCCGTGGGAAAGAAAGATTTTCTTTAAGTAAAAGGTATCTAGGCAGTGGTATCCCAGTGGTAACGCGCTCGCTTGGAAAACCGAGTGAAGCAAGTTCAAATCCCGGGTCTAGCACCTCTGATATTGGCCAGCGTGGTGGTCTATGGCCTGATCCACCTCGTACTGAAGGGAGGCCCGTGCGTGTGTTAAAAAGGGCTGAATACAACATACATACATACATACATACATACATACATACATACACACATACAAAAGGTATCCTAAATGTTGACTCGAGTAATAAGTTATCACTTCACCAAATTTCGTTGAAATTGGTACATTACTTTTCGCGTGAAACGCGCACACAAAAACAGACAAACAGACATACAGGCAAACAGACAAACAGACATTTTTTTAATAACTATCGTTTTGGGGTCTATGTTGTGTACATAATACGTTACAAATAAACAAAAACATCTATCCCACGGGAAAAGTACGTTTTTCCGGGATAAAAAGTGACCTATTTGTTATTCTGATGTATGAACTATATTATTGTAAAGTTTCATCAAAATCCAATCAGTGGTTTTTGTGTACTAAGCTGTATAAGTTACTATAGTTTTTTGACCATCCCACGGAAACTTTTTAATTTTCCGGGATGAAAAGTAGCTGATTTGTTTTTGTTATGTATGAACTATATTATTGTAAAGTTTCATTAAAATCCAATCAGTAGTTTTTGTGTAGTAAGATGTATAACTTGTTATAGTTTTTTAACTATCCCACGGGAACCCTTTAATTTTCCAGGATGAAAAGTTCTAAGATGTTGCCCGGGGATATAAGGTACCACCATGCAAAATTTCATTTAAATAGGTCCAATAGATCCGGAGATTAGCCCGTACAAAGAGAAAAACAGATAAACAGCTCGCTCGGGTTCGTCCATACATACGAATATGTTGTATTATCTCTTTAACCATTTGTCCAAATTATATGCAGTAAAAGGGAAAAGTCTTTTATTTTAAGCATTTTAGACGATAAATTTACTTATTATGATAAGAATTCATAATTGTTGATAATATGACCAATAAACATGACCTACCGATTTAAATGATTTTTTTAATATAAAAAACTACTTTTTGTGACTTAAATATAAAAGTTAGACATATGCTGTCGCTGACTTTTTTGTAGGCATTAATAAGCTCTACAACTTTTCTCTAGAACATAATCATATATCTCTCATCGTTAAGGCAGCGTTCGTAAGAAACGTTTTCGTTCGACCGTTTTTTCTCCGACTTACTTTGCAAATCCGACTACCACGAAAAAGCCTTTTCATTTTTCGGATTAATATATAGCCTATGACACTCAGAAAGAACGTGGCTTTCTTTTGGTAAAAGAATTTTGAAAATCGGTTCAGTAGATCCAGAGATTATCCCCTACAACGTCACAAACTCACAAACTCACAAACTCACAAACTCACAAGATCACAAACTTTACCTCTTTATAATATTAGTATAGATAACTCTATGATAATATGTGTTATTTACATACGTCAGAAGATTGTGTTGTTTATTATACATTATTTATTTCCACTTTCTCAGACTGCTTTCATAATATAACTCAAGCTATGTTTCAGTTTGATTTGTTATTTGCAGGATTTGTATACATAAGCCAGTGCTTATCTACTGCTTATCAACCAAATGTTTTTCTCACTGCGTCTACGTACTGCAACTATTTAATTATTAAAGTGAGATAAAAAGTGTAATTTGAATTATGTATACATCCATTGTCATGAAGCTTCCTTAAAACTGAGAAAAATAGCTTCAAGTTCATCCAAACAAAACAACGCAATTAAATAATTTCAAGAAAATTCTCACGTTATAGACAACACTCAATTCGAACCGCCATCGTCAGTTTGTCACTGAATGCCGCGAAAAAAACATCAAATCTAATCTTAAGTATTTCTCTTTTTAAAATATTGTTTAATTAAATATTATTTTATACAATATAAAAGTTCTGATATTTTAATTATTATTAACATCATATTTAGTTCATTTTGTACCGAAATAAAACACGTAAACACCTGTTTTAGCGTACAGTTGCGTTTAAAGTTATTCTAAAAATAGGTAATCAATAAATAAAAAGGGTTTTTATAAAGGCTGGATGTTTCATCCCATGCAGTTGTGTTTTGAGGATCGTGCGGAAAGGACCTTCACCATGTCACTCCACCGGTTAGTGTTTTTTAATTCCCGAGCATGTTCAAATAACGGCATATATTTCTAAAAAAAAGATAGAAAAATACTAACTTTATAATTAATAAAATTTTCAAAAAGAATATTTTTTAAACAATCAAAGTAAATAAATATTTACAGATATCTGTATATTCTAATAAAATACTAAAAAATAAATAGTTTTATTTGCAATGCTATGTACAATAAAAATTATAATTTAGAAAAAAACTTAATTTATTACATAGAATTGCTTGCTTTTAGCCTGTAAAATTTTTTGATTTATCTGTACAGATAAATAAAATTGAAGTTTCTGTTTGTAATGTAAAGCTTTTTACTAAAGGTTATGAAAGTATAGACAGTACTTATAAGAAAAACATTTTTTTTTTAATTTTAGTCTGTCTACTTGTTTGTTCCGCCTACACTCGGAAGCTGCTGGACTAATTTTAATGGCGCTTTCACTGGCAGATAGCTGATGTTATAAGGATCAACTTGGGCTAGTTTTATTTAAGAAAAAGAATTAGGGTCCCGTTCCAAAAATTAAAACGTACCTAGGGACGCACCCAAGCGAAGCGATGGTAAGTCGCTGGTGGATGGCAAGTATATAAAATACATTTAGCTTTTTTTGTATTAATTAGCATCATCCATTTAACAAAATGAATGGCAAATGTTAGACACAGTTTTAATTACTTAGATACATTATGCGTTTAACGCTCTACAACAATGTAATATCTACAGTAACTGTGAAGTAGTTTACAAGGAAAAATTTAAAAACGTGCGAAAATATCCATATTTTCTATTATATAATTATTAAATTTACAATGTTTATCGAACACTACAAACGTTAACTGTCGTTATAACATTGTATTGATTATAACATCATATTTCTATTTAATACAAGCGACTTACCCACGCTTCGCTCGGGTGCGTCCCTATACTCGCGGGATTTCGTTCACAATTTCATGGCTTTTAATTTTTTGCGCGGAACCATGGTTCTTTTTTTAAAAATAATGGTCGAAGTTATGTCGTATATCATCAGCTATCTGGCAGTGAAAGTCTCATCAAAATTGGTCCAGCCGCTTCGGAGATTTGCCGGAACGAATGGACAACCAGACAAAAAAAAATAATTTTTTTTCTTATTAGAACCGTATATACTTTACTATACATATAGTAAAAAGCTGTTATTTTGACATTACAAACAGACAATTCAATTTTATTTATCTGTATATAGATTGGTTAAAAAATTATTTGAATCGATTCACAGTTGGTGAAGACACAATACACGAAAAAAGCTCGAATTGTTCATTTTATTCCTTTTGAAGCTGTATAAAAAAATTCTTTCGTCTCATTTACATTTATTCAGAATCTAAGAATAGTATAGAAATTACTTTCTATACTTTACTAGGAATTCCGTAGAGTCCACAAAGAATAAAACAAATATTACCTGACCATCAATAATAATTAAATATACAAAAAAATTACAAATGTATCTAGATATTAATAGAAATATCGATCACTTTATCTTCTAAATAAATAAAAATGAATGTTCGTATATTGCCCTCATTGCGTTCCTAAACCATTTTTGCGATCCTAAGCCATTGATCCGATTGTGATGAAACTCTGGTGGCTTATTCTGCGAAGGTTCCTGACACAAAAACGAAAGGCTTTTTCTTTGGACATTTGTCTTTTATGCATTCATAAACCCTTCGAGCTTAGGGACACATGAAAATCACTAACATAAATAGGTTTAAAACATAAAATCCATGACACCTACAGATAATGAATCAAACTTCATGTTCACCTGTTAATTTATAATTGCGTTTTTATGATAATTTTAATGAATAGATACTAAGTTAGTTAATTACTCTCGTGTTTTCATATAATTGGCGTATAGCTCTGTTCCCGCCTGTTACCGCGGTATTGTTCTGACACAATGCGAGATTTTTTACCAACGTTGCGTTCGCCGATATGTTCGATGAATGTTAAATATATTTATGACATACTTCTCACAGATATTGTCATTGATTTCTACCTGTAATGGCATTCCTTACAGGTTACATTTGCGTGAGGCCCACTTCCTTCCACAAAATGTATGAACTCTGAACAATAATTCCACAAGGAAGCTATATTCAGTTGATATCAAATTATAATCTATATTAATATTATAAAGAGGTAAAGTTTGTGAGATTGTTAGTTTGTGACGTTGTAGGGGGTAATCTCTGGATCTACTGAACCGATTTAGATGAAATTTGGTAAGATGATAGTTTGGGACTCTGGGAAGGACATAGGATACCTTTTCTCCCGAAAATCATCCCTTAAGGGGTTGAAATTGGGATGAAAGTTTGCATTGGGAATCAAGCTAGGGACGAACCCGAGCAAAGCGAGGGTGAGTCTCTTGTGTTAAATAAAGCGTTCTCTAGGGCTCTGGTGTTTATTAATCAGTCAGCCAGTCAATCAGCCAGAACTCATAAAAAGTTTAGCCATATTTTCTCAAATGTAGTCAGAAAACATGTCCCTGCAGCAGAGGTCGCAAATTAGACTCTTACTCATATAATATAAGCCCACAATTTTATTTTTTTAGAACTTTGAAAAGTACTAATATTTTTTGTTATTATAATTTAATAACTATATGGCTCCGCTGGCGCTAATATTTGCTTTCACATGCTTACTATAGATACATGAGTTGACAGGACAAAATTCGGCCGAACGAATTTTCTCCTTTGCGTTTTTTTATATTTGAAGTAAAAATTTTGTCATTTTTTTCTTTGCAGTTTTTTTTGTTTCTGAAGTTTTGATTGCTTTACAGCAAACATGGTCATGAGAAGCTTAATCGTCTCTTCCAATAAAAATATAAGAAAATATTACAGTAGGTATTACTTGAGAGGTTAATGAAATTATTTGTATATAATACAAAGATAAGTCTGTATATTATTCCCAAATATCGTATGAGAACATCTAGACGCGTGCGTGGAATAAACTGAACAAAAAGGTATAAACAATATTGTTTTGTCTGTAAATGAACAGATAATATTTCATTTAGTATCTATTGTTATAACATATTATAAACCGAGTAACTTATCTAATGCAAACTTATAATAGCATAGCTCTATTTTTTTCTATATAAGACTTTAAAATATATATCAAACAATATAACTACGTAAATTAAATAATACAACTAAAAAATGATGGTAGCGCATTGCCTACAAAGTCGAAGTAATTGAGAGTTTAATTCCCAATTTCTACGCGCGATAAATGTTTATTGATCTTAACTTCTTAGGATTGTGAAAAAGGATAAATAAAATTTTATCATACAGGATAATGACCGGGGACCCTCTGAAATTCCATCCAATACCAAAAAGGATTTATTTTTCTATTTTTTTTTCCTGTGGAATAAATTACTTTGTTAGAGAATATCATATATGCGTGATAATGTTTATCAGTTAATATAAGTATTTTTTTGAGTTCTAAATAATATAAATCCACAACAAAATAGATTATGCAATATTGATTCTAAGTCCAAATATAGTTTTTTATTCTATAAAATTTCAATTGAATAAATGTTGTAAAATTAGGGAAAGTCTGAGCTACTGTTGTTATAACCTTGAACCGTTATTGCAGTACCTACTAAAATTAACAAGTTGCGGGGAATTTACAATTTTTTTTTGTGCAGAATTTATTAAATAATAAAAAATTAAAAAGCCTTCTTTTAACTAATGTTAGGTAAATATAAACAAATAACATAAACGATAAATAACATAGACGAGAGTCGCAAAAACCAATCGAAACTTAAAGTTTAACTATAGCTATTAAAGAGTTTCACTGTCATCCTCCTGGCTACGTCATCAGATCAGCTTAATAGTAATCAAATTATTATATTATCCATCCATCCAATTTTCTTCTTCTTCCTGTACTTCATTGCTGAAGGTCGTGCTTGTCCTGGAATGTTTGCACCGATTTGTTGACTATCTTCCTCCACACCATCATCATCATCACCATCCATCCACATTGTTAATAAAAATCTTAATTGCACTTTTAGACAAAAAATCCTATTTCTATATGTACAAAATCTATATGTACAGAGAAATAAAATTGAAGTGTCTTTATGTCATGTCAAAATAGCAGCAAATAACTACTTAAAATAAAAACACAATTTTTAAATTTTTTGTCTATCTGTCTGTCCGTCTGTTTGTTCCAACTGATCTCTGAAACGGCTGTACAGATTTTGACGGGACTTTTACTGGCAGATTGCTGGTGTTATAAGGAGTAACGTAAACTACTTTTATTTTAAAAAAGGAATTAGGGTTCCGCACAAAAAAATTAACACGTACTTAGGGGCACACCCGAGCAGAGCGAGGGTAAGTCACTAGTCTTAAAAGATTATTAACTATCCGCAAAATAGACACAATAGCTAAACAATCCAAATGTTCATATATGACTCATGGGATAGGGATTTTTTTTTTATTTCTAATAAATGTGTTACATATATAACAATACGAAAAAAATATACTATCGGATATTGAAAGCAGGACGGAAATTAGTGTCTATTTATTTGTATCTAATAAATAAGCTACTAAGCTTGGATACATTAAACCTGTTAAAAGAAAAAATCGATATTGAAATCGGAATATTTTATCGGGTCAAAGACATTGAAAACTAACAACACTACTAATTTACAAAAAACAACTCCATCATATTCCATCTTTTTTTTTGTATATCTATAAAAACAACTCTAAAACGTATACCAACCTAATTAAAATTTATTATTTCTCATTTATTTTATGTTATAAACAAAACTGGTTCGATTCTTGATATTTGTGGGTTACATTGACTCGAAATAAAACTTGTTATTTAATACTTGCTTATTTAAAAAAAGATTAAATAATAATATTCTTTGTTTTCAGAATCATATTTTCAGTGCTTCTATACACGTGTACAGTAAACCCTGCGCCTCAGGAATCCAACGTGACCTTTCTTAAGATACAACCATATCAAGAATACGTCCCCCTCGCCAGCAACCGGTCATCTAGATATGAAAATCAACCAATAACAATAAGCAGCTTTAATAATTTAGCAAAAAATAATTCAAATGTAGACTCTGTCACGACATTTAATGCTGAATACGACGCCAAAATCGAAATACTTAACCAAACAAGCAATTTTTCGTTTGAAAATAACGAATTTTTGCGTCACGTTAGGAGCGATGACATCACAACCGAGTTCGACCAATCAGAAACGACAACAGATCAGGATATAATTACCGAAGACGACATCACAACCATAATTTTACCCAAAACAACGACTACTATACGACCGGTACCGAAATTTCTGCCCAAATTAAGTTATTTGAAAAAATCGAAAAAGAATAGCGTGTCTACAAACTCCTTAAACACGTTTATTGTAAAAACAAATAAACCTTATAAAAGGAAGTTTAAAAGTAGATGCAGGTGTGAGAAAATAGAAAATTGTCCGAAATTACAAATCACCGTTCCAAGGTGTCCTGATGAATACTTTCTGTGTTGCTTTTAAAAGAACTACCTACTGCAGCGTATATTTTTATGGATAAATTTCATGTACATTATTATATGTATGTAAATAGGTATTTTTGCTGCCATTGTCATTGCAATTTGGTAGTTAAGTAATCTGTGAATTTTTAACTTTTAGCAAAGATCAAAAATAAATTTCATAAAATGTTAAGAAAATGAATGTATAATTATATTCAGTCAGCCGTTTTAGGGTGCCGTAGCCAAATGGCTACAATGGAACTCCTATAATTTTGTCATGTCCGTCTGTCCGTATGTCAGTCATTTTACTCGAAGACTATTAAAGCTACATTGTTAAAATTTAGTAGGTCTATATCCTATAAGAACCGCTCGACAGTTCTATAGTCAGATTACGAAAAATAAAAAATAGGGTCCATACATGTAACTGACGGGTGACAAAAAAGTCTACATAAACACGTGGGGTAGCTCTGGACAGGTCTCACGCTGGACACGGACCTATCCTCAATGCGAGGAGATCAATAAAACTAATTAGAGCATACTTCCTCACATTGTTTTTCTTCACCATAAGGTTAAGACCCAAGATTTGAACAATTTCATTTAGTTTTCCAAACATGAACTACTACTAAGCTACTGTCCTTTTTAAGTAAATATCTAGATATCATAATTTTCTTTAACTAAGAATGATATGTATTTTAATTTCCGCCTATAATAAAATATTTTATTCTATCATCGTGTCCTGTCTAATCCCACCGATATCTTTAACCATATAGAACTCTGGAATCTGATAAAATGAATTTGACAGTTGCCAACAATTTATGTTTCTTTTATAATTCGAAATAATTTAATCATGTACATAATTTATTTTGGGTAAAATACATTTTATAGGAATATTTTTTTGGTTTAATAAAGTGAAAGTTTAGATTTAAATATTTATCAACAATTTAACATTATTTATGGACATTTAGCATTTATCTTTTTTCATTTAGTATATACGTTTAACTGAATATTAGTGACTGTTAATTGGACATAGTTATGCAAAATGGATCCAGCCCAAGAAAACCGTTTTTTGAGTTACTGTCCTATATAGCACCTAAATATAAATTTATATACAGAAATGAAATAACCAATATTTAAGAGAAATTTAAAAAAAGCTACGGTCTTGTTATTTTGATATACCAATTTTACTACAGCTTCTATTTTCTCAAAAGTAAGTTTTTGTGGATTTATTTTGCATAACTACGTCCAACAGTCACTATTATCCAGTAGGAAAAATATGTAAATTAAATAAATAATAATAAAGGTTGTTTTATTTGCATTATATGTTTACATGATATTTATGTAATATTCTATCTTTATCCATCATTTACCCTTCAATACACATCATTTTATAGAATGTAATTGATTTCAATTAAAAAAATAAAACGCTATATTAAAATAATAATATCCATTTATTAATTGATAAAAAATACACAAAAATATATGAAGGCAGTCATTTATATTTACATTTTTAATTCATACATCATCTATAATATATGAACTTAGTAGACTTATGATGGTTTTCAATAACCTATCTAACGAGGCTTTCCTGACATAAACTCCATACAAATTATCTCAAATTTCTATCGCTACAGGGAAAACCATAGATATGTAGGTTATAAGAACCGCCAATAACAATATATAAACTTAACTTAAGAGATATACAAGTTTGAGTATTGAAACTAATATAAAAAAATTTGATTTGAAACATTTATATGAAAAATTAACTATAAACAAGTGTACACATTCGATATTTTAAGCGTTGAATATTTTCATAAAGATTTTTGCTTCCTCTATTTAAGCTACCTTTTATTTAATTTATATAAAATAATAAAAAATAATAAAATATAAAGCAATATGTACAAACTTAAATATATATGTTTATATATAAAATGTCAAATGTGATCACTGTTGGTCTAAAAATATATTATAAATTAGTAAATACAGAATAATTTTTTTATAGGTACGTTATATTGATCATATTTTTTCACATATAAACTTTAATTACAAATTAAAAAAAATTAATTCCACAAATTCTTAAGAGGCTTGGCCTCAAATCATACAATAATAAAATTAATAACAAATCACATACATGCATATACCCAATAATATGTGAGAAATACCACGTAGATTTTAATCACAGTCTTGCCAGTAACCATTTTTTAATAGAATTATTTTTGTAATTATCTGAATTAATTATACAAAGAGAACCAGCTCAATGAAAAACAAAATCTTAAATTATTATATCTGTGACAATAAAGAATTCAATATTATATAATATATTTTATTTATTAATCATAGACTATATAATATATTTTATTTATTAATCATAGGCTCAGAAAGTATCTCAGAATATAAAGCAATTTATACTAAAAATATAATACTTCTAAACTAAAATGTTAACAATTCAAATAATATTGACAAGGACAAGAACGAAACCATAAACAAACAGATTGGATTGACCGCCGTTCTCAAGAATTAAAGCACTAAATGAACAGATCATGTGTCTTTCAAATATTTTTTTATATTGTGAAATAGGTTATTTAACACAAAAAATACTTAGACTCACACAAAAAAAATATACTGACACAATTAATTTAATGCTAATTGGCGTCGCTTTGTCTCGCTCACACTTACCTATCCTCAACAGTTCTCAACAGGATAATTTCCGCTCTATCCATTCTCTTAGTCTATGGTCTGACATTCATTCAATGAAATACTGGCAAAAAGCATTAGTTTTTTCATAATATATTATACATGGAGGTTTTTATAATATATATTTGTTGTGTAAACGACCAGTCATTATGAAAAAGGCACCATTTAGTACATCACAAGTTAAGAAAGAAGTTTAAATAACATCTGAATATATTGACCACATACAAGACATTGTTATTTATATTGCTATGTGAACATAACGAGTTTATATGAAGAATAAAAAAGCAGACCGAGATTCATACATAAATATAATTTATACATATATTCAGAAAAAAATTAAGTAGCTAAAATGACTAAAGGAAAACATTTAAATGTAATAAATTGCTGTATAAATTAAGTATAACCCGCATCAATAAAGAAACTAATCTAAAATGGCGGCACCGAACATACTCTCTCACTTGCACTCTATTGCTAAAAGAGTTTCGCTGACCTTATCATCATCTGTCAAACTGCAAGTACGTTTTAGATTTATTTCTTTAATGGCGCGAGTTATAAATATTTAGATGTATCATGTTTGGATGTCCATTTGTTTAAAGTAACAATGTCGTAGCTCAGTTTTTGGTAATTTGGAATAATATGGAGTTTACATAATTTATGATTAATTTTTGTTTTACAGCATTGAGTTACTACATTGTTATATTAAACAAGATTAAGTAAATGCTTTATGAGAAGGTGAAGAAAAAGACGTAATATTTTTTAACGCAAAGGAGAAAGTTAGTATGTTTTATGTTCCTAATGTTAAAAGTAAAAAAAAACATCAACACTTGTAAGGAATAACATTGTAACTCAATATCGTAGCAATTTTAAATTTGGACTCTAAATATGTAAGAAATGATCTCAATACCTAAGTTACAATATTGTTCTTTGCAAGTGTTGATATATTTTTGTTTTTATGTATTACAGGTTTCTACTTTTCATGAAATATCGATTTAAGCACCAACGTTCTTTTATATGTTTATTCTATTATATAAAAAAAAAACAAATATATGTTTGACAATGGAAGTTTTTACAAAGCCTAGTATATAAAATATTCATGATTTGATATTTTTGAGGACAAATTGATATTTCTACATTATAAAGTTTATTGTCGGATAAGCGTCACCCGCCAAGCGTCACTGAAAAGATTTTTTTTATGAGAAAAAATACCCATTGTGTACTAGGTAGAAAAAATAATGTATAAACAACGACCACTCAGCCCAATAGACACCTCACGCAAGGCGAACACTTTCAGTCAACACGTTAGACAAATACGCCTGACTCGAGAAAATGATCGCGCGATTTACTTAAGTAGCGACCACATCCGTGACCCGCGAACACATTGTTTGAGAATCGTGATTTTCCGACACATAAAATACAACAGACGCGCAACATGGCTCCCTGTATAATAAAATGGTATGGAAATAGTAGCCAAACATGTAATTTAAAAAAAATGGCATCACTTTTCATAAGTAAGTGAATTTTAATTTCCAAATTCATTAAATGTAATTAAATCAGAGCTCAAGTTATATTGGTCGCAACGCAACTCGCGTTGATGTATTCGGACGTTCTCGGACATTCTCGGATTATGCATCCCTTTCTTTTGAATGCAGTTCATTGTTGCTATACTTTTCTTTAATTACCGGCACGTGTAACTAGTGCTGTACCAGTTAAACTATAAAATTTGTAGAAATAAGTTATTTAATTACTTATTATAGAACGCATGATTGTTAATCTTAATTATTGTTATATTTTTTTGTTCATAATGATGATTTTAATTTTACTTATTACTATGTATTATTATCAATTCTTTTGTATTATGACATTTATCTATGATAATAATTATTAGTTTTTTTAATTTTTGTACTTTTAATTCATGAATATTTATATACACTAAATGTAAGGAATAAATAATTGTAATAAGTACCTAATGTATTTTTTTATAAATAATAAGTTCATGTAAATAAGTAGTACTTTAGGTATACAGAGTGTAAGGGACAGTTTTCCGAAAACTTTAACCATGGATATAACTGTAAATAAACCTTGAATAAACCTGTATATATAATATTAAGTATTCTATTATTATTTCAATATAGTAAAGAAAACGTGTCTTAATTAAAAATATTCTTCAAAACAGAAAATTATTTTACTAAATACGATACCTACCTACGATACGATAAAAAACTTCTGGTTCCCATCACTATTTGTATTGAATTAACCAATCAGCGTGAATTTCAACCCGCCTCCCCCGTGACGCTTATCTCAGACTTTTGACTGACCGGTTTGGATGCAGAATTACATAAATTAGGCGTCTATCGGGCCGAGTGGTCGTTTTGTATAAACAAGATAATAATGAATATGCGTGATTTTTTTTTAAAAATTAGGCAATAGCTAAAATAGTTTTATAATACTTGTAAAAAAATATCCAGCTCCAAAAAACTAAATTTAGTATATATTTTTTTTAATTATCATACCGATACAGATACTTTAAACGCCCGCCATTTCCTCTTGAAGTGACGTCAAAGTATCATACATAAAAAATGACGATTGTAGTTTGTAGCGACGAAGTCGCTAATCGCTCTGTTATGATAATACTTTGACGTCATATTCGGTCTGACCAATGGCATGCGATTCTACTACTTTGAATTTCCCACCTATATTTGCACTTTTTATTATAATTATTTTCTTAATAAAAAGAAAATTCATTAAAAGATATTGATATAGGCTTAATTCAAAAGCAATAAAGATTATAAAAAAATATAATATTTCATCTTTATTTTTTTAATCACACCCATATTCTCTATTTTTAAGGTCTATCATTATAATACCAATGGAATGAAACGGTTATAGTATCCATCGCGAATACGACTCTTGTTTTGGACTTTATCTTATTTTGCACTCACCGGGAGCATAAACCTTCTTATTGTTTATGCTCCCGGTGAGTGCAAGATATAATATGTAATTTTCTTGACTGGTAGAAATAAACAGCAAACAACCGTTTTCGAGCAATTACGTTTAAGACAAACAGACAGACTAATTATAAATTATTAAATTGTGTAACATCCCACTTAGCCATTTATCAAATATTTTGGTTTTACATGTTTTATTGTCTGTTACAACTTACATGTTTATTAATGTATAGATAATGACTATTAATTCAAACGTTTTTAAATGTGTAAGAGAAAGGGAGACCTCTCTCTCTCTCTCTCTCAAACACACTCGCATACACACATAAGCATTCAGTATTTATCGATATGTGTACAAAAAAGTAGTAAAATATAAACTTACGTAAATGTCCAGTGAACTGTTGCAGGCGACATCATCAATCGGGGAAAAGTAAATTTGCATCTCTCCCACATCGCTCCTGGAAGAAAGATGCCAATTTATAAGAGTTACATTCTTAGCTTTTTCGTAAAAAAATCCTTACTAGGTAATAATTAAATACACTGAATTAAAAAGTTACTTTTTATTTTATTACATTTTGCCCTGAATATAGAACATATTCTCAATACAAATTATACTCTCAATTTTTTTTTCTATCATATTTTTTATAAATATTCTTCTTATACTTCTGGAATATGTACTAATAATACTATTCTCACTGATTAAATGTCAAATTTATTTCAAACTTTAAATTTATTCGGAGCGAAAGTGAGTCTATAGTGGTTCTATAAATAGTAAACAGTTTATTTATTCCTTCTCTTAAAATAAGGACAGACTATATACCTGATGGTCACTCAAGAGATACACGGGCTGGGGCTCGGTACAGAACTCGCAAGGTATGAAAATTACAGGATCGCTGTGCGAATCCCGCGGGGTAATGGGAGTAGGAGTGGGATTGGGTGTGGGTGTGGGCGTTGGAGTGGGCTTCTGGTGTCTACGCCGTGGCTTGTATTGCGCTAAGTCTGGCCTGCAACCCGTCTGTAATCATGTTCATAATATTTTTTTGTAATTTAATACTTTCTTAGATTTACAACACATTTTAAAACAATTAAAATTTTAAATACAACTATTCTTACGGATTTTTTCGCAGATTTATTTTAATTTTTCGTTCCCGACGTTTAGAATGCTTTACAGGAATCATGGCCATGCGAGAGAGGATTGGGATAAAATTTAGTATGTACACAAATACTATGGTATAACTAGGGGATGACGTCGAGTAACATATAGGCTACTGTTAGGCACTAGTGTATAAATAAATGAAACTTGGAACTGACCTGATGCTGTACCAAATCGTCGACAGGCACTAATGTATCACAGAACTCGCAGGGCAAGCTGACATCACCTTCGTCCGCCGGTGAGCGCTGGGTACGATTACTGCTGTAGTAAATACGATACGGTATAAAGTTAAACTTTTTTTATGTACAGTTGAAATTTAAATCATTATATCATCATATAAAATTTCATCAAATCTGTCCAGTGGTTTTCTCGTGACAGACAGACAAAAGTTCTAAAAACTATAGATTCGGCCTCTGTACCGATAATAATGACTATTTATATAAGTTTTTCCAAAAAATATTTAATGTACAGATTCGACTCAGAATTTTATTATATGTATAGACATGAAGACAAAGCAAAATAAAACTGAAATAAACTTACATTTGACTGACATCATTATTTGCATTCGAATTGTACGGAGCTGTGACCTGCAAATAGTAAAGATTTATTTTCCTTAGTCTAAGTTTAGACTATAATATAATGTGCAAAAAAAATGTATAAAACTTTTATTCCTTATCCCACGGGAACTTTTAGTTCGAAAAATATTAAAAGTAGCCTATCATCGGTAGTAAAATATTATTGACAACACATTTGGCTCAGTTTGCAGGGTTCACTACTTGTCGTGCCAGCGGTCGCGGGTTCGAATCCCGCTGGGGGCTCTCATTTGTGTGATGAGCACGAATGTTTGTACTCCAGTCATGGGTGTTTATATTTATAATATTTATATATTTAAAGTTATATATGTGTAGTGTATCAACTATGTGGTATACATATCACAGGCCTCGTAGCTTACGATGGAACCAGATGGTGCTGTGTGTTAATGTCCTAGCATATTTTTATTTATCTTATATTATATCGCGTAAATTGGTAATGACTAATTTTATATTATTTAGATGTCATCCAAATCCGTCCAGCTCTTGCGGGAAGGCGTAACCAACATACAAACTTTCGCATTTATTATAATAGTAGCGTGATTATTTAGAAATTTTAGTAACTAATTTTAGTAAAATTTAAATATAGGTGAAATATTTTTTTTATAATCTTTATTGCTTCTGAATTAAGCCGATAGTAATATTTTTTAAGTAATTTCTTTTTGATTAAGAAAATAATTAATAATAAGTGCAAATATAGATGGGAAAATCAAAGTAGTAGAATCGCATGCCATTGGTCAGACCGAATATGACGTCAAAGTATTATCATAACAGAGCGTTTAGCGATTTTGTTCGTTACAAATCGAGTCATCATTACTCTGTGTATATCATACTGTGACGTCACGCCAAGCGCGCGAAATTGCGGGCGTTGAAAGTATCCAATATCGGTATGATATGTGTCAATTTTTTTTTTACTAAATTTTAGTTTTTTGGGGGTGGATATTTTTTACAAATATATAACGTTGTTATGTAGCTATTACATAAATCATTAAAAAAAACATGCACATTCCCTATTTAACTAAAATTGAAATAACGAGACATATAAAAAAATAATACCTCATTCAGTCCCCGTCTCAACTCTCTTAGGGAAGATTTAATCTGACTGAACCTATCCGCCTTCACCAGCTCCTCTGGTTCCTTCCTTAAATGTATCTTATTGAATCTATCCATAAACTCTTCGGGTGTCATTGGCTTTAAATTCTTCAAATCATTCCTTCTATCCAAATCTGGCGACTTCGATTTAGATTTCCTTCTGGAAACTTCAAAATTCTGGGAAGTATTTGGTGTATTGGATGAACCAAGGACATGACCAACTGGCGTGATATCTGGACTCATCCACACCCTGCCTTGGAGACGGTTCTTGTAATCCTGGTCGTCCACTACTGGGTTTTGAAGAGCATCCATCTTCCGAAGTTTTTCAAGTTTCGCTGCTGGACTTAGGACGGGGGGTAAGCCTGTGAATACCATTATACTGCAGCTAAAATATAAGTAATTTCACTATTGTATTTATAGGGGATTCAAAACAAAAACAAGGCAAAAGTATATTTTCGTATTTTTGATAACAAAATTGTATTTTTTTATTACCAAAGCTGGCAACCTGTGTATGAGTAATTGATTGCAGTTTAAATGTAGCTTGATAAATGATAAAGAATGTTTGGACTATAAATGGGTTGTCCAATATTGGTTCATACATTTGAATACCACTAATTAAACCAACATTGAATTATTTATCTATACATATAATAAAATTGTAACCAAGCCGAATCTGTACATTAGATATTTTTTGGAAAATCTCATTAAAATAGACATTATTATCAATACAGAGGCAAAATCTATAGTTTTTGGAATTTTTGTCTGTCTGTCTGTTTGTTACCGCATCACAGAAAAACCACTGGAGGTATTTTCATGAAACTTGGTATGGTGATAGCTGGTTATCCGGGTTAACATATAGGATACTTTTTACCGCGGGAAAATATCTCATTTCTGAGAAAAAAAAAACAAAAACTGCAATAAAAGAGTATACTAATATGTAAAACCTAAGAATTTAGTTTTTAGTCATCTGAACGCGGGCGGAGTCGCGGGCAATGCTAGTAAATAAATAAACAAAATAATTTCTTTTTTGTAAGTATAAAAAATATCCACCAAATTAACACATAAACAATAGGAAAACTCAACAAATTCACAGATATAATTTTAGCAAAATATTGCTTTAAGGAATCACATAGCCAATATTAAATGATTTTTCAATTTTCTTTTTATATCTTTAAATTTTACTTAAAACTAATATTCATTAGTCTTACCACACAGTAAAAGTAAGATCTAACATTTTAAAAACAACTAGTTGTCAATTACTTTTTTTGCAGATTTATTTTGATTTTTAGTTCCCGACGCGGTTCCGAATGCAATACATACAGCAATCATGGTCATGAGAAAAACCCAGTCTCTAGTTTTATTTAAAATGTCAAATATTCGCGTAAATCTAAGAAAGTTTTATAAGAGCCAACATACCAACAGACAAGTTATAAGCAGTTTGCTCCTGTCTCATTCTCTCTTCGTCTTGCTGCCGCTCCAACGCACTCTGTAGAGGCAAGTCCCTCTTGGGGTCAGCGGGGCCTTTGGTCGGGGGCTTCGGCGCGGGCCTCTTCTTGACTGCGCCACGAGATGCCCTGACAATGTTACAATAATCTTTTGACTTTATATAGAGAATTATTTTGTTATTTTATATGTATGTATGTATTTTATATTTATATATTTTATATAGTTCTTTCATTATGTATTACGTTTTAATCATATGCTATACTAGCGACTCATCCTCGCTTCGCTCGGGTTCGTCCCTAGGTTGATTCCCTATACAAATTTCATCCTCATTTTCACGCCCTTAAGGGTTGACTTCCAGGATAAAAAGTATCCTATGTCCTTCCCAAGGTTTTAAACTATCTTCTTACCAAATTTCATCTAAATCGGTTCAGTAGATCCAGAGATTACCCTCTACAACGTCACAAGCTCACAATTCACAAACTTTTACCTCTTTATTATATTAGTATAGACTAGTAAAGATATCTCATCTCAAACCAAAGAAATTGGATCGTTCTAGATGGAATTATTCTTCGAGTTTTTTGTTTTATTATTTATATGATAGCTGACTTTATAGTATAATATTTAAAATTAATTTTCACTTAATAAAACTGTTAGGTACACATTCTTTACTTGACATCACTATATATATCTTCCTACCGTCACATCCTAAATTCCCTCGATATTCCTTTTACCTGGAGGTAGTACTCAAAAAAGCTTCAACGGCCGCGTACGGCAATGGGACGAGCTCCGCATTCTCCCCATCAAATATAAGACTACGCGTCAAAGTTATCGTGCGAAACGCAATAAACTATCTTATTTTACAATTACAAACTTTAAGCAAATCACCCGGTGTTGTGTGAAAGTGATTGGTGTACAAAACGCGACTTAAGAACCCACGCGGGACAGCGGCGAACCAGGTAGTCCATCCACCCTTTCTATCTTTACCCAACACCCTTTTATGGTCCTTCAGATCCTGGATATCCTTTAGTAATCAAACCTCATCTTAAATAAATCATCCTTATTTCCATCAAAAAACATTACATATATACCTACAATAATATACATCTAATTTTTACATTTCGCTTGACGCCATATTGCATACGTAAAATTAACAATTTCATATTGGCATCACTGTTTCATTCCGGATTGCGAATCGGTCAACCGTCAATGTCAAATAGTGTCTTGTCATTTGTCACTTGTTATTTGTCATCTGTCAAATTGTCACATTTGTTTACATTTTGCATACCATAATATATTAGTAATTTGTATATTGTACAATACGTAATTAAAATATATAACGATCAACGATGTCTGACCTCAAAATGCATTTAGTAAAATATGAAATAGCACTAAATCATATAAAGCAGTTATATGATTTGGGTGGTAACATTATTAATAAACCTTCTGTAAACATGAAGGAAAAGCAACAGTTTCTTGTACGGTTTAAGGATATAGAAAGATATCGGCAGCAAATGGAGGAGTCTTTCTCATTTTTAATAGCAAATATCGATTCTTTTGGCGAAGATAAGCGTAGCGAAATTGAAAAGAATTATAATATTTCAAATGACATGTTTTACTCAATACAAGTGTATCATACTTCTTTATTCGAGTCAAAATCTAGTGCAAATTGTGATACACAAGTAATTCCAGTGCCTAGCTGCGAGTTTCATTTACCTAAAATATCATTAACTAGATTCTCAGGTGCTCATATAGAATGGCCAAATTTTATTTCTATTTTCAACAGTTTAATTCATAATAACAAAAAGTTAAGTGAAATTGAAAAAATGCATTATTTACTGAGTGTATTAGACAAGGAGCCTTTATCTCTTATCAAAAACTTAACTATATCTAATGAAAACTATAATATTGCATACAAATTGTTGGCTGAGCGATATGAAAACAAAAGAGTCATAGCGGACAAGTATGTTGAGTCTATTCTTAACTTACCTAACCTTACACAAATACATTTTAAGTCTTTAAACAAATTTTTAAACACTATTAAAGAAAATACAAATGCTTTAACTGCTTTAGAGTTTAATGTAAAGTCATGGAGTTTCTTATTAGTACATATATTACTAAGAAAGATTCCTATTGAATTTAGAAGTAAATTTGAGTCACAAATTAATCCCATAAATATTCCCACATTTGATGATTTTATACAATTTTTAGAAATTCAATTGAGAATATTAGAAAACATTTCAGGTTCAACTTCTCATACAAAAACTAATACACATAACTCATTAAATATTATTGAAGAGAAACCTAAATTAAATTATATTGCAAATTATTCTTGCCCTTGTTGCCAGAGTAAGCACAGCATATATAACTGTTTAAAATTTAACGCTATGACTCAGGAACAAAGAAAATCTTTTGTTATTCAACATAAACTTTGCTTTAACTGCTTGAGACCACATCATGTTTCAAAATGTACTTCTAGAAGTGTATGTCAGATATGTCATGGCCATCATCACACAAAATTGCACATTTCAAAGGCCACAGCTGACAATAATTATACTCAGCATGCATCAGCTCCTAATAGCAATGAAGCTGCTGTGTCGACTACTAGTTCCGCAGTCCAACTTCAAACTTTACATGGTGCCGATGGTGCATCCACTATGCTTCTTGGTACAGCCCTCGTAGGAATTTTAGATGTAAATGGTTATACTCACATTGCTCGCGCATTAATTGATTGTGGCTCTCAGGTGTCTATTATTACAGAAGATTTAGCTCAAAAATTGAAACTTCATCGAACTCAATCTTCATCAATTTTTGGTTTAGGTGCAGCATCCCCTCAGCAAACTCTAGGCAGGGTAACATGTCATATTAAGCCTCTGATAAATGCTTCTAAAACATTAACTTCCAATTTTATTGTTTTGAGGCGCATTACAAACAATCTGCCATCAGTTCAAGTTAACAAATCAGTTTTAAATCTGTGTAGCAATTTAGTATTAGCAGACAAAAGTTTTATCATTCCTGGACAAGTCGACCTGCTCTTGGGCATTGACTTGTATGAACAGATCCTTGATGGTAGAAGGTTCAGTCTAGGTGACAACATGCCTACTGCCTATTCTTCTATCTTTGGATGGGTAATTATGGGCAAAGCTCCCGCAGCATCGTCACACGTTCAAGATGTGATGTCGATGGCCTGCACATTTGACCTCAATCTTGCACTCACAAGGTTCTGGGAAGCAGAAGAGTTCTCCAGTCAACCTATTCAAGATCCTGAGGATGTTCTATGCGAAAAACACTTTTGCGAAACGCATTGTAGAGACGACACTGGTCGTTTTCAAGTTCGTCTTCCCTTCAAGGTGAATCACAAGCCTTTGGTGGACACACGTATCAATGCCCTGAAACGCTTCTACAATTTGGAACGTAAGCTTATCAGGGATCCGCGCTTGCGTGAACTCTATGTAGAGTTTATGCGAGACTATCTTAGTTCGGGTCATATGCGTGAAGCTTCTTGCTCTGACGCAAGTGAGCGATACTACATTCCGCATCATGGTGTTCTGCGCGAATCTAGTAGCACGACTAAGCTTCGTGCAGTTTTTGACGCTTCGGCTTCCAGCTCAACCGGTGTTTCGTTAAATCAGGTCCTAATGACAGGGCCTAAATTGCAAAGAAATATTGAAGATATTATTATGCGCTTCAGGATTCACAAGATCGTCTTCACCTGTGACATCAAAAAAATGTACCGTCAGGTGCGCATGGACGATGCTGACTGCAAATATCAAACCATATTCTGGCGCGAATCTCCTGACCAACCTCTTAAGGAATACGAGCTTACCACTGTTACCTACGGTGTTTCAAGCTCTGCCTTCCAAGCAATCCGTGTTATACACGAGCTTGCTTCTCTTAATTCAAATCAACATCCAGAAGCTTCTCAAGTGCTGCTAAACGACACTTTCGTCGATGATATCGTCAGCGGGTGTGATTCCGTGGAATCTGCTAGGGAATTACAGCAGGTACTGGTCAGTATCCTATCTCAGGGCGGTTTTCTCTTGCGTAAGTGGTCGAGTAACTGTAAGGAATTCATAAGCGACTTTCCTGCTGATCATTGCGAGCAGCCCTATCTGTTTGAACACGACTGCGATAACATATTTAAAGTCTTAGGCATGGCTTGGAGTGCTTCTAATGATAGTTTTATTTATCGGGTTTCAGATATGAACAATACACTCACCATGCGAGGAATACTTTCTAATATAGCCCGACTCTATGACCCTTGCGGTTTTCTAGCACCTGTAACCTTCTATGCGAAACATGTTATGCAGAGGCTCTGGGTTCTCAAATGTGGTTGGGACGATTCTTTACCTTCTGATATTCAAAAGGCTTGGCTATCTTTTATGTCAAATTTTCATCATCTTAACAAAATTGTTATTCCACGCTGGGTACTCACTGATCAACTAAGCGATTGTGAACTCCACGGTTTCAGTGATGCTTCCGAACGCGGGTACGCAGCTTGCGTCTACCTGCGCGTCAAAAATTCTTATGGTAAAACTTCGGCCCAACTAATGTTGGCGAAGTCTCGAGTTGCTCCTCTCAAGCAAAAGCTCACGATTCCCAAATTGGAATTGTGCGGCGCACATCTTCTCGCTCGCTTACTTGAGCATATTATCAAAACTCTAAAACATAAAATTAAAATCAGCAGCACAGTGGCCTGGTGTGATTCCAGCATCGTGCTCACATGGCTTAAATCTTCTCCTCATACTTTACAAACGTTTGAAGGAAATCGAGTGTCCCAAATTCAAGCTCTAATACCAAGAGCTATTTGGAGATACGTTCCATCATCACTAAATCCTGCTGATGCCGCTAGTCGAGGTCTCTACCCCTCTGAACTAGCTAAAACCATCTTGTGGTGGTCTCCACCTTGGCTTGAAGGTGATTCTTCGACATGGCCTGGAGACACACCTATGTTGAGCCAAGCGAATTTACCTGGTCTGAAATTACCATCCCCTATATCACACATTGCTAAGGTTAGCGTCGATTTACCTTTCTTGCACAAATTCAGTTCCCTTCGCAAGCTACAGGCTGTTGTAGCTTGGTGTAAGCGATTTTTGCATAATTCACGCAATCCAACGAAGCGACACACGGGATCACTATCTGTTTCCGAATTGAACGATAGTTTGAATACCATTATATCAACTGTACAGTCGGAAGAATTTTCTTCAACAATTTCGTTGTTGCGTAATGGGAAACCTCTCAAAGATAGCCTTCGACGTCTTAATCCATTTCTTGACTCTCAAAATTTGCTGAGAGTAGGTGGTCGGATTGTAAACTCATCTTTATCATTTAACGCTAAACATCCACTTTTGCTTCCGAAGGCACATCACGTTACTCGCTTGCTCATTGATCATTATCACCGGGCATTCCTACACCCTGGTGTCAATACTCTTTTAAATCTACTGCAACGTAAATTTTGGATTTTATCAGCACGCCGTGCAATCCGTCGGCAAATATTTCAATGTCAACATTGCTATAGATTACGTCCCAAGGCGACTGAACCTTTCATGAGTGATTTACCTCCTTCTCGAGTCACATCTTGCAGACCCTTTCAAAGAGTTGGAGTGGATTTTGCAGGTCCTTTTCTTCTGAAAACCTCGCGACTGCGCAACGCTCGATCTGTTAAGGCATATTTATGTTTATGGATTTGTTTCACCACCAAAGCTGTCCACTTGGAACTGGTTTCCGAGCTGTCGACAGACGCCTTTTTAGCTTGCTTTGATCGCTTCGTATCGCGAAGGGGTCTTCCCACCGATGTTTACAGTGACTGTGGTACCAACTTTGTTGGAGCTAACAACTACTTGAAAGAAGTTACACAATTACTCAAAAACTCGCATGATGACATAAAACATTCATTAGCCAGTCGACAAATTGTATAGCATTTTAATCCTCCTGCCAGTCCACATATGGGCGGTTTATGGGAGAGCGCGATTAAATCTGCAAAACTTATTCTTCTTCGTGTTATAGGCGATCGCTCACTTCTCTTTGAAGAGCTCATCACTGTTTTTAGCAAAATAGAAGCCGCGTTGAATTCTCGACCGTTATATCCCCTAAGTAGCGATCCTAACGATCTAGAAGTCTTAACGCCCGGCCACTTCATCATCGGTCAGCCGCTATTGGCTTTGCCTGAGCAAGACTTGGAGCAGATAAATGTTAATACTCTCAAACGATGGCAGCTTTTGCGCCAGATTACTCAGCACTTCTGGAGGCGTTGGCAAGCTGAGTACCTACATACTCTACAGCAGCGACCTAAATGGCTTGCCAAGATTTCAAATTTTCAAGTTGGTGATTTAGTTCTTATCAAGGATCCCAACTTGCCACCGCTTCACTGGAAGAAAGCTCGTGTGACTCGCATTTGCCCGGGTTCTGACGGCACTGTTCGCGTCGTAGAATTAAAAACTTCTACTGGCACTCTACTTAGACCAGTAGTCAAGCTTTGCCCTTTGCTGCCTTCTTTCAATTAATAAAAACAATACTTTTTTTTTTGTTTAGATAGTAGTAATAGCTTTAGTTCTAGTAAGCAACATATTTTTTTTTACTCTTTTGTTTACGTCAACCTTTTAGCAAATTTCAAAGGGGTTCGTTCAAATGAAAGAGCTAAGCCGCTCTTTGGGGGGCGGTATGTTAGGTACACATTCTTTACTTGACATCACTATATATATCTTCCTACCGTCACATCCTAAATTCCCTCGATATTCCTTTTACCTGGAGGTAGTACTCAAAAAAGCTTCAACGGCCGCGTACGGCAATGGGACGAGCTCCGCATTCTCCCCATCAAATATAAGACTACGCGTCAAAGTTATCGTGCGAAACGCAATAAACTATCTTATTTTACAATTACAAACTTTAAGCAAATCACCCGGTGTTGTGTGAAAGTGATTGGTGTACAAAACGCGACTTAAGAACCCACGCGGGACAACGGCCAACCAGGTAGTCCATCCACCCTTTCTATCTTTACCCAACAAAAACAAAATACAACAGCGCCATGTACCAAATACACAATACAAGCTAATCCAGTAAAATGACGGAAATTTGATTTGAGGACGCATTATTTCAATTTCCTTAAGTTACAATATATGGGTCTTTTTTAAAATTATTTGGTTTTTTTTAATAATTTTATACAAACAATATATATATCAGTAACAAATCGATACATATAGCGCCATCTATTGACAATTAATTGAACAAATTGATGATGATATCCATTATTTTGGTGTCAGATACAGGCGTTTTATTGCTTTTGGAATAATCCTACATCTACGGAAAATTCCTCGGAAACAAACTTTCGAATTACAATTCGTCGAACACAATTCATCCAAAAAACAACTGTCGAACTTGTTGACAATTCGAGGAATTGTCATTCGACGATATTTTGACGAACTGTTATTCAGAGAATTATTACCATTCTCGGCATGTCTCGTTGTATCTCGGCGAGAGTGTATGACTGCCTTAGGCCATAAATATATGATGTTATCACTTACCATAAATCTTTCTGCACTTTATCAACAGGAGCCATTGCAGTGTTCACTTGAGGTTGATCATTTGTCCTTTTAGTCCTCGGTATAGCACCATTTTGAGCTGAACTGGTCCCACCTAACACGTCATTTACTTTGGAATTTAAATTGGAAGACTTATTTATATTTGATAGGCTAGGTACAGCTCTATTAATACTCTGCGCTATTGTAGAATTTGACCGAGACGAGTTTGTGGAACCGCTCATACTTGGTCCGTTGAGTTGAGATCGCGAAGTGATTGGAATAATTTTAGAAGTGCTTGGCATATTTTTAGATACATTTGAGGATGTCGACAAAAAATTCCTTATATTTTCTCCATTTCTAGAATTTTCTGTTATGCCATTAATTGGGTCCTTTGGCTTTATTTGATCAATATAAACGCTTGGCAAGTTTGAGGGTTTTGGCACATTTGTCGTTTTCACATCCTTTTTTATTGGCACCGGATCTGCAATTAAATTGCGTAATATGTAAGAATGATCAACTACAATATTATACTGTCACTTTTAACAAATAATCTTTATACGACGCTTGTAGTTGATGTGAAGCCAAAAATTGACTAGAGACCAAATTACATACAATATATCAGTTCATATTTTATAGATAATGATTAATGAGAATTATTTTTTAATTAGAATTTTCTGAATTTCAACCACATCTTAATCTCACATTAACTAACTAGCCAACTGCGCATAATGTTGGCGTGTTTGCGCAAACATTAATGCACTCCCTAGAATCTAACATACAGACGCAGGACCTACGGCTTTATCTATTCAGCTCTACGATCTCAGTACCATGAATACCCTTATAGTATAGGCCTATACCCTTCCGACCCCAACTGACAGTTGCTTAATTGCTACTGACCCGGGACCCAAACCCTGGTCTTCAAGACTAGCAGCCTTTAAGCCAATGAGGTTAAAGGTTATAAATAATATTTCTACTTAATTTAAATGTAATGGAAGGTGTTCTACTGAGAATAATCAGAAAAAAAGTGAATCATACCACAAAAAAGTAAGAAAATAAAATTAATAATAGGAAATAGGAATCCATACTAATATTATAAAAGCGAGAGTAACTCTGTCGGTCAGTTACCATTTTACACTTATTCCGCTGAATCAAGTAAGATAAAATTCGACATAGAGATAGTTTGAAACCCTGAGAAAGACATATAATAGTTTAAATATGTCTATGACATACCATCATCGAGTCTGATGAAGCCATGATTGGAGTCCAGGTGGAGCTGCCGGTACTTGTGCATGACCCACTCGCCGCAGTCCGCGCACTGCTCGGTGCGCGCGCCGCAGTAGCGCTCGTGCGCCGGCATCGACCCGCGACGCAGTTCCAGAGCACAAAATCTGTTTTAAGTTAAGATATGATCATTAAACTGTGGGAACTCTCCAAAAACCCACCATCTTGGTACTATTTTTCGTAATTTGACGAAAAAATTGTCCAGTGGTTGACATGAGTCACCTACCTAGTAAATTTCAGCAATAGTCTGTATTTAAAATTTGTAAGTAAAATGCCTGTGACACATTTCTCTCTAATGCTAAGCCTAAATTGGATAGTTGCTTGTAAGGAACTTCTGATTCGGTATAGACATATAGTGGCAGTTTTGATTGTGTTCTTTAATTAATTATATTATGAGTATTTCTAGATTTAATGATTGTTACACGTTGATCCCGTATAGGAAATGTAATTAGTTTTATAAAGAGTATGGGAAAAATCCCATACTATTAATAATTTGGTCCACTTTTACAATACAAGTTATTTAATAAGACGTTGATAAAATATACTTAAGAATCTTATTAAAATTGAATAATGCCCGAAAAACAATTACGGGGTTACCTGCATGTCTTCATCGTATGCGCACATGAGTCCCGTACATGATCTTCCAAGTCCGTTCCACACACACTTTCTCCACACTCCTTGCATGGCACTATAATATACAAAAACAAGTTTAAAAACTTAAAACCGATGTTATCCTGCTAACATCAACTGTGTAAAAATGCCATAATTATTCAGCAACTAGTGACCTACACCACCTAGACACCATACTCGCTTCGCTTCTGGTCTCCCTAAATTGCGAAAGATCTCAGAGCGGACGATGTTTCCGGCTTAATTAACAAATATCGTAGTACCGGTAGTTTATTTGTGAAAAATTTCTACAAATTATAGTACATAATCTTCTTAAATAATCCTTCCTATTGAAATAACCATACAAACATTTTCGGAGATAAGCCTGAACAAACAAACAGAGCGCGATATGGCCTGTGGGACTTTAATTTATTATTGTAAACGTAATACTACATATTTGTAGTGATAATATAATAAAAACAGCGGATGTTCAATAAAGGAATACTTTTGGGCAATACAGATTATTAATATTCATTTTTAAAGGATGTAATAATTTATGTAGTTATTTACAGGAAAATTTCCATCGCCATAATGGAGCAGTTCACACGGTCATGTTACTATAAATGAAGTGTTTTCAAATGGTGTAATTGTTTCTGCACCCATTAGGTTATCTACATGACACTTTCAATAACAAACTCTCGACACACACATGTATCTATACCTATAATTTAACTTATATTCAAGCTCAACTCAATAACAAAGCGATATCTGTAAGAGAAATATTATGTTTTAAAAACAATGACTCTTATGTATTGTGTACAGGATTTAGAGCCCAAAACAACGTTTGTTGAAATTTTTGTTTGTTTGTTTGTATATCTGAGTGCATTTCACGCAAAAAGTAAACAAATTTTAACTTAAATTTGTGGAGAAATAATTTAAAACACGGGTAAACATCACCTTTACTACAGGAAAATCTTTCACTGCCACGGGAAAAACAATAACTGGTTCGACCGAGTTTTCCTTTATGCAAAGTTGCTTTTGCCTGTTTCTCTGCTTACTTTTCCTAAACCCGCCAACTCATTTTGATAGTTTTCCCTAATAAAAGAGTGATAAACAAAAAAGATTTGTCTACAGAATTTGTAAATATTTTGTACAAAATGGCTGAACAATGACAGTTTTGTCAAAAAAATTGTTTTCATATGCTAATACGTAATAATTAACATTATTTGTTTTATGAATATGATATTCACATTATATGGATAGGTTTTCCTAATAAACACACATTTTTGGTTGTATTCTAATAAGAAAAATAAAGCTTACATAATTTGTGTAACTTTTCATGGTGCTCCTGGAGTTCGGCCTGAGGTATAGGTTCCTTGCAGACAGGACACACACGTATATTCCGCGCGCAGTGCACTGTGTGGATTGTGAAGTTTACCGCTGGTATCTCTCGCTTGCTGCATCAACAATATATTTCTAAAACCTTGTTTTATATTCATAAAAATGAATGTTCTTTGATAAGAGCACATTGAAAATGATTGGACCGATTTGTCTAAATCTTAATTTAAAATGTTTGTAATAGTCTGAATTAGGTTTCTTGGGAATAAAATAGAAAATAAATTAAAAGTGGAAAAAAATTAAAAAGTGCTTTTTTATAGGACTTTCCTATGACTCCAAACTAATGAAATTTAGACAGGACATTGTCTGTTGATTCAGCTATAATATAATATACAATGACGCCTTATTGTACTAATTTATTATCATGTTTGTCTGTATATAAAGTAACTTGTGGATCCTCTTATCTTATTTCTAGAAATGGTAATAATTCACATCAATTTCCAAGTTTTTGTTACAATTATGAAATAAAATCTTTGAACCAGTGAAATGCTTTACATGTTTTAATTGTAATGTAGGGTCACAAAATACATTCAATTTTTTTTAATAAGACTACATGAGGATCAAATTATTTGTATTTAACAAAGAAAAAATAGCATGTTATTTTATATAGGGTGATAGTATAAACTAAGTAACAATCTTTTAATTAACAAACAAGCAAACCAGACTCATCCTATACTTTAATAGACTTACACAAATCACCAGTGGGTAAACCAAATTAATATGAGCTATTTAACCCAAAATTAAAATGAATAAGTATAGTGACCAAATTTTCTATATGTAAAAAAATACAGTGTAGGTGGCAAATATAATCTCTTAATTTTTGTCAATAATTATTTAATCTGATTAATTTTCATATGTATCATTTAGAATATAATCTGATGTAAATATATTTTTTTAAGTATATCAATATTTTAAAAAAATATGTACACCTAATAATACCAGATTTATATATATCAAACCAAAGTACTGGAGAATTAAGCTGTATGGATTCGATAATCAATAGTGCACAAATAGGAAATACTTATTTTATGCATTTTTCCTACAACACAGACTGCTTACATCATGTTATTAACATAACACTAGCAGAACCTGCGGCTTCGCTCGCGCTAAAACTTAAAAAACTTTCATCCCCTATTTTACCCCCCTATAGGATGAATTTCGAAAAATGCTAAAACACGTATTTATTTAATTTTATTGAAAAGTATTAATACCAAGTTTCAATTCTGATCATAAATATTTCTTTGGATTGTATTTTTATTGTGTTTTTCCGTGAGAATAAGATAATCTCTTGCGGTAAAAAGTAGCCTATGTCAATCTCCAGCCCTCCAACTATCTCCACACAAAAAATCACGTCAATCCGTTTCGAAGTAAAAAAAGTACAAACAAACAAACACGCTTTCACATTTATAATATTGGTATGGATACATGAGATACTAAGGTATATATTTAATTTCACCATTTATAAGTGTTATTAACATTTTTAAATTATGAAATTATTTAATAAATTATAAGTACACATTAAAATGAAACACAAAAATCCAATTATACTTATGGATGCTCGTAAGGTCCCTATGAGATATCTCCTAAGAGATTAGAAACTTACAAATACAAAAATAAACAGACCAATCTGTTATTATTAATTATTAGAATAGATAGTTTTAGCCATTTAATCTTTTATTACTGGATATATTCTTCTGGATATTATTTTCAATTTTTAAATTGTCTGTAGGAAAGAGGGTACACATAAAACATGTATAATAAGGTGGAATAAAAGTAGTTTTGCACAGATGAATCGACGAAAAGGTAAACAACCGCATGAACAGCAACTGACACATGTAATTTGCTCCATTTATCCAAAAATAAACGCACAACGTATGAAGTTATAAATAGAGCAATTATTGACACAACATGCAGCTACTTCGCAAGGTAGAGAAACTTACCAGTTCTCACAAGTTTTCGATTCCCCTTCGTCCATGTTTCCACAGGAAGATAGAATTATTAAAAAAATCACTTAATTTTGAGCAGCAATGATAATTTACACAACTAGGGCATATTCTTTGCCGCAAATATCAACGTACGTATGTAATATTGTGCGACGTTTTATATACGTTGCGAGTAAGCGATCCGATATGTTATTTAAGTAATACATATAATATAGAATATGAAATAAAATGTTTAAACTACCTAGATTGATACAAGTTTCGATAGCGATTACTTTAAAATTGGTAAATCCCGTAATTGCTTAGACTTTGACAAATGCCGGTAAAGTTGCCATGCCTCTAGGAAATATCGATTTTCAGTGCTTAGTACACTGAAAATCGATAACGTAATCGATGGATCTTGTATCAAAATAATGTTATATCGAAAAATTATGCATGTAAATATATTATACATAGTTTTAATAACCCGAAATATTATATAGAGTATAAGTATTTATTTGGCTAGAAAACGTTTCATAATTTTGCTCTTATTCTAATTAATCTTGAAATTATTGTCTTTTAATTTGTACCTAGAACGTTGAAATTTTTGTTAATAAAATTATACTCTATTTTTTTTAAATGAAAAACTGATCTCAATTTCATTTGAAGGTACTTCCCAGAGGCTTTTTAATATTTAACAGAAGTGGTGCCAAAATATTTGTTTATTATTTACTTGCATAACTCGCGGCTTCCCTAGCGCTAAAACTACAAAAAAAAACTCTAAAAAGGTAGGTTTCATGCAAACTTTCATCCCCTATTTTACCCTTTTATGGAAGAATTTCGAAAAATGCTGAAACACATATTTATTTAATTATTTTGAAGAGCATTAATCCCACGTTTCAAAGAATTCTGCTTATAAATATTGTTTGAGTTGTATTATGACATGTCATGGGACATCCCGTGGGAATTAGACACTCCGTTTCGACGTGAAAGAAAGACAAACAAACAAACAAATAAATAAACACACTTTCACATATTTTATAATATTAGTATGGATTGAGTAATTTCTATTGAATGATTTGCTACAAGAAGTTGTTTAGTGCAATATCTATTTCTTAACGAGTATTAATTAAGGTATAATGTATGAAGACTTTGGATTTATACTGCGTGTTCTTCATTATTTAGGGATGTGCAAATGAAACCATGGAACTGTTTATATTAACTTTTTTCCACAACGTTTAGCTTAACTGAGGATCCTATTAAATACTATTATGGGGAGGACCATCGAGACACTAGCAAATCTAACGACCGTCGACTAACAACGAGGCCAGGGCGCGAATCTGCTGACTCCACTCCAGATACTACATTGCATCGCCACGACCAAATCAGCTGACTCCGCTCCAGACACTACGTCACCACAAGACTATGTAATTCTTTCTTATTTTACTCAAAATAAATTGATATTATTAACAAAATAATCAGAAAAAGTGCCTACCTACACACAGAATACCTACTCTTTGAGTGCAGTGATAGTTGAAAGTAGAGTAAGGCAGATTCAAGTCCCGGATCGTATCCCTATTTTCATGTGCGAATCTCAATCTGAACAAGACTTACTAATATTACGAAGTGAATTACAGAAGAAGAAGGATTTTCAAATTCATATTATTTTATTCAGCATTAGCGACTCATCCTCGCTCCTCTTGGATTCGTCCCTAGGAACGTTTAGTATAGATTTCTCAGAGATGAGATATATTCCCACGGTAAAAAGTATCCTTCATATTGACCGGGACACCCAGATATCGCCATACCAAATTTCAACAAAATCTGTCCAGTGGTTTTCTCGTGATCCAGACAGACAGACAAAAGTTCTAAAAACTATAAATTTGGCCTCTGTATCGATAATAAAGTCTATTGCAATAAGATTTTCCAAAAAATATTTAATGTACAAATTCGACTCAATTAGAATTTTATTATATTTATTATTTATCTATATATTAAATTATTACTATTTTTTACTGAACATTATAAATCAAAAGTCTATTACAGTTCAGACACAACTCCCCAGTCTAAGCTTATGAAAGAAACTCAGCGGAATAACACGTTTATATTATATGTAACTCAGTTATCAATAGGAAATTCAATCCCACAAGCTTGCGGCATCGAGGTTATCAGTCCTGCTGGTCTGGTCCTTGTGGGATTGCAAAAAAATCATGCTTATGTTGTTAGTAGTTATGTTCATGAATTTATGAGGTGCAAGTATGAAAAAAAAGACAATTATATTTAAAAAACGTGCTTTTCTTAGGGAGCGTTCAAGTATTACGTAACGCAATTTGGGGAAGGGCTGTCTTGTAAAACGTTACAATGCGATATAGGTGCGAGATCGATCAATGTTGAACGTGTTTTTTTTTATTTAAATAAAAATATAGGGAATTAAAACCTCCCAAGTTGGCAACCCTTTTCGTTTATGTTTTACAGGGAATCCCACGACTGTATTGTAACGTTACGACTTACGGCGCCTTACATGGGGCGGGCCCGCGGGGGTTTGCTGTCAAAAGTAGCGTTACTTATTATATTTGAAATTTAAATGCCCCTTTAATCATAATTAATGAAACATACTCATTAGGTTTTTTAATTTCAATACATTATTATTTATACATATATACCCAGTGGGCAGCGGCGGAAATCACACGTTCAATTTCAATACTGGTGGGTGGTATATCTACTTTACATAGTTATAAGCAGCTTAGAAGTATTTTCCTTTTGCCTCTCGCATTAACCCTTAATTTGACTGTGTTCACTGTGATAAACATTCATAAAAAATAAATACTGAGCGACTGCTATTCACTATTTCTCGGTTTTTATTTTAGTTATAGCAAGTTTAAAGTATATTTATCGGTATAAAAAATAATTCAACTAGTGGCAGCATCGTTTATCTGTCATAATTGAGACAAGATGTCAACGAGGCGCGGGCACTCGAATCTTCGCAGGGTAAATGTTTTTATTTTAGATGTTTTACATAACTAAACTAACTTTTTTCTGGTTTTAATTTACTAAAAAATGTTTATGCTTTGGTTTGGAATGGGGTTTATGTAATGTTTTATGTTTTTGGTAACTTTTTTTTGGAGGCAAACTTGTTTGTTCATCACAGTGAACACTGCCAAATACTCGAACAAGTATTGTCAATTTAATACGTTCATTGTGATGAACATTGCCAAATTAGGTATAACTTTTATTTACAAATAATATGCTTTTAAGTGGTGAGCTTTTACAGATTAACAGAATAAATTACAAAACCGCACTCATAGAATACGAGCTCTTGTTCCTGTCGAGCATGCACAATCCAACAATAGTGATAAATCCGAAAATAACAGTGACTACGAATTGCCGCCACCTTCTCCAAGTACAGTTTCATCTTCTAGGCCTTCCATTAATTCTTGTTTAGAACGCTTAGACCTCAATAATAGTCCCTGATGAATAATAGTAATCTGAACATATTCAAAATGATGATGAACAACCGTTAGAACCATCCGATTTATACCACTCCGAAGCTCTACAATTAACTCTAGTTTTGCAGAAAATTTTCCCTAATACACCATCTAGAGAACTAAACTTTTATAATGTTCCATCATTATCTTAAATAATATAGCTTCCATCTGAGACACAATCACCAACACTCGGGACGTCTTATGCTAGAAAAATTAGAGCAAAAAAGCAGATAGCTCCAGCTGCCAAGAAATCGAAGAAAATTTCAAAATTTTCTCTTTCTTACAAATGGAAGTTGTAATGAAACCAAATTAGTTATTGAACGCTGGAATAATAATAAACCTGTAAATTTTATAAACTCATTTCTTAGATCTGAACCAGTACAAAAAACAAATAGGTATTGTAAAGAGCAGAAACAAAGAAGAAAGATAGAAATTGATTGTCCGCAAATTGTTCGCGAGTACATATGGGGGGTGTATACCTACTGGTTGATATGTTGATATCATTGTATAAAGTTCCGTTTAAAACTAGAAGGTGATACATAGAAATATTTAGTCAATTGCTATATATAGGTATGTATAAATAATGCTTGGCTATTGTATAAACGTAACTGTTATAGAAATCAACAAAAATCACAGTCACTGAAAGTTTTTCGATATGAGATTTACTTGAGTTTAACAAAAGAAAACCGATCTGTACCTCATGATAAAATGCAGGAATGTAAAATTATAAACCTAAGATCAGCCAGGCCTACAAACATCATCAGATTCGAAAATACAGGACATTATTCCGCCCAAAGGAAGACATGGGGCGATGCAAGTTTCGCCAAAAAATACAACGTATATTGTATAAAATGCAATATGAGACTTTGCCTTGTTACGGGAAAAAATCCCCGCAATTGTTAAATTTTCAATTTCCATAATAAATAATTTGATTTATTGATATATATAGTATTTTTATTTTACCTGTATAAACAACACTAATTTGATAATGTTTACCACAGTGAACATTAACAAACATTACAAATTACTTGTTGTTCTCAACGTATTTCACAGTGTTCACTGTGATGAACATTGATTTCCTGAAAACCTGTAAATAAAATATTTTTTTATCTATTTTTCCCAAGTTGTATTTAACCCTAGGACTTCAGAAATACATTTTATTTCATAAAATAAAACAACTCGGATCTCCGCCAAATTAAGGGTTAAAAAAGCGTCATCTCACGTTTCATCAAACAAAAGTTGTTTAATTACCTACTAATGAAGCTGAAACTGAGACGAATTAATATTTAGAAGGTCTGCGTCCATTTTTCTTTGGCAATTTCATTTTTATTTCAGTCCCACTAATCCCGTGAATCCCGCATCATCGACCCTGCAAAAATGGTACAGGTTCCGCATAGGCAGGATTGAAGTCCTCAAAAGTCTTAAACATCAATTATTTTTTATTATAGAAGAATATTTGTGCCATTATAGGTAAATTACAGCAATTCTTGTTTTTACAGCCAATATAGTAAGTTTTTAAATTAATTATTAAAACTAGCATTTTTTTATAGAAATAATAGACTATGGTCAAAAAAGTCCTGAGAACATCTTGCTGTCTCCATATTTATACTTAGATACTGAAAGCAAAACGTGTGTAAGACGTATGTACGCACGTAAGAAGTAATACTTCTTTGGCGAAACAGCTGAACTAAAATAGCTAAACATTTCATCTATGTCACTACTCTGTTTGTAAAAGGAATGCACAGATGCAACTAACTTCATCATGTCGCTTTTTGGCTGTCGGTGTGCGCGCGCATCGTAAAAATTTTACTAATATTTTTTTCCAAACATGCCAAAAGAAGTATAACTTCAAAAGGTGCAGTGTATAGCAACGTACCCAGTCTAACGAAAGGTGAAATTAAACAAAATTTTATTAATAACTTTTATAATTTTTTATAATTATGTAAAAGTAGTGATCATTGCAGGCGAGGGCTTCACGTGAGCACTACAAATAAAGCTGGTTGACATTCATTTACCAAATTTAATTACTATATAATATTTCTCACTAAAAACAATCACATTCGTTAACAATTACTTGTCAAAAATAATTCCGAAACATGTATTGTTTTTTTTTTAATATTTGATAAATGAATGTCTGTATCCAGCGCATTAATTACAAAACTAGAATTACTTATTACTATGAAACAATGGTTACTACTTTTACTAAACTACATATTAATTATATCACACAAGCCTTATCAATTATATTTTAGATTTAAATTAAAACAAAATAGGAATAATGAGGATCAAGAAGTAAAACAAAATAGAACCATACGGTTCATTCTCAAACTTCTCCATTACAAAACTATACACAATATGTTGTATATACATATTAACACCTGGAGGTAAATTTCGAAGAAATTAATTAAATTTCTAAGAAATCTATAGTTAACTGACACGCCGGCGAGTCCGCGGTCGTGGAGGGATTAATAGATAGTAACAAAATAAAGCTAGTGAAAGTTAACATAAAATTTTATAAATCAAACCTCAATACAGTGTATCCATGAATATACTAACTTCTAAATATCTCTTCTATATAGATTTATCTATATTTAATTTCTCTTTTTAAAATATATTTTAGTGCTGTTATATCTGTTACTAGGAATTCAGCCCTTTAAGACATCCCACTGCTTGGCACGGGCCTTCCTTCAATATGAGGGGGATCAGGCCATAGTCCACCACACTGGCCAAGTGCGGGTTGGCGGACTGGACATGTCTTTCTAAAACTTGTTAGTTTATCTCAGACATGCAAGTTTCCTCACGATGTTTTCCTTCACCGTAAGACAAGTGGTAATTATGTTGAAAATGATTCACACATGAGAATATCAGAGGTGCAAGAAGACCTAGGATTTGAACCAGCTTTACTCAGTGGCTCAAGCAAGCGCATCACCACTGGGCTATCACTGCCTCTTACTGTTACTATTTAGAGAGAAACTAACCTTAATTATGTATGATACAATGAAAAGAAAACAAATAACAATTTACAAACGTATACCTAAAAGAAACTTAGGGCTTAGCCAGATCGTTATTCTACAATTGCTATCCACTAATAGAAACCTTAAAATGAATAAGTATAACATTTAAAATATAATATTTATATGTCATCCATATATATTTTTAGTTTCCTATCAATATCTATTGCAGAAAGTCACATTGGCTTATTTATACTTAAGGACATATATTTGGGTTTTCATGTTATAAGAGTTGCTCACTATATTTTATATCAGTTTTATATTCTAATTAAAAAAACAATATACATTCGTGACCATAAAAATATTAAAATATCACTAAATAAATATTTTTATTCTGTTTATTCATATTACAAATTTATGTTTTAAATGACATAGTGCATTACATACTACTTGGTGTTTCTGAATAAAATATTCTATTTATTATCTGTGAACTGTATTGATATGTCTGTGAGTTAAAACCAACTATAATACAGATTTCCATTTTGTGTTTTAGAACATATACTATACTAGCGACTCGCCCTCGCTTCGTACGTCCCTAGGTACGTTTTAACGATTAGTATGGAATATATAGACTATCCATACTAATATTATAAAGTTGAAAGTGTGTTTGTTTGTTTGTCCTTCTTTCACGTCGAAACGGAGTGTCGGATAGGCATGATTTTTTGTGTGAAGATAGTTGGAGGGATGAAAAGTGACATAGGCTACTTTTTACCGCGGGAGATTATCTAATTCCCACAGGAAAACACGTTATAATACAATCCAAAAAAATATTTATGATCAGAATTACTTGAAACTTGGTATTAATGCTCTTCAATAAAATTACGTAAATAAAAACGTGTTTTAGCATTTCTTGAAATTAATCCTTTATGGGGGAAAAATAGGGGACGAAAGTTTGTATGAAACTACCTTTTGAGATTTTTTGTAGTTTTAGCGCGAGAGAAGCTGCGGGTTCTGCTAGATATTATATATACTAGTAGAGCCTATAGCCTTCATAAATAAACGGGCTGTCCAATGCAAAAAGAATTTTTCAAATCGGATTAGTAGTTCCTGAGATTAGCATGTTCAAACAAACTGCCTCTTCATAATATTAGTATAGATCATGTCTTATATGTAAATGTTTTGAGAACCACTATTTCTAACTTGATCAGCTTGAAGTTAAGGCGAGTAACTATGCTGTAAATTGTTTTAAAATTAAATAATTTTAGAACATGGAGCAACAAACGTCAGACCAATCTACTAAAATCTCACTATTATTTCGATATCAATGACAAAATGGAAGAATGGACTGTATCACTTGAACTCTCATCATCAGACTATTCGAGCCGGTTAAAGTAAATATATGTATATATAAATATATTTTTACACACAAGTCTGAACACTCCGGAGGCACTAAAAGTTTCCTCGTTGGAATCCGAGGCCGACCCCGCGCATGGTGTGCGTGGTGGCGCGGGCCACTTCGTACTGAGCTTGCATTGCTTGGAACAGCTCCTCTTGCTTCTTATTGGGGTCCACTGTCTCGTCGGCTGGCTCGGGAGGCTTCACTGCAGCTGTGATATTTAATGTTATATTAACAATTATTAATAACCATATGCAGGATATTAAAAACGGTTATTTAAATTAATTAACGACTAATAAAAACGAGGAGGCTGTGTTTACAGTATTTAGCATGGTGTGAGTGACATTAGTCAATTATCATCTTATAATTTACAAACATGGCGTTATATTTCTGCTCTAACTTAAATATTATAAACATATAGTAACTGTAGTGCATCAAACAAATTTAACCAAAAAAAATATAAAAAAAATATATTTAAAAAAATATTTAGTGTACAGATTCAACTCAAAAAAATTAGAATTTTATTATATGTAATAATTAATAGATAAGAAGGATATAAAATGTGCTCTGACCAGGCTCTTTGATGCCCATAAGCCGCATGAACTTGGACACCTGGCGGCCGTCATTGTCCTGCGCGAAGCGCGCGCCGCTCCACTTGGCCGCCTCCGCCACCGCCGCGGACTTCTCCTTGTTCGACCACAACAACTTGCGTTTCTGCACCTGTAACATGGTGGCATTTATCTATACACCTACATATGTATTTTATTGTAACGTTTTTCTATATGGATTTATGTACAGCACATAATTTATACCTCATTGGTTGTTCCGTAGAAAATTTAAATTGATTTTAAAGTTTGTATATAACACTAGCATTGCCCGCGGCCCCGCCCGCGTTAAGATGACCAAAAACCAAATTCTTAGGTTTTACATATTAGTATACTCGTACATTGCAGTTTTTGTATTTTTTCTCAGAAATGAGATATTTTACCGCGGTAAAAAGTATCCTATATGTTGACCTGGATAACCAGCAACTGCCATACCAAATTTCATCAAAATCCCTCCAGTGGTTTTTCTGTGATGCGGTAACAGACAGACAAAAAATCTAAAAACTATAGATTCGGCCTCTGTATCGATAATAATGTTTATTTTAATAAAATTTTCCAAAAAATATCTAATTAATTATTAATTTGGCTTAGTTACAATTTTATTATATGTATAGATTACGTTACGTTACATAGGCAGTGTTATATTTGCACTTAGTGACTACTCTACTGACTCTGCTATCTCAGGTGCCAACAGAATAAATGAATAATAAATTAACAATTAAGTAGATGATTAACCGAAGTAATTCAATCTTAGGATGAAATATAGACATACATTTTAATTATATTAATTGATATATTTTACTAGTTTTGAGCTCAGCTCTACTCGCATGGTAGATTCGTTAGTAAAGTGCAGTCTCTTTTAAATTAATTAGAATCGAATATTTTTAATTATCAACACATTATACAGGGTCATTTTTAATTTACTGAAAACCTTTTGGGAAAATACTATTTACATCATAACAACAACATCTGTAACAAGAAAAAATTATATTTCTTAAATTATTATTTTTATACAAAAATAAAAATTTTTTTTTTGCACCTTCTAAACTTTAAAGTTCTAGCATCTGGCCAAGTTTAAATGAGTAAGCGCGGCTTCCTACACCCCTCCACCGGACACGCGCTTTTTTTTGCTAATGCTTGACTATTACCGTTTAGAAGGTGCAATAAAAATACTTTTATTTTTGTTAAATCTAAGATATATAATTTTTTTTTCTTACAGATGTTGTTGTTATGTTGCAAATAGTGTATTCCTAAAAGGTTTTCAGTAAATTAAAAATGACCCTGTATATTATATATATATATATATATATATATATATATATAATTTAGCAATATTAACCTGATCCAATATCTTGTTAGAGTTGATAGCACATGGGTTATAGTACGAGGGCAGGCCGGAGCCGGGCGCCTCACTGGCGGCCGCGCGCAGCTGCTGCGCCGTCGCCATGGAACCGTCTGGCGTTTTGATTTGAAGACCTGGAATTACGTTATGTTTGTATGTTTATGTTACGTACATCCCTGAAAATATTTCCCAAGAATTGTGACATGCATAACATGAATACTAGGAGCAAACACAAATTTGCAATGATTTGATTATATGGAACAAATAATTATTTTTATGGACAATGTATAGGTTTTTACAATGGCAACCCAGAAAACGTTCAAGAAAAACTCTACTGCTACATTTAAAAGAAATTCTTGAAGGAAGTCTGTGTGCAATCAAGTTTATTAAACAATAAATGAATTTATATAACCTAATACTTTAGGAATAATGTGATCGCCTCCAGGCTATTTCATTGTAGAATTATTCTCATATATATTTTGATTCCAAAAAAAAAAATTGACAACGTCAAACCAAAATTTATAGTGTGATTAAAATTTATTTTTAAATATATACATTAAACTTTAATTAATAGTATAAAAAATGTTTTAAAAGACAAAAATATCGAAAGTGCATCATATTACAAGACAATCAGAGATATATATAAGAGACATATTCCGCGATAAACAATAGCATTCCCAAGGAGGGTTGACGTCAGGCAGACGGCCGGTCGTAAAACTTTTGCCAAATCCTTTCAGCAGTAAAGAGGATGTACTGCGCCGACCCCAAGTAATTGGGAAATGGGCAGGGAGAAGAAGAAGAAGATATTTTGATTAAAGTAAATAATATATATTTTAGTCCTGCTAAGTTACTTAAGCCAGTTTGTCTTAGGACAGGCTTTTCTGTGGAGGTGACACATGATGTTCAGTAACAAATTATAATTTAACAAATTATAAAATATATATTATTTATATATTTTATTTTTGTGTAATAAGATTTGAAATTAAATATGAACTATATCCATACCCATTTTTTCCATAACTTCAAGTTTCTTGTTAACTTTATATGAAGATGGCCTGTAGTCTCCGGATGGTGGGGAGCCCCGTCGTTCATTTGAAGTGCTGACAAAGAAGGAAAATTTTAATTATCATTAAATAAGTATTTGTTATATAGTTTTGTTTTTAAGCTACTATTGAATCTAACTTATAAAGTTCACTGAAAATATTTAATATTATGTATTATGAAGTCGATTATAACAATTCTTTGTTGGATAATGGCACTCTTCAATGTATACACATACTGCTAATAAACCTTTAAGAGTTTGGCTTCATTAATTCGTTTTGACGATTTCTACACATTAAAATTATCCTAAAGCTATGTGTTTGATTCATCATATATTTTTACCTGGAATATGGTGGAGGAAAAGCGGCTCCACGCGATCGCGAACGATGTTCTGAATTCCTATCCCTCCCAGATCTGTGAAAAACAGCATGAATAAATTTTAAATTCGATCTTTTCTGTCAAAAGAATTGTGAAGCGTGATTACCAACTGAAATCTCATATTTCTATAACACATTTACATTATGTCGTTTTTATTTCTTGTTTTATTTTATTTATTTATTTCAGAACATGATATTACAAATACAAATGTTTATAAAAAGTAAAAATGTAAAAGTGCTTTTAAAGTGCTCGTAATAAGTCTAATTGAATAAAGTTCATTTCTTTATATATATATATATTTGCAAAACGTCTTGCTGGGCGTACGTAATTTCTTTTAATCTTCATAGACCTTAATGTACACTTAGGTATTCGCTTATAAATAAAATATTTAGATGAAATAAAAAAAAAACAAATGAAAAAAAGTATAACGTCTTTTGTTTTTAGAACAAAAAAAAATAGTGAACAGTGTATGGCATTCAAAAATAAATGGCCTAAAACCATGTGCAGCGCAGTTTCACTTCGTCGACTACTTCGCGGGCGGCGCAGCAGGCAGTAACTAGTGGAATATAAATGTATATGATCAAACCTTCTTTCTTCCGAGCGTCTACTGTGTCGACTTTCCCTGTCGCGATCGCGCTCTCTGTCTCTGTCGCGACGATCGCGGTCTACGAACCTATGAAACAAAGTAGACTTGTTTAAAAAAAATATATAATTAATACGTAATAGTAAAATTTCTGGCAGTTTGAAACAATTGTTAAAATTTTGAGTAAAAAAATAACCAACTTCAAAATCACTTAAAATTAAATATTTCAATAGTACATTTTTTTTCTCTAAATATAAAATTAGCCTATTCTAATTTAAAAAAATAATAATTAAAAAATACAGCTAAATTGAGAATATCTTACTCTTCTAAAGTCAATTCAAAAATACATACAAAAGGAATGGTATCAGTACCTGGGAGAAACGGCATCACGAGCGTCTTGCGAGCGACTTAGTCCTGGTGGCGGTTCTCCGCCGTACGGCTTTAAGTCCATGAGTGCAGGCATCTGGGAATTATTGTCATAATATAAAATACTGGAAATCTAAGAAAGTATTATGCTGGACTCATTATATCAATATTATTCTGAGCACCCTTAAGTTATTAAACTATAGTTTTAAACTATATTAATAAATAAATATTAATGTTTAAATATTTGTCCTTTATGTATTCTTAAACCATTGATCCAATGGTGATGAAACTCTGGTGGTTTATTCCATATATGTCTGCAAAGTTCCTGGTGCAAAAAAAAGTTTTCTTTGGACATTTACTTTTATACCTTATATTTTCTAAGCCGAAGCGAGAGTAAATCCGTAGTTATTTTTACATTCAGGCTTTTTATTAACCAACTAGATACTACTCTTGGTTGCACTACAGTGTATCTTATCAGGAACTTGCATCACCTGAGCATATTTCTGTGCGTATATTGCGTTGATGCATTTAAAAGGACCTTTGAACACCATGTTTCATACACATATTGTATTCTACAGAAGAATCATAACGCTCATCAGAGTATATGTAATTAGATTTACATTTTTAACATTTATTGATAAGTTTGTATAAAAAGATAATGCTATCTTACCTTATTCTCAGCAGGTCTTTCATCCGGTCTATCGCCCAGCAAACCACGCTTGGGCCCGTCATAGGCGCCTCGATTACGCTCAGATCTAGAAGTAAAATATAGTCTCTAATACTATCAATTAATAAGATGAAATTGAGTTATTCATATTTTAAGGATGTATAATATATTTTATTTTAACAGTATAATCGCGCATACTTTCGTATTTCTCATATATTTTGAATCTTTTGACAAGGCAAAAATATATTGCCTTAAGCATTTTAAAGAATAGATAACTAATATTTATTTTTATATACTCTATAAAACTAATAGCTGACATATTGTATGTACCTATCTCTATTATTTTCTCTGTATTTCTCATCTCTCCGCGGAGAGCGACGTTCGCGCTCATGGCGGTCCTTATCGCGGCGACGATCGCGATCCGATGTACGGTCGCGCTCGCGATCACGGTCACGGTCGCGTTCTCGACTGTCGTCTGTTGAAGAATACATTGAATTAAACATACTTAGAAATATCCTTTTGATGGGGAAAATTAGTTTATATAATCTTTTTATTAATCTATATTTTATATCACAGGTTTATTAAATAAACGGCAGAAGTGCAAAGGCGGCTTTATACTGACAAGAATTTCTTACAAGTGACCAATAATGCAGAACTCGATAAAGTGTTAAAAAGCAGAAAGATTTATTATTACATTTTTTGTTAAAACAATTTGTGCATATTTTTGAACCACGTAGACAAGTCTTTGTCAGTTAATCACAGAACATTATACATGTAGTCTTACAAGTATAACTCACTTGAACCTTGCCGAGCACCCCTGGAAGATTGCCGTGAAGACTGCTGCTCAGCTGGCGGAAGCTCGGGCTCCGACTCTGCTCCCTGGGATTCCTGCGACAAAATATTATTGACGTCATCATCAGTTATATACTATGCTAAAAATATTCTTGCAAAAGCTCTTGTATTATTTGATTAACAATAGTGTTATCAAATTGGTGAATAAGGCATAATTGCTGATTAAAAATAATCTAAGCTTAGTAATTGTAACCTTAAAATAATTTTAGTATAGTTTTTATTTGATCGAGTTTGTTTGAGTTGTAATTAACCTTTAGAAGCAAAAAAAGAAATGTCTCCATAAATATGAATCATAGTGCCAAAGATTAAGTCTTGAATAAAAAAAAATTGGACTTATTAATGCCATATTGTGACTTTTGGTAAACATAGAAAATATATTGCTCTGACATAAAGAGAGAATGTTCTGTTTATAATTTCCATGCACCAATATGAATTTGTTCAAAATATGTTGCTTCTGTCAAAGAAAAAAATATACCACTGTTTTATGTACAAGTTTTTATTAGTATGAATCTTACCTTATTTACTAATATGGAAAAATTGTATAAACAGATAGTTTGTGATTGGTGTTAATATAAATTATAATAATTCATATACATATTAAACCTGTTTAAAAATAAATATAAAATAAAAATACCTTTTCACCATTTTAAGGTTAAATACAGATAATAATTGTTTTCCATCATTTCTTTATCTGTCTTAAGCCTATGTACTCACATGCTGGTCTTAAAGCAGGGCCACATCAGATGCTCATCTTGAAGTCGCAGCGTTGGTATTTGACTTTGTTTTGTGTCAATTTACAAATGGGTAACATATAAAATAATAAAAGTGTTAATATCATCGTTGAAAATTTTTTTTATATGAATTTGAAGTTATTTTCTTCATCATTTTTTTTATATACAATATTTTTACTTTTGGAAATGACACATAATTTATCCCATTGTAAATATGTTTTATATTTTACATAACATAAATATCCATAGTGGTTTTATTTATATATTTGATATTTGAAGTGAAATTATAATAAATTTCAAAAAGAATAATTACAAAACTGAAAGTACTTATAGTAAGAAATACAGTATAGCTGTAAAAATTTACTCATTTGTTTGGTCTTCATTTTTAATTACATATTACTTGACTTCTTTAAATTTTAGTTTACACATACATATCTAAATGAATATGTAAAATTTCCACTTCAATTCATTGTACAACAGAATTTTTCTTTCATTAAATTCAAGCTAGTCAAAAATTATAGGAGGTTTAATTGGAATAACATACATAATGTTTTTCTAAAAGTAACAATAAATCTAAAATGTAATTTATTAAATGATCCAAGCATCATAAATAGCAAATCTTATCAAAAGTACAACCAGTTTCATAACAATAAATACAATATATTACTAATGAAAACGCTATTAGCATATCTCATCTAATAGAACCGACTTCTACTTATTTTTGTGACCAAATTGTTAATCTAGACCCAAATACAGAAATAATATTATATTTTCAATTAAAAGCAGCTTACCTCGCTCAAATCCATGTTGACATCGTCGTAGTTAGTATCATCCTCCTTCCGTTTTCCTCCGGTGCCCACCTAGAATATCAGTCTATTGTCAAGCAGAGAAGATAGATTAATATAATTTTCTAAAAATACACTACAATTCTAATACCTAATTTTACTTTGTTGTTGTACCCAAATTCTTTCGTTTAAACACATACATTTCTTACGCTTATAACTCTTCAAGCCATTTATGCAAGTAACAATCAAGCAAAATGATAACAAGTAAAAACTATACATAAAAAGTTTATATATCACCCATATGCTTATTGTTAGATATATAAAGACTAAGTTTCCTGAATGAAACTTCGAAATCTACAGAGAAAATTCAAGATATTTTTTACTTACCGAAGAACGACGCCCATATCGATCAGACTCATATTCATCGTCGCTTCCATAACCAACAAGAGAATTCATTTTAGTAATATCTAGTAGTTTCGTTGATATTCACAAGTTAATCTTATTTTTAAAGTAGTTTTTATGAATATAATAATTACACAAGCGAAAAAATATGGACGCAACTCAATACCATGGATGACAAATAAAACTCAATACGACAATATGGCTATTGGCCACAAATCACAGATAACGAAAATTAAAAGAAATAAAATAAAGATAATAAATAAATGAAAAACTATTAAAATAAAAATAAAAAGTTTTATTTGTTATTCATGGTTAAAATAGCCCTTACTTACTTAACTGAACTACCATTATTTTCGCAGATCTCGTTTTACATATTTATAAAATTTTGTATTTAATCCAATGGGATTAAATACAAAATTTTATATGGAAGAAATGTAGGGAAGAAATGTCTTCCCTTAATCTTATAAATTTATAAATGCGAAAGATTGAATGGATGTTTGTTACTAAATCATGCCAGAACGTCTAAACGCTTCTGGATTCAATTTGATACATAGATAGATTATATTCTGGAATAGGATAGGATATAGGTTATTTTTTATCCCGAATAAATGTACAGTTCATGTGGGATAGATTTGTTTTTGTTTTTCACAGAGCAAGCAATCGACTATCTATTCCATACTAAGCGTTAAACTTAAAACGTACTTAGAAACGAACCCAAGCGAAGCGAGGCTGAGTCGCGAGTAAAAAATAAATATTCTATGTTCTGTTCAAGTAACAGTAGAAGGTTTTTTAATTAAAAGGCGGAGGATGAACCGATAACAGACGCAAAAACAGATTTATAAGTTTTTTACTACTACCTATTAGATAGGTACCAAGTTCGACGAAAGGTTTGAAGTTTGAACTTTTGGATCAAAATAAGGTAATTTATTCATTTCTTCAAAAATTAAAACACTGAAAGGATTTGCACTGTGATATAAAAAAGCGCATGGTTCTAATTTAGAAAATAAACTCTGGCTCTTCAGATGTGGAGAAGTTCGAACTCTTTAATGAAATCGAATTATTCCCAATGTTTATTGACGATTCCGCTACGTCGTTGGATATTTTAAATTATTTGTTTACGAATAAATTAATTTCAGTGTTTCCAAATATGTCCACAACACTTAGGATTTACCTCACATGGCCATTCACAGTTACTGTAGCACATAGGGAAAGATCATTTTCTAAACTAAAAATATTTAAAAACTGTCTCAGATCAACATTGTTGTAAAGAAGATTGACGAATATTTTATCGTTACTATACTCATGGTATTGGACATGAAATCAAAATTGAAGTTAGTGACATCGTTAAAAAATTTGCTAATGCAAAAGCACGAAAAGTAATATTTTTTGCAAATATATTTGTGTTGTATGAGGTTTCTGTAATTACATTATTATTATTTTTAAATTAAATATTTTTGAAATAACTACAAAGTTGTGCTTTTTTATTCTTGTAACCCCTTCCTAAAAAATACTTTTTCTCGTGTGTTTACATTTACACCCGAATTTCCATTACTGTTACATATGAACAATATTATCGTAAAGATTCATTAAAATCCAATAGTAGTTGACCGGGGATATAAGGTACCACAATGCAAAATTTCATTTTAATCGGTCCAACAGTTTCTGAGATTAGCCCGTACAAACAGACAAACAGACAGAGAAACAAAAAAATTAAAAATCTGGATTTGTTCTATTTCTCTTCTTATTGTACATCCCCCTGACTAGCTTTTAGCATTTTTTTTCTATGTATATTCATTCGATGTCTATAGTTTTATTATATGTATAAAATGATAAATAATAAATATGTATGGCCCAGTAATTACCATATACTTTTACATAATATGTATACTAGTTTTACATAATATATAATATCCATATCTATACTTCCACACATATTACTTATCTAATATATAAATATCTTGTGTAACGGTGTTTGTGGTCGCTCTCCTCCGAAACGGCTCGACCGATTTAAATGACATTTTTTTGTATATTCGGTAGGTATAAGAATAAGTCGTAAAGTATAATTATACATATAATAAAATTGTAACTAAGCCGAATCTGTACATTAAGTATTTTTTGGTAAATCTTATTGAAATATACATTATTATCGATACAGAGGCCGAATCTATAGTTTTTAGAATTTTTGCCTGTCTGTCTGTTACGCATCACAGAAAAACCACTGGAGGGATTTTGATGAAATTTGGTATGGTGATAGCTGGTTATCCGGGTCAACATATAGGATACTTTTTACCGCGGAAAAAGGTCTCATTTCTGAGAAAAAATCAAAAATTGCAATGTAAGAGTATACTAATATGTAAAACCTAAGAATTTGGTTTTTGGTCATCTGAACGCGGGATAAGCCGCGGGAAATGCTACTAATATTAATTCTTTGAAAGTGTGTTTTTTTTGTTTGTTTGTCTTTCTTTCACATCAAAACAGAGGGACGGATTGGCGTGATTATTTTTGTGTAGAGATAGTTGAAGGGCTGGAGAGTGATATAAGCTACTTTTACCGCGAGAGATTACCTCATTCTCACGAGAAAACACGTTATAATACAACCCATAACATCTCATTGCGGCACGGCTTAACCGATTTGGGTGCGGTTTTCACTCATGGATTGTAGTAAGATTCACTTAATATTTAGTATTTGTCCATCGGTTCATAAATAAAAAAGTTATGTCAATTAAAAGAATCATCTAGGTACGAACCCGAGCAAAGCGAGGGTGAGTCGCTAGTATATAATGTAGTTTATCTATCTATTTGTAGTCTATCTATTCCATACTAATCGTTACAACGTATCTAGGGACAAAATCGAAGGCGAAGAGATGGCAAGCCGCTAGTTTTTATTGGTTCAAATTGCTTAATTATACTTAAGATTACACTTTATTATTATAATAAATATTCACATAAAGTAATACTAATATGTAGTAATAAAAGTGTTAAAATCTATATTGGCTATTTGTTTCACCCGTAATTTTTAATATTAATAAAATATAGAATTTAAACGTAAAATAAATAAAAATATGAGTACCAATTTTAATAAATCAACTCACAGGTCTCAATTTAATGTAATAAGCACAATAACGAAAGTATTAGTACAAATTATCATAGTTACAATAAGAGATATTAAAAAAAGAATTCTACAAGTCTCAATTTACTATTTAGTGGAATTCATGAATTGAATCATGGATGACAATTGAATATTGACGCATACCCATCGCCATCGCCATCATTACCATTTATTTTATTTACCATAGAGTATATTGCTACATATATAAATTATTTACCATGCGCAAACTAGTTGATATAAATCGGATACAGTGACTTGCAAGCTTAATATAAAGCCTTAAATTTATAAGCTAAATATTTAATAAAATAAAACGCATTATTTATATTTTTATCTTTTTACTATTTATAAAACATCGATAGCAATTACATATTATTAATGAAAGTAATTAATATACTTACAAAACAAACATTTAGTTGATATGTTTAAAATCTTTGCAAAGTATCCGATCGTGCAACATTACAATATTCTTTCTCTTTTCATATTTTTTTTAATATGGCGGAAGCATTGACCGCCGTCAGGTCGTCTAGTTTTTATCGAGTGTAAAATTTGTATTTTTCGCATTTATTGTTTCGCGAGTGTCGTTAATGTGAAGATATTTAACAGTTTAAACTTTTTGTTAACCATTTTTGGAGATTAAAACACCACAAACTTTATTTCGAGTATAAAAATGGTAATGATAGTTTTTTGTTTTGATACTTTTTTATGAACTCAACAATGTTAATTTTTTTATTTTTTGTTTAATTTCTATACTTTTAACATTATGTTGGAAGTAAAAATAGAAGTTATGAAGAAGAATAAGGTGTGACAATTATAAAAAAAGCCATTTTAGCGTTTTTTTTCGTTGTTTTTAAGTTTTATAACCAAAAAAAAGTGTCATGAGGTGATGGCAGGCTCACATGTTATATTACTTGAGTGATTAAATCTTGAAATTGGTGGGTGTAAGGTAGTGTTAGCATTTAATTATGCAAGTTGGGTGTGGCTGTATTGATTTTCTTGGAAGGTTCTAGGTCTAGTACTAGAATACGTCCTAATAACTGCACCTTAGCTATGCACATCATACTTGTCCTATGCATTGTGAACTGATTTTACCGATGTTTTCTTTGTTTATTAGTTTCTTTAAGAGTTATGTTCTTATATTCCTGAAGTTAGTCAAATTTCTGCTAATAAGAAAATATAAATTGGCTTAAGATTTGTTTTGTAGTGACAACTATGTTTAGTCTATGTATGCATTCATTTTTCATTTCAGTAAAGGTTATAATAGTTATAGAAGTAATAAAAAGCATTATAAAACATTTTTATCAGTTATGTAAGTTCAATATAAACTTGTACTCTTGCCAGATGAAGAAACATTGAAATTGGAAATACTTATGTGCCAAAAACATAGTTTTATTGTTTTAATAACATTATTTGTATAATGTAAACATTTGTAATATTGAATAAGTATATAATTCTATTAAAACATAATAATAATAATAATAAAATATATAATAACAATAAACTGTCAAATATATGTCAAATATGTTTTGAAATTACATATTTAAATAATTATTATGATACCAGTATACATATAATACATTTTTTTAATAACTTTTGAGTTATGGATCAAATGCATACATTAGTATTATTTTGTTTTTATTGTTTATTTTGATTGTTTTACATTGGGTTTATTGTAGACATAGAATTAATGTCTTTTAGTCATGGCAATCCACATGTTATCCTTAATATTGTAATAAAATTTACTTTTAATCCTTCCATGACCACGGACACGTCGGTGTTACAGCTCAGGTTACTACAAATAGTGTATATTTGAGATAAGTTCCGTGCCCCAAAACCGTTAATTTGGCCTACTTAGATGTTATGCTTACATTACAAACCTAATAATGAAATTTAATTTATATGTGAATTCTACATGTCATATTCTATTAAAAAAAATATATTATATTGCAGTCAAAACGCAAAGCATATGGAGATGATTCTCCTGCAGCATCAGATGATGATTCAGACTTTGATGATGATGAAGACCCAGACAATTTGGAAGTACCAGGTATATATTTTGATGTATTTATTTGTATCTTCGATAACTCTTTAGAAAATTATTAATCTAAGTATATTTATGATATATAATAGGCCATAATTTATATAAACAAATATCTTTGTTAAGGTGGGGGTAAAACTTTGGCTGCGGCGGCCCGTATGGGTGACAAAACAAAGCCTCCAAACACTATACCTGTTGTTGTCAAGGCGACCACAAATCCATTGGCTGGTAAGTTTTTACCATTTATAGTTCTATATTGTCTTATCTATACTTTCAAATTAAATATTGTCATTATATTAAATTAGTGCACTTAAGTTATTACAAGAATGACTTCATTGGTGATTCCTATATTTAAAAATTGATTAGAAAAAAGTTCATTTTTATAATATTTATTAGTTTGTCTTCCGAATTAGATAGTGTTTTCTGTATTTCTGTCTGTATTTTCTGTTTAAAAAGTCATATCTTTATAAGCTATAATAAAGTTGGTTAATGATACCTTATAATGAATTAAAAAAAAGAAAAAACAAAGTAAGATTATCGGCATTCTTCATACAAGAAACATTTTTTCTAAAATACTTTCTGTTTGATATATTTAGTACACATTTATACGAACATTGAATTTGGGTTAATTTTTTTTTCTATTTATTTTAAAGGCTTTTATTTCAAAAATATGCCAGTCCTATCATACCTTAATCTACATAGTTACATAAACTGGATCCTAAGAAAATTGTATACCAATTTGGTCTCCTCAGAAGTAGGAACGGACAAAATGGTGTTGTAATTACCTATATCGAAACTATTCAGATTCAATGCTTTAATTAGGTTTTTACTTTGATGGTCATACCGGACAGATTCCACTAATAAATGATGCCTAAACATCTTCATATACTCCATATACGTCACAGTTTGGTGAGAGAGATTTTTTTCATAAGAAATAGAAAAATATTTAATGTCCAGAATTAATAAATAATTGAAATAATTTATATTAATTACTATTATTTTTCCCCTCCATCTGCATAGTATGTTTATGTATTACTATGTCTTCATAAATTTGTAATCTATGTGCTTCCTAATGTGTAAGCTATGTTACTGTAAAGTTTTATCAAAATCTGTTCAGTAGTTTTTGAGTAAATGAGTAACAAGTTCACATACTTTCGCACTTATGATATTAATATTACTCAGTAGGAGTTCAATAGACAAATGATGTAACCGACCACATGTAGGTGGGATTCCCGCCAAAAGTATAGTTGAAACTAGCGTTGCCTGCAGCTCCGCCCGCGTTCAGATTACCAAAGACCAAATTATTAGGTTTTACATATTAGTATACTCTTTTATTGCAGTTTTTGTATTTATTCTCAGAAATGAGATACTTTTCCGCGGTAAAAAGTATCCTATATGTTGACCCGGATAACCAACTATCACCATACCAAATTTCATCAAAATCCCTCCAGTGGTTTTTCTGTGATGCGGTAACAGACAGACACAAAAATTCTAAAAACTATAGATTCGGCCTCTGTATCGATAATAAATAATAATGTCTATTTCAATATTAAATAATAATTCAGATTTTCCAAAAAATATTTAATGTACATAGTTGACTCAGTTAGAATTTTATTATATGTATAGATGAGAAGCTTTGTGCTATTTGTGATGATGATGTTCTCCTAGCCGATTCCGGCCACGGCGGCCAATTTCAATGAGATTAGCCAACTGCGCAGGAGATATTATAGTGCTCAAGTGTACGCGCAGACACAAGTGCACTCTCTATTCCTATCACTCTCATACTCCGGTGGGACCACCACTCGACACGACCGGTGAGAGTTAAGGCGCAGGACCGACGGCTTTACGTGCTCTCCGAGGCACGGGGGTGAAACACCGCCAACTTCCCAACTCCGGGCTGTTACTGAGACTTACTATACAGGAAAACTCAATAACTAAACTTGGCCCGACCCGGGACTCGAACCCAGGACCTCCGGGTGTGCAGCCGTACATGCTAGCCACTACACCACCGAGGCAGTTGTGTTTTGTTGTTTATTTGTAATACATATAACAACACATTGTATGTTGGCGCTGGGGGTTCCCGCTTTGGGAGAATCTGAATGTTATCAAATTTTTATAAGGAAGGATTTAAAAAAAAAAAACTGTTTATGTATTTAATTGCGTTTATAATGACGATTTATTTAATATACCTATTTTAGCAAGGAAATGACGGAATCGATAAAATAAAGCCTGGTCTTTTTAACCATAAAAAAAAACTCTTATATGGTTTTCCTATCAAGTTTCAAAAGATATTACAACTTGATACAAAATAATCTATACATATCTATACTAATATTATAAAGAAGTAAAGTTTGTGAGTTTATGACGTTGTAGGAGGTAATCTCTGGATCTACTGAACCGATTTAGATGAAATTTGGTAAGAAGATAGTTTGAGATCCTAAGAAGGATATAGGATACGTTTTTTCCTGGAAATCATTCCTCAAGGGGGTAAACATAAGGATGAAAGTATGTATGGGGAATCAAGCTAGGGACGAAACCGAGCGAAGCAAGGCTGAGTTGCTAGTGTATAATAAAATTGTAACTTAGCCGAAACTGTACATTAAATAGTTTTTGGAAAATATCATTGAAATAAACATTAACGCAACATCTGTGTTAAAGTCACGAGTATTGGAAACGCTTTTTTTACAAGCATTGGTAACAAATCCGATGTTGTAAGGACGTCGTACTAACAACAAACGTTGAAACAGAAGCCTTTAAAATGTTAAACTTCACCGAAAGTGTTTCGAGATGTGAGGGGAGGTTGGGGGAACTAGACCCGCCACCCACTTACCTAATGGACTTTATACTGCAGTACATATAAACTAGACCGTCCACTGCAATGCCTAACTCGGGATGAGCAAATATATCGGGAAATCAATAGCTTCAAGATTAAATGTAGCTTTGTATTCAAACGAAATTATACAATACACGCAACTAATATTTGTTTTGTATATATAATAAAAGGCGCATTTGGTGTTTTATAAACTATACTAGCCACTCACCCTCGCTTTGTTTGGGTGCGTCCCTAAGCTTTAATGGTTTAGGAGGAATGCATAGAAGATAAACTTCCAAAAAACATTTTTTTTCACAGGAACAGGAACTTTCGTAGGCTTATACAGAATAACCCATCAGAGTTTCATCACAATCGGACCGTAGCTTAGGAACACATATAGGACAAAAATACGAACATTCATTTTTATTTTAATAGATGTCACGTTGAATACTTTAATATTTATATTTATGTACATAAATATATTTTAATTTATTAAATAAATTGCTAATGTTTGTCACTTTTAGCTAATTTTTTATTTATTTTTCAGCACCATCTGGTTTAGCCTTTGGTCAAGCGGCTAATATGAAGCCTATCAAGATATTAGGCAGCTCACTCACGAAACCTTTAATAGGAATAGGCAGAGGAAGTAAGTACTTTATTTTTTAATAAATAGAAAATATGAGATATAATTTAAAAAAAATGTATTCTTTTATGTTATTGAGATTAAACAAAATTGTCTTAATATTTTATTTATGGTCTAATTTAAAAACGTGATTGATTCATTTTAATCGGGTGTTTAACCTCAATGGGGTATTTTCCTTAAAAGTGCTCAAATTTCTTCGTCTATGGTTACTTTTTATTAAAGAAACTGAATGAATTCATGAAATGCCCCAACACTATGTACGTTTCTTCTGTAGCCTGTCAATCTGTGGCCTCGTTTACTGATGCCACTAGGAGATAAACGATATTTATAAATATAATAAAAGTGTAACTGATCGCTGTCTGTACATGGAAAATATTTGAGAAACACTATTATTGGGGGGTCTTTATTAATGCTATGCAGTCCAAAACAATGATTTGTAGAATTTTTGTCTGTGCCTTTGTGCGCGCTTATCTCAGAAACAGCTTAACTGATTTGGGTGTGGTTTAACTTGCACTAATGTATTGTAGTACCTAAGCTTCACTTAAAATTTATTATTTGTCAATCGGTTCATAAATATAAACAATAAAGTGATAAAATGAATAAATATTAAAGGGACGTAAGTTTAAAGAAACACCTAGGGACAAACACGAGCGAAGCGAGGGTGAGTCGCTAGTTTTGAAATAAATTAAAAATGGGGATCATAGACTTGGGCTAATGTGTTAGATTTAACATTGATCAAAGAGATAAGATAGCTTTGACATAGCATTAAACATATAAATCACCATGATTGTCATTTTTGTGAATTTATTAACATAACCCTCCTGTGGGCTTCGCCGCAATCGGATAAAATGAAAAAGTATGCAAAGTTAGCATCGTCCAGTTTATAGGTAATTGTTGAAGCACGTAATATTAATTTACGTTTATTTTAGTGCGGTAATTTACGGTTATTTTAGTGCGGTATTGTGCAATAAATAATAAAAATTTTATTGTTCGATATATGATCACGTATGTTCATTTAACCTGCTGAAGAAAAAAATCACGCATGATTGATTTTATCGATCATATATACGTAATAGTATCTTTTTAATGGTGCAAGTTTTAATGCCTTTTTTACGACATAAAAAAAATTTGGCAATTGTCGATTTTACATATGAATTTGTGGAGTTACCACCTTTTTACCGTATAAAAGAACGTTAGAGACGTCTTAAATAGTAGCCTAATTCATAGTGTAATCTATCTATATTTCGATTTCATTGAAATTCATTGAGGTATAACAGCGCGAAGTACTGACGTACACACATACACTGACTCAAACTTTCGCAATTATAATATTATTATGATTTTTCAGTACCATCTGGTTCCGCATTAGCCCAAATGTCCAACATGAAGCCTATTAAGATATCAGCACTTAACCCTCTCTCAAAGCCTATCACTGTGGGTCTGGACAGGGGAGGAGGAGGTGAGTTTTTAATTTATACTGTCAATAAATTGCATTATATTCCTGATATAGACTTAAAAATATTCTAGTGGTAATTAAAATAATAGGTCTTGAAACATACAAGCGTTTTTTTTCTTGTACATATTAAAAACTATTAACGAATATAAAAAAAATCAAATTTATTACCTATTAATTGTTTTATAGCAATATTTAAGGTGACGCTGGTCAAGTTATTTTTTTTTATTAAGTGTTGTAAATTGTAAGGGGAAAATGATTTTTATAAAAAAAATATTATTATGTTATCAGCTGTATAAAAAAGTAATTGGTGCAATTTAAGCAATTCAAGTTGGTTTGATATGGGAGTGCCCCGTCTACATGACTGTATTTCAACTTTGTTAAGTCGATTAAATAATATATAACTTTTCGACTTTCAAAAGTTATATAAAACTAGCGAATCACTCTCGTTTCGCTCAGGTTCGTCCCTAGAAACGGTTCACCGGTTAGTATATATTTCTCAGAGATGAGATATTTTCCCGCGGTAAAAAGTATCCTATATTTTAAATAAAACTATCTTTTCGGATTTTGTCGCGGATTTATTTGCATTTTTGTTTCCCGACGTTTCGAATGCTTTACAGCATCCATGGTCACGGGAGAGACTGAGGTGTTACATGTCTTGAATGTATAGTTGTTACAGACAGCCTACCCACACTTAACAAAATGAAAATTGCACTAATTATAAAATATAAAAAGAAATATATTTTTCTTTATGGTTATAAATATTTTTCTTTCTTTATGGTTATAAATATAATAATGGCAACACTAAATATAGATTACTAATTAATATTTTAAAATTGTAATAATTATAAAAATAATAGCAAAAATGAAATAAATAATTTTCCATATTCAATTATAATTAAAATTATAAAAATGTTTAAAGTTAAAAAATATTGTAATGTAATTAGTGCAATTTTCATTTTGTTAATTGTGGGTAGGCTGTCTGTAACAACTATACATTCAAGACATGTAACACCTCAGTCTCTCCCGTGACCATGGATGCTGTAAAGCATTCGAAAAGTCGGGAAACAAAAATGCAAATAAATCCGCGACAAAATCCGAAAAGATAGTTTTATTTAAAATGTCAAATATTCGCGTAAATCTAAGAAAGTATTAAGTATCCTATATGTTGATCTGGATAACTATACTGACCTGATCATACCAAATTTCATCAAAATCTGTCCCGTGGTTTTCTCCGTGCGTTCCCAGACAGAGAGACAGACAAAAAGTCTAAAAACTATAGATTCGGTCTCTGTATCGATAATAATTACTATTTTAATAAGATTTTCCAAAAAATATTTATTGTACAGATTCGACTCAGAATTTTAGTATATGAGTATTAATAACAATTATTGACGGACGCTTTACTGGTGATCGCGCCGTGGTCGAAATTAGACCATTTCATTATTTGAACGTTATTGTTCTCGTGGTTAGAGTTACGCAGGTAGTCTGGACCGGGGAACATCAAAAATGTGAGATTAGCACGTTCAAACAAAAAACAAAGTCTACAGCCTTATTTATTAACTACCATTGCTCGCGGCTCCGCCCGCGTTCAGATGACCAAAAACCAAATTCTTAGGTTTTACATATAAGTATACTCTTACATTGCATTTTTTATATTTTTCTCAAAAGTCAGATATTTTTCCGCGGTAAAAAATATCCCATATGTTGACCCGGATAACCAGCTTTCACCATACCTTTCATCAAAATTCCTCCAGCGGTTTTTCTGTGATGCGGTAACAGACAGACAGACAGACAAAAATTCTAAAAACTATTAATTCGGCCTCTGTATCGAAAATAATGTCTATTTTAATAAGATTTTCCAAAAAATATTTAATGTACAGATTCGGCATAGTTAGAATTTTATTATATGTATAGATATAAAATTGATGAAGGCTTATCTTATATCTAATATCACAAAAAACCTTTTAGAAATTGAGTGATTTTATACATACATAAATAAAATATAAGTTAATAATTATGCGAGAAGGCCGCGGGGCAATGCGAGTCAGTAAATTTTAGCTATCTGCAGACCCTTTCCCATATAAACTTTAAGTATACCAAAGCTCAAACTCGTAATATGATTAAAAAGTGATACATGCCCGATTTCACCAACGTCACCTAAGTTTAAGGGATCCTCTAAGCATGGTTAGGGGACAGTTTCTGTTTCACCGACAGTTAGGGGTCACCTAAATGTTAAAAGGCACCATAAATTTAGGTGCTGGAAATATGGGCTTAAAGACAATCGTAAAACGAAATTTAATTTAGGGGCTAGTTTAGGGAACTCTTAAGCTAGGGATCCCATACGTAGGTGGTAGCTTATGGGTTGTTGGTGAAATCGGGCAAAAGAGTTCTCTCAACACGTACATATTACTATATAAGCAATTCTTAATGAAGCTCTCTGCCGCCCTAAGTTTGCGTTTGTTCGGGAATCTCAGAAACTACTGTACGGATGGTTATACGGTTTTCACTTATAGGAAGAGGACTTAGCTCATACTAGCGACTTACCTTGGCTTCGCTTGGGTGCGTCCCTAGCAGTTTAGAAACATAATTTCGAATTTTGTCTAATTTTTAAGGGTGTTCGATTTTCGCACGGAGCTTTAAATATTTGCGAAATTCAACATAATATATGTAGCTTTACAAACTCCTCTACCTTTCAGTTAAAGTTCCATTACAATCGGATTACGCCCAAAAACAGAAAGACAGACAGATAAAAAAATTAAAAGGTTTTGTTCTGGTATCATGATATAAATTACTGCATGTCCTTGAAAAAACATAGTTGTTTTGAAATCAAAGACTTTATTTATACATGTATAGATGTATAGACTACGAAAATAAGCTATAATGGTAATTCATAAAAATAACATTATTTCTGAGAACTTACTATTACAAATACGATGGGTATTTAGAGACGCTAGTTAATATATAGATTTATGCACTACGTGTTAAATAGTTTTTTAAGTTTTTATAATTAATATATTAGTTTTAAGGTATATAAGGCTATGGGCCTCTGTTTACATATTTAAGATCGTTATGTAAATATTGCCTGAAATAAATGATTATAAATATAAATAAATAAACAGATTTAAATTTCACATATATACAATAATACCTAAGGAAAATGTTAAAGTCATGTGTGTTGGTAGCGGGTCCGGTCGCGCCGCTCGCCGCCGGCACGTCCGCCTACAACGCGGCCTCGCTACTCGCTCAGAGTGAGTACTCCCTGTTTTCCAATTACAGAGCACAATGCCGCACTTTGGCGCACAAACACGAACAACGCCAAAATACACTTGTTATATATTTTCTGCTACTGAGTTGGTAGGTCACGCCAAAGCAACAATTTTCGAAGTGCTCGATTGTGCGGAGCGTTGCTATTGTTCAAATGTTTAAATCGAAAACGACCACTATCTAGTATCTGTACGGTTGCTTGCACGAAGATTATGAATATTTTAGTGAATAATATAGTGTACCGACTTCAAAATCTTTTATTAATGAATTTTTTTAGTAAATTTTTGTAAAATATAATCTTTATAGATGAGAAATCTAAAAAAAAATTCAAATTGTCATTTCAGTACAATTAAAACACTGTTATTCGAAAGCCATTGTAGTATGTTGTCTTGTCCAAGCCCGCTGTATTAGGAACATCTTTTTTTTTTGAGTTGAATTCTTGCTAATTAGTTTAAAGCGTGCCAGTTGAGCACAGATTGTCATTGGATTTGTTGACAGAGCCAATGTTACTCTGTTTTTGAAGTCGGTCATATGTAGTATATTTTAGACATAAATAAACATAATAATTACGTTTCCATTTTGCCATCTTAATATAATTGTTTTTGATGCTAGTAGTTCCTTGACAGTGGCGTCGCTTCGTTTAGTTGCAATTAATTGGCTTGTTTTCAAAATGCTGAATTATATATTAAAGCATCAGACCTGATGCAGAAATTAGTTTTATATTTTTACATTTAAATTTAAAATGTTCTTTAATCAAATAGATTTGTAGAAGTAAATTTATATTTTTTTTTAATTGAAAAAATCGTCATGTTACGTTTTTCTGTAGTCAGTCTGTGAGGAAGCTACCGTCGTGTTAGTTCGCTGTTTTATAAGTTTTGAGTACTACTTGTAATTCTATAATATCATTAGCAATGATCAGAAACAGTAAGCAAACCCATGTATTAATCTTAGTAGACGTTCGATGCAGTCAAAGTTTAAATTAGATAAGTTAGGCATAAACTTTGTCAGGATATATTTGAAAGTTGCGATCAAATGAAAATAATATTTTAAAACTAAGCTTAAACTATGATTAGATTTATCAAGATGATTTTTATTTCAGTCGATATTATTAAAAAAAAAGAAGTTATTCATTTTTGGACTTTTAAAATAAGTTAAAAAAGGCTTTTATGGTCACCAATGCTCTCTTTAAACGTTGACGCAAAATTATTTTTTAATTACTATTTATTACTATTTGCGACGCCATTGTAAAGAGTGTGAAATTAAACCGTTCGTTAACTCGCAAGTAGTTGCATTACATAGTAACACCTCTAGTTAATGAATGCACTGTAGCGCGAAATTGCTTATTAAAAATTAATTTTACGATCCATCTTTAATATCGAAGAGTCGCTGCGTATGTGTTATGCTAGTGGTCATAGGTTCGATTCCTACGCGGACTAAATGTTTTAGTTAGTTATATCATAAGTATTTTTATTTATTTGAGTTTATGACACAATATGTATTTGTATTGAATATTATTTTCATATCCCATATAAAATTTCATGTGTTTTTAAAATATGACATTTTAAATAAAAAAAATTATATTTTCTAATTATTGTTTATTTTCTATTCTAACAAATCCATTTGATATTTTTACCAATTTATGTCGTGGTAATAAATTTTACAAAATCTAAGTTTTTTTCTTCTGATCCTATTTTTTTTCTTTTAGTAGTCCATAGACTATAGTTCATTCAAGTAGCCCTAGACGTGTGTCCTTATTAGCTAGTATTGCTTTACTGTTTTACTTACCATTAGTTTAATAGGTTTGAGCTTAGAGATTCCTCTTTGTAATTTTTTATGTTTTTTATGTCACTATAATTAAGCTTATTTTTAATAAAGTTTAGATAGAAAACAAGATATTGTGTGTGTGCTTTTAACTCATAGAATATAACAAACTAAGATATAATTGAATGACAAATATATAATATGCATCGCATGCCCATTGGTGCTATTTGCACTTGAGCAATAATATTGACTGTAGCGCAACTTTTTTAAGCATATTTCTGAGCATCCTATAATAATATGATTACTATACTGTTGTATTTTGAAATTCTTTTTCTATTTTACCCTGTTTTTGTACTGTTTAACTTCAGAACCTGTCTCCTTTTTCCATTTTCCCGCCGCTTTACGTTAGCCGCTTTTTGCTCACTTCCTCTAATATATCGTAATCCTGTCCCTCCTAGACTCACTACACATCTATCTCAAGATTTCCATCTATGCCACATGTACGAGTGGTGTAATGAAAGTGATACAAAATATATAATAATAGTAACATATTTAAATTTTTATTCGATGTGTAGTGGAAATGGTGGGCCTGACAGGCATGAATCCGTTCATGCAGCAGAACTTGAAGCAAGTGTGGGCGGCCGGCATGGGCGCGTCCCTGCAGGGCATGCTCGGCCAGCTCGCACAACTGCCACAATTTAAGACGTGGCCTATGGATAAGGTATGGCTATTGGTCGACCTATAAAAGTAAGAGGTGCTTTGGTTGAATGTGTTTTTGTTGGTTTGGTGGTATGTCTTTGAAAACTGATTTTTACGTTTTTTTTTGAATAGGTAATTTTAGACGGTCTCCATTACATAATTTTAAAGGGATTTTGAAGTCAGATATAAAATATCTTAAAATAAATATTTGTTGTTGGTAGGTAATTTTATATTGAACTTTTATAGTGTCTGCAACACATGCCTTATATTGCATTTTTTTGCTAGTTTATGAGGCTATGGGGTAGTCAAAAAATGAGGAAAAGAAGTGAGGACTGAGTTTATGGTATAATTTTTATATTTTAAATTGACAGATGCCTGGCGAGGAGGAAGAAGTGGATGATGAAGAAATGGGAGTAGCTGAGACATATGCAGATTATATGCCTACAAAGTGTAAGTTGTTTATGATTTTAAACAGTATATATTTTTTTTTTATTTAACAACTAAAAGCGTGTAAGAGTGATTTTCTTACCGTAAAGGAATCCATGAGGTTTAACATCAGTTAGGAATCGAATCAGTGGTCCGTTCTGTAGATTCTGGTACCTGTTAACACTGACGGAATGGTGAAATGGCACTAATTTTATGACGGTGAACAGTGTCGTCCAGCGAAGGAATCTAAATAAGATATCGTGTGTGCGCTTGGGGGGAGAATTGGATGAGTATATCCTATTATTTGTTATGAGAAGGCACTGCAGCGCTTTAACTTCGAGATCGTTCGCCATCAAAATTGGTGTCTTTCGACAACCTTTGCTTTTGGCAGTGTTTTCGTTAAAATCACAGGCGATCGTCTGTATGGATTTGTATATTGTGTGGAGTGTGACAGTAAGAGTGTAAGGTCGTGTTCCGTGTCGGTCGCAGTGAAGCTGGGGCGCAAGCACCCGGACCCGGTGGTGGAGACGGCGTCGCTGTCGTCGGTGGAGCCCGTGGACGTGACGTACGCCGTGTGCCTGCCCGACGACACCGTGCGCGGCGGCCTGCTCTCCGCGCTGCAGCTCGAGGCCGTGGTGTACGCGTCCCAGGCGCACGAGCACATGCTGCCCGACGGCACGCGCGCCGGCTTCCTCATCGGTATGTACGCACACACGCACGCACGCACGCACACGTCTTACACTCATATACATATGCGCATTTACATCGAGATTTCTCATTATGATAATATGAATGTTAAGAATATAAATAATCGAGCAAAGTAAACTGTACCATATGTTTATCTGTGTATGGTACAGTCTACATCGCTCAACTTTTATACATAGACTTTCTTGCCTTAAAAATTTACTACATTATTTGTGTAAATTAGATTTAAAAGTTATCATTTATTTGGGTTGGTAGTATTGAGTTAATGATAAGTTTATTTTATGATTTGTTTGTGGGTTATTATATTTTTTATTCTTGTGTTTTTGGCTTTTTTACTAGTGATATTTTTCTTTTGTAAAACACTGGAAAACAAAAACAAACCTATCCCACGGAAACCGTACGTACATCTTTCCGGGATAAAAAGTAGCCTATTGTTATTCCAGACTATAATCTATCTCTGTGTGAAATTTCATCCAGATCCGTTCAGCCGTTCTGGCGTGAAAGAGTAACAAACATCTTTACTCACAAACTTTAACATTAATAATATCAATACGGATGAAGTAAGGAAGAAGAATGAAAAGTAGAAAAGAAGAAGATGAAGAAGGAAGTAAGGAATTTAAATGGTAATATATTTGTGAATATATGGATAAATTGAAAAATATGGTGTCCGTAATAATGGAGAAAATATAAAATACTAGCGACTCATCCTTGCTTCGCTCGGGTTCGTGTCTTGGTTGCTTCCCCATACAAACTTTCGTCCCCATTTTCACCCTCTTAAGGGATGATCCTACGTCCTTCCCAGGGTCTTAAACTATCTTCTTACCAAATTTCATATAAATCGGTTCAGTAGTTTCGGAGCCTATTCAATGCAAACAAATAACAATCAAATCTTTCCTCTTTATAATTTATTTATTTATTTATTTATTTATTTATTTATTTATTTATTTATTTATTTATTTATTTATTTATTTATTTATTTATTTATTTATTTATTTATTAGGTTTATTTACAATCACTTACAATAATACACACAATATAAAAAAAAAATACAACTAAAAATTAGGAACTAAATGTAGTGATTACTTACAAATAAACACAGCATGCACAGAAATAAAGTTTCTTAAAATATTATACAAAATAGATATATTTCAGACGTAAATAGTTTTTTTTTAATTAATCAATGAGCAGATACACAGTTACATTAATTTAGCAATTATAACATTATTTAAGACTATCAATGCATTTATTTAGGAATTTGTTGCTAATGGTTTTGCGGAAATTGGCTAAGGAATCAGCAAATATGTCGACATCTATGCTATAAGAATTTAGAGTCTTACATAACCGTGGGACTGGGGAATTGGCACCTAGGATCGTTCGGCGAAGTGGAGGACAAAGTGGAGCAATAGGCTTACGTGGTATTCTTACTAGAACTCTTAGGCTAAATTTATTTAGCAATTTGGGGCAATCAATAAAGCCGTTCAGTAATTTATGAGTAAACAAAATATCCAGAAGTTCCCGACGTTCATACAATGCAGTCATTCGGAAGAAGGCCAACCTTTCTTTGTAAGAAGAAATTTTCTTGGCTTTACCGGCACTGAAAACCAGATGCCACAGAAATCGTTTCTGAATACGTTCCAGTCTTAGGATATGCGTAGCGTAGTGAGGACGCCAGACAACTGAACCATACTCCAAGATACTCCTAACCAAACTAAAATAAAGGAGCTTTTTAATTTGTAAACTTTTAAAAATTTTAGTGTTACGTATAACAAATCCGAGCATTTTAGAAGCACGTTTTACTATATTTTCTATATGGGGAAGAAAAGTCATTTTTTTATCGAAAGTTACCCCCAGATCCTTAATAACTTCCAACGTCTCTAAAGCATGTTCTTTTATATAGTATTTATACGTAACGTAACTCGATTTTCGAGTAAATTTTACTTGATAACATTTTTCCTTATTTAAGTTCACACCGTTAATTTCACACCATTGCATAAGTCTTTCTAAATCATCTTGAAGAAGCTTACAATCACTCGGGGAATCAATAGTTTTTGCGAATTTTAAATCATCAGCATATATAAACACAGAAGATGCCAGAAAACAATTGGATATGTCGTTAATAAAAATGTTAAACAATACGGGACCTAGATGTGAGCCTTGAGGCACACCAGATGTAATCAGACGTACATCAGATTGAAAACCATTAACAGCAACAAAGAACGAGCGAGCCTCTAAATATGATTTCAGCCAGATAAGGAGAGATCCAGTAAATCCATATGCTTGTAATTTACATAAAAGAATATCGTGTGGGACAGTATCAAACGCCTTACTAAAGTCAGTATATATGACATCTACTTCCTTATATTTATTCCTTATATTTACTTCCTTATTATTATTAGTAAAAGATACCAGATGAGTGCATGTGGATCTGGAACCAGAAAATCCATGTTGGTCGGAGGAAAGATAATTTTTCATATGCTTCTGAATTAAAGGATATATAGCGCATTCAAAGACCTTAGCTAACGTAGACAAAATTGAGATGGGTCTGTAGTTACAGATCAGATTAGTACTACCTGCTTTATGAACAGGAACCACCATAGCTGATTTCCATTTATCCGGAAAAGTGCCAGAGACCAGTGATTTATTAAAAATAGAACATAATGGTACAGCTAGAGTTGAAGCACAAGATGCAATAAAATATAGAGATATACCGTCTGGCCCTGCACCCTTATTGGGATCAATATCTTTTAAGATATTTAGTACTTCCTCACTAGTAATTGTAGGAACTGTAACAGAAATACTGTTATCATTAAGGTGCCTTATATATGCAGAAGATTCAATTACAGAGATATTAGTTTGCTTGTTAGAATTTAGGGCAAGGGAAAATTGTTTTGCAAATAAGTTGCAAATCGAGACGCCTTCGGACGTTTCTGTAACTCCGTCAGTCATATTGGCTGGATATAAGCTCAGACCACCCCTTTTTTGTTTAGTAAATGTCCAAAATAACTTACTATTTCTTATAATACTTTGCTTGATATTATTAGTATAGAGATTATAATTCATCCTTGCAAGACGACTAACACGATCACTGACAATTTTTAAAGCTATAGCGTCCATAGGATTATTATATAGCTTATAGCGCCACCTTATAGTATATTTCTCTTTAAGAGACTTAATGAGACTACGACTAAACCAGGGCGGAAACTTATTTTTCCTATGTTTAAGTGTAAATGGCACAAATTTACGAATAGTATCTTGTAAAATATTATAAAAACACGCCAACATAGTATTTACATCCTTAGCTTCCTTAAATATATCATCCCATTGCTGGTCTTGCAAATATTTGTTAATAGAATCATAATCAGCTCTGTGGAAGTTCGGCTTTAGAAGATTTCGCTTATAATCAAGCTTACTTTCTTTTGTCAACGATAATACTATTTCTAACGGGGGATGGTAAGGATCAACACTACTTAGTTCATTAAATGATTTGGAAACTTCACAAGCAACATTTGTTAACACTAAGTCTAAGATTTTACCTGTTTCATTGACATCATTGGCTTGATTAAGTTTATATAAATAAGTAAAGTCAACCAAATGCTGACCCAAACTCGGAACTATATAGCAAACATTATTTTCCCTGATTAATGACCAATTTACACAACTCAAATTGAAATCACCCACTATGACATTGTTCGAGTTATTTTCACATACAGAATTCCATTTATCTAAACAGTGTTCCACTATATTGTGATTAACTGGTGGTGGTAAGTATACGGCACACAAAGTTAATCGGTTTTGAGATTTAGATTCAGGTAAATCCAGGGACACCCATATATCCTCACAGTTACTTTCCCAACAATGCATGCGTTTCGATTTAAATTTATTTTTTACAGCTATTAAAACATCCCCACCCTCTTTTCTATTGTAAAAATTACAGTTTTCTCGATCTCTTCTGTATATCGTATATCTATCATCAAATAACTCATGTGATAAAATACTGTCATTGAGCCACGTTTCAACCAATATTACAATATCGTAATCGTTACAACAAATTTGAGTATAGAAGCTATGTGTTTTTGTCCGCAAGCCACGGACATTCTGATAGTAAATTTTTAACTTACAGAATTTTATTAAAATAAAAACAGTGATATATGATTTACAAAGATATAAAAAAAAATAGAAATAAAAATAACAACAGAAAAATTTAAACAATTTTGTCTAAAAAGCTAGTATTTTTTATCCATATAAAAGCAGACTCATCATTTTTCCGTACATAAATACGATACATGATTTACAAAGATATAAAAAAAAATAGAAATAAAAATAACAACAGAAAAATTTAAACAATTTTGTCTAAAAAGCTAGTATCTTTTATCCATATAAAAGCAGACTCATCATTTTTCCGTACATAAATACGGCCATTTCTGACCCATATAAACTTGTATTGCATCTGCTTAGCTTTTAATCTGGTAGCAGCGTGTAGGGATTTATTAGCAGGAGATAGATGTTCAGCAGCGTATATCATAGATTTCACCCCGGGGATTCCAATAAGGCTACTATTTAATTTATTGTTAGGATTCGTTTTATTGTATTTTATGATACCTGCTAACAATTCATCACGCAGTCTAGAATTAGTTAGTTCCACAATAATTGACCTCGGGCGATTTGTATCACGTTGTATCTTGGCTACCCTTGTACAATTTACAATGTGTTTTTCATTAATGTCGCATTTTATAACCTTCCCTATTTCAGTAATAATGTTAATTAGATTTTCATGTTTTTTTTTCAGGTACACATTGTAGTTCTATATTTTTAGCTCGGGAATGTTGCTCCAATTGGTTTAATCTAATGTTAAGATCAGAAACTGTTGTTTTTAAGTTCGTGTTTTCCATTTTCAGCGCTTCCAAAGCCTCTTGGGTGTTTTTATGTTCCTTAAGGACTTCCTCAAATTGTTCATTCATGTGTTCCATAGATTTAATCATTTCTGATATTTCATTTTGAATAGGCTTCAGTTTTGTATCCAATGCCTCATTCAGAGTACTATTCAATTTAGACAACATGTCATTAAATTGTGATTGCATTATCTCTTGAACGATTCCACTGACATCTTCACGCGTTAAAAGATCATCACGGCTAATAATCGGAGGGGAATTAACTGCTTGCCTTTTGTTGCCTCTAGTCGTGGTTACATTACGGACAGGAGTATTATCATTTTTTTTCCTTTTGGAATCTGCGTTACACAGGTAGGACATTTCCACGACAAACTTCTTTTAGGAGTCATCAAGTTTTCATCTAAACCAATGCAGGCAAAGTGATACATTTCCTTGCACTTAAAACAAGTAAGAAAATTTTCTCCTTCATGAACTTCTTGACAACAACCCCATTTTTGTGAGTGAGAAGCCATGTTGTTAAAATTTCATAAATGTAGACCCGCTTGATTATTCCGTAAAGTGTATTCGAACGTTTATATTGTCTATGGACACTGTAACTATTAAACGTTGGCACTACTAACTGTCATATGTTCGTTATATTCACAATTGTCCAATCAGGTGTTCTATTTAAATGCAGTACGGTTATTAATATGAAATCAGTAGTTTATCTTATATTTTTAAATTTTGGATGTTAGGAATTTGAAATTGTAACTGTTATGTAACTAGCGAACGAAAAGCACTATTTTGAGTTTTAGTATTTATATCGGGTTTTAGATTGCAGTGTTAGGTTAACGACTTCGGTTTGGTTCATAAGTGATTTAAATTAATTATATTATAATAGTACTGTACATTCCACGTCCGTATAAATCACTCGACACAATTTCTTAGATTCAATCTTATAGTTAAAATATTAATTCCATAAGCGTTTTTATCAGTTTACTGCACCCACCAACTTTCCATTGTTTTTACACTGTTTATAACACTATGTAAACACTTTTAACATTTTTTATACTTCTAAATACACGGAGCCAATATTGACTTGATATAATATGAGTATATAGATAAAAGTTTGTAAAGTATTAGATTATGTTATAATACTGTATGGTTTGGTTCGTGCAGGCGACGGCGCGGGCGTGGGCAAAGGGCGCACCATCGCCGGCATCATCTTCGAGAACTACCTGCGCGGGCGGCGGCGCGCCGTGTGGGTGTCCGTGTCCAACGACCTCAAGTACGACGCCGAGCGCGACCTGCGCGACATCGGCGCCGGCAAGATAGAAGTGCACTCCTTGAACAAGGTAACGTTGCCATACAATATAAACTTTTTCAGTGACCCTACTTGCTGTGCCAGCGGTCGCGGGTTCGAGTCCCGCTGGAGGCATTTTTTTTTATACCACGTCGGTGGCAATCAGGCATACGGCCCGCCTGATGGTAAGCGGTTACCGCAGCCTATGGACGCCTGCAACACCTGGGGCATCACATGCGCGTTGCCGACCCTTTAAAAACCTATTTACTCCCCTTTTGAAGGACCCCATACTGTAGCCCTCTGGGAAAACCTCGGCAGGGAGTTCATTCCACAGCGAGATGGTCCGTGGGAGAAAGTTCCTCTGAAACCGAACTGTACGGGACCATTTGGGCTGCAATGTGTGAGCATGAACTCGTTGTCGATGGCGAGCGGTGCGGTGATAGAAAGTGGCCGTGGGCATCATTTCGAACAATTCTTCGGAACACAACCCATTGTACAAACGATAGAGCACACATAGGGACGCAAAATCTCTTCTTAGACTTAGGGGCTCTATATCGCTTGTGAGTATTGGATCGTCGACAATTCTCACAGCTCTCCTCTGAACCGAGTCATAAGGCCCAAGCTGGTATGCCGGTGCTCCCGCCCAGAGATGTGAGCAGTACTCCATATGGGGACGGACTTGCGATTTATATAAAAGCAGTCTTTGTCCCGGCGTGAAGTACCGCTTCGCTCTATTAAGCACACCTAGCTTTTTGGATGCCAGCTTGACCTTGTCTTTCAGGTGACTTCGGAACTGGACGTCGCTGGATATGTCGACACCAAGAATACCAATACTGTTGGAGATGGTTAGGGGTGTGTCCTGGAATTGAGGGGCCACAGTAAATGAGGTTTTCTTAGGGGTGAACGCACAAACTTGTGTCTTGGAGGGGTTAAATTGGACTAAATTGTCTCGACCCCAATCGGAGACTCTGGAAAGAATACTCTCGATTTGAGACACAAGTTGTTCGCGACTTTCTACCACAGCGGAGCGAGGGATGTTTGCACGGCCTGTGTAGAAAGCGTCTCCAGTGCTGTCGTCCGCATAGCAATGTATGCCATCAATAGACAGCAAGTCATTGATATGCAGAAGGAAAAGCGTTGGAGACAGCACAGAACCTTGCGGGACGCCAGCGTTTATATCTAGTTTTTCCGAGCAGCAGCCATCAACGACGACTCTGATGGATCGCCCAGATAAAAAGCTGGCAACCCATTTGCACAAGCCCTCGGGTAGTCCGTAAAATGGCAACTTCGAGAGAAGACCCCGGTGCCAGACCCGATCGAACGCCTTTGCTATATCTAGGCTAACTGCCAACGCCATTTATTTGTGTGATGAGCACGAATGTTTGTACTCCAGTCATGGGTATTTATATTTATAATACGAGTATGTATGTATTCCAAATTTATGTATGTGTAGCGTATCAATTATCTGGCATCCATAGCATAAGCCTCGTAGCTTATCATGGAACCAGATGGTGCTGTGTGTTAATGTCCCAAAATATTTATTTATATTTACTTTGTGAAGCAGTCAGGGAAGATAAAAAATAGTTTTTTTCACAAATCACTTTATCACACACATAATCACAGATTTTTTAACAACACTTAAATACTGCAGAATAATAAATTTCAATCCCGAGCATGACATTTATATATCCTACGCAATTCCCATCACTCTCCTCTACTCCCCAACACCCGCTCCTCACTTCACCTTACTCGTTACACTTTATTTTGTTACTAGCGGCTCACCGTCTCTTCGCTCGGATTCGTCCCTAGGTGATTGTTTAAATTGTTTTTTTTTTTATTTACGAACTGATTGAAATAAAATAAAATACTAAATGTTAAGTGAAGCTCACCACAATACATCAGTGGAAAGCGCACCCAAATCAATAAAGTCGTTTCTGAGATTATCGCGCACAAACGCACAGACTAACAGACAAATTTAAAATTATTGTTTTGGGCTCTATTGCGTTAATAAAGACCCACCAATAATAGTATTTCTCGAGGCTGGTAAGTAATATATGAGGTGAATTGAATCCTAGGTTCTAATTCTGGGACAGGCAAAGTATATAAGCTTGGATTTTCTATCTAGAAATTACACTATACAACACCTCTGTGCAATTTGCTAAAAACAATTTGTTTTATTATTGGATTAATTACAATTAATTATTCATATGTTTATTTGGAAGCCAAAATTTATCCTTCAAAAAAAAAATTTTTGTTCTCTTTTTGTAAATTAAAACTTTACATTTTTCTGTAACTTTAAAATAATATAAATTTTAATCATGTCCTATTCACATAATAATATAAACGTCTCTTTTCCCCAGTTCAAATACGCAAAAATCTCGTCGGCCATCAACGGCAACGTGAAGAAGGGCGTGGTGTTCAGCACGTACTCGGCGCTCATCGGCGAGACGCAGGCCAACACCAAGTACCGCACGCGCCTCAAGCAGCTGCTGCAGTGGTGCGGGGATGACTTCGACGGGGTTGTATCCTTTTTGAGGGCTATATTCGGTCAGGGTTGATGCATGATTGGGAACAAATAATGATTGTTGGATTTTATAAGGACCGTATTAGACATACAGATAGGATTGTTTGGTATCTTCTTTTATAAGATACATTCATACTTATGTATTTAAAGTTCGTTTATTATTTACTAGTGGTTTACCTTCGCTTTGTTCGGGTGACATCACTAGGAGCTTACAGGTTAGTAGTCTATGTGTTGCTCTAGGTCATACATAGGCTATCTGTGTATTGGACATCCAATAAAAAATAAAAGCCTCGAATTCATTTAATGTGACAGAATGACAAACATACATACATAAATACTTTCGCATTTATATATATTTCTTTTATATATAAAATTTGCAATAAATACCCCCCTAACCGAGCACCCAGATCGTATTCGACGAGTGTCACAAAGCAAAGAACCTGTGCCCGGTGGGCTCGGGCAAGGCCACGAAGACGGGCCTCACGGCGCTGGAGCTGCAGAACAAGCTGCCCAAGGCGCGCGTGGTGTACGCCTCCGCCACCGGCGCCTCGGAGCCCCGCAACATGGCGTACATGGTGCGCCTCGGCATCTGGGGGGAGGGGACCCCCTTCCCGACCTTCATGGACTTCATTAATGCCGTTGAGAAGAGGTTGGTTGGGTGTTTTTGATGTGAAACTTCTTTAGAATCGTTGTGATTTGAAACTCGATGAAACGAAAATGCGACACTAAAAAGAGACAAACATAAATATATAGGATTAAATCGACGAGAGAATGAGATAGAATAGATTGCCATGTTGTCATGGTAACCGTTGTTATTGTCTGACAAATATATAATATTATATTCTTTCCGTATATGATAATATATAAATATATTATTGTAATATGCCTTATTTAATTATTGATTTGTTTTAATTTAATTGCGACATTTGTCAAAAAAGTTTTACTTTAACCGCGAGTAAAAGTTACACGCACCCATTTTATTTTGTATTGAAGTATTTGGTGTACCATTACCATACATTTTGAGCAGGCCTCAATAGCAATGTCTATTTAACATGATTTTGGTAATGATGATCAACTTCACTGAAAATGAAGCCAACTGGGCGAGATGTATTTATAATACAGTGTGAATATGTAGACCTAGCGTGAGCGTAACGGGCTTTCCGAGGCACGGGTTGGCCGACATTGAATTAATTAATTAATAATAATTAAAACAAGCATAGTAACAGTTTTGATCTGACCCGCTGCTCAAACCGAAGATCTTATATGCTCTGCAGTCGTACATGCCAATGTATAAACTATAGAAAAGTTTATCGTGAAAATGTATAACTATAAATTGTTATTGCCTGTCTATTAATACAAAAAAAAACACAATATTTAATACTTATTAATATCATTGTTATTAATTTATTTATATTACGCTCTAACGGTTAGTATGAAATACAAATCTTTGAATTTCTTGGCTTTTCTGTACTATAATATGCACGTATTATACATACAAACCGTCCTCTTGAATCACTCTATTTATTAAGAAAACTGCATCAAAATCCGTAGCGTAGTTTTAAAGATGTAAGCGTACATAGGGACAGACAGACAGCGGGAAGCGACTTTGTTTTATACTGTGTAGTGATGTATTTTTTCCCAACAACCAGAGGCGTAGGCGCCATGGAGATAGTTGCGATGGACATGAAGCTGCGGGGCATGTACATCGCGCGCCAGCTCTCCTTCCACGGCGTGTCCTTCAAGATAGAGGAGGTGCCGCTCTCCGACTCCTTCAGGGACACCTACGACAAGGCCGTGGCGCTGGTACGTCCCTCGTCACTGTTACTTATGTTGATATGTACGGTGTAATGGCTATGACGGGTTTTTTTTTATTTTGGGGTATATTGATTATAAATATTACTTGAGTTACACAAATCGTTCATAGATCAAGTTTTAATTTATACATTATAGCAATAAACATAAACTTTCGGAATCGAATGAGAATTGATATTGAAACAAAGCTTATGATATTATAATTGAAATCACCTATTATTAGGCTATGCTTGTGAGACTTGTGACACTTGAGGTTTTCAAGTGCAAATTACACTTTCAAGTAAATAAGGTGTAGAAAAACAACAAGAATGAAGTGTGGATTTTGACATTGATTTCTTTACATCAAGGGGAAGTCTATGCATTGAGACGTTCAAAGTACTAAATTATTAATATTATATTTTATCTTTTAAATAAAACTACTTTATGGTATCAAAATAAATACGAAAAAAAATATCCGAAAAGATATTATTTAAAATGCCAAATATTATTGTAAATCTAAGAGTGTATTATATATTGTCTTGTTATATTTGTTGGTCAGTGGGTGGAAGCGATGCAGCGCTTCACAGAGGCGGCCGAGCTGATCGACGCGGAGCCGCGCATGAAGAAGACCATGTGGGGGCAGTTCTGGTCGGCGCACCAGCGGTTCTTCAAGTACCTCTGTATTGCTTCTAAGGTATACGGTCTTTTATATTATATTGTTCTAAGTTACTTATATTAAGTTGGCGGTTTGTGGATGCTGCAGGTTTTATATTACGATTATTTATGGATGGTTCTCAATGTTTCATGTTTATGCTATGAAACAGACATAAATGTGTATTCAGCCCTTTTTTTTAACATCCCACTGCTGGGCATGGGCCTCCCTTCAGTATGAGGAGGATCAGACCATAGTTCACCACGCTGGCCAAGTGCGGGTTGGCTGATTTCACATGTCTTTTGAAAACTTGCTAGGTTCTCTCAGACATGCAGGTTTCCTCACGATGTTTTCCTTCACCGTAAGGCAAGTAGTAATCATGTTAGAAATGATTCGCACATGAAAATATCAGAGGTGCGAGACCGGGGATTTGAACCCGCTTAACTCGGTTTCCCAACTAAGCCCGTTACCACTGGGCTACCACTGCCTTGAACCGGGAAATCGACACAATGTACTGAGTGAGTGAGACGACGCTCTACAAAACCGAAATAAGCCGATTTTCTCCCTCTTTAGTTCGACGTGTTACCGCCGGTTACTGTATGCGTGTGTCCCGCAGGTGAACCAGGCGGTGGTGACGGCGCGCGAGGCGGTGAAGTGCGGCAAGTGCGTGGTGATCGGGCTGCAGAGCACGGGCGAGGCGCGCACGCTCGACCAGCTCGAGCGCGACGACGGCGAGCTCTCCGACTTCGTGTCCACCGCCAAGTAAATATGTGACACCACACTATTCTACGCACATGACTCAATAGTAGTACAAATGCCCTATCCTATATAAAGAAAGAAAAAATAATTTTACGATCTTAATTCGAGCTATTTTTTGCGTAAGTAGTCGATAAATGGTGGTAAACCTCATTTTGTATTTTGAAAAGCGACGACAAACGCGAGCGAAGCGAGTGTAAGCCGCTAGTACACAATAAATACTCATTATATATAAAGAAAATATTAATTGAAATTAAACAAAACTAAAAATAACTAAAAGATTATGATGATACAGAATTATAATAGCTCTAAAAATACTTTTGAAATACATATTTTATCTCAGCTGTAATTAATACTCATTATTATAATTGTTATTTTCAGAGGCGTATTCCAAACACTCGTTGAGAAGCACTTCCCCGCGCCAGACAGAGAGAGAATAAACAGGCTGTTAGGATTGGAGGCGAAGGGCAAGGCGGCGCCCGTCGCGCCCGTCAACGGCAAGAACGGGATGGACGACGGCAATACTTCTAAGAGGAAATGTTAGTGGATGTTATTTATGTAGGATACGAATATTCCTTTTTTATTTATATTTTTATTTTTTATGCTTTTAAATTAAGTGAATAGGGAATATACGTAATTTTTTTTTCAATTTATACAATAACTTACATCCTTATAAAGTAGTAAAAAAAATTCCAGCTCCGAAAAACTATAATTTAATATTAAAACCAAAACAAAACTTTAAAAATATTATAGCGTATACAGATTGATACTTCAAACGTTATATTTACGTAAGTTAGTTACATAAGTGGACCCATTCTAAAGTAGACTTAATTTAAAACATAAAATTGCAGTTATATTTTGTTCAATAAGTTCAAATTATAATGGTGGGACTAATATTTATCCTTTATCCTGCAAAACCTTAAAAATTACTTTAAGGATAAAATATTAAGAAAAGAATTTATGTATAAGTGTCTTTCTGATTTACAAAAAATATATTTTTATTATACAAGTTTTAATGGTAATTCCAGTGACCGCCCGACAGCAAGTGAACGCAGCGTCGAAGCGCATGCGCGGCGGCTCGTCGTCCGACGAGTTCGTGCGCTCCGACGACGAAGCCGACGCCGACGCCGACTCCGACGACGACAAGCGCGCCTCCGACTCCGACCTCAGCGACTTCAACCCGTTCCACGCCGGCAGCGACAGCGACGACGGTGGGTTTTGTGTTCTTACCTACAACGGGAGGTACTTGATTTGGGTGTATGTTTTGTTGATTGTATGGTGTGTGCGTTTGCGTGCGTGCGTGCGTGCGTGCGTACGTACTTGTGTGTGTTATAAAGAAATGAGTTGGGCATGGGATATTGCTTTAAATTTCTACGATAGTAATAAGTTTTTTTTATTATTGTATCTATGAGTGAGTGTTATTCTTATTCATATGTAAGTAATGTAATATAATTTAATACATGTATTTAAATACACGTGAGTTGACCATTATGTATATCATAAACATACTTTATAGTAATTAATTGATAGACCAAAATAAATAAGTAGTTTGCTTGTCTTCAAAAAAAAAAGTGTACTAAAATTTCATCATTATAAACGATAACACATTAGGAAAAGTCAATTTTGTCTTTATAATATAAAAATATTAATGGTTTTAAATAAATATAGATTTAATACTTTCTTAGATTTACGCGAATGTTTGACATTTTTAAATAAAACTATCTTTTCGGATTATTTCGCGGATTTATTTTGATTTTTGGTTCCCGACGTTTCGAATGCTTTACAGCATCCATGGTCACGGGAGAGACTGAGGTGTTACATGTCTTAAAGATATAGTTGTTACAGACAGCCTACCCACAATTAACAAAATGAAAATTGCACCAATTACATTACAATATTTTTAACTTTAAACATTTTTTATAATTTTAATTATAATTGAATATGGAAAATTATTTATTTAATTTTTGCTATTAATTTTATAATTATTACAATTTTAAAAATATTAATTAGTAATCTATATTTAGTGTTGCCATTATTATATTTATAACCATAAATAAAAAATATAAAAATATAGTATTAATTATTAAAGCCATATAATTCTTCTATGTGTAATTTAAAAAGTTAAAATTAATTACGGATAATCATTTTAATTTAGTTTGCTATTATTTAAAAACAACTTACTAACAAAATTACAAATGAAAAAGTTTTTCATTTGTAAAAGTATATATTAATAGTGTTGCTTAGTAAGTTGTTTTTAAATAATAGCAAACTAAATTAAAATGATTATCCGTAATTAATTTTAACTTTTTAAATTACACATAGAACAATTATATGGCTTTAATAATTAATACTATATTTTTATATTTTTTATTTATGGTTATAAATATAATAATGGCAACACTAAATATAGATTACTAATTAATATTTTTAAAATTGTAATAATTATAAAATTAATAGCAAAAATTAAATAAATAATTTTCCATATTCAATTATAATTAAAATTATAAAAAATGTTTAAAGTTAAAAATATTGTAATGTAATTGGTGCAATTTTCATTTTGTTAATTGTGGGTAGGCTGTCTGTAACAACTATATCTTTAAGACATGTAACACCTCAGTCTCTCCCGTGACCATGGATGCTGTAAAGCATTCGAAACGTCGGGAACCAAAAATCAAAATAAATCCGCGAAATAATCCGAAAAGATAGTTTTATTTAAAAATATAGATTTGTTGTCGCGACTTTTGCAGAACCATGGCTGGGTCGTAAGAAGAAGGTGGCGAAGAAGAAAAAGGCCAGTGCGAAGAAGAAGTCGGCGAGCACGCAGGACAAGATCGAGACCATGTTCGAGCGCAAGTGCCTCGCGCCCACCGTCACCGTCACGCAGGCGGGCCGCTCGCTCACCGGCACGCCCGTGGGCACCAATGGACTGTATTTAGGTTGTTGTTTATTATTATTATTTGTATCTTCTTAGAGTTGGCTCTTTAAGGAGGAGGTTTGAGAGGTTTATATTTGTTTAATGTGGTATATTAGTTGGGATTCATCTTTGACTAACCTAGAGAATCGTCCAAAGATATTCTCCGGGTGTAATACGTAGGAGCTATAAAAATATGGATTAAAATTTAAATAGAACTATGTAATATGGGCTAACATAAGAAACTGGGCTATTGGATGAGACTGGCGCAAGAAAGACTTATCTTCCAGTTTCTGAATATAAAGCTCTTCACTTTTTTTATTTTCTATATTTTGAATCTTATATGCATTGCTATGTGCTTGTGCATATGCAAGAGGGCAAATTTTTCATTAGGTTTTTTTTTTTAAATAAAATTTCGTATTTGGGCCAAGTGTAGTATAATTCAAATTTTTGCTTATATGAAAAATATCCCTATACTTTTAAATTCCCTCTGTAGAGACGTTGGCTCACTATTACAAGGTTTTATGTTACAATTTTAGTACTTATTTAGTTATTAATGCTACAAGGTACTATCTGTCATTAGCTACAGTTTTGCAAAAACAAACCACTAGATAGCGGCACTATAACTACAAAATATTCAATTTTACATAGTTCTATGTTGTTGTTTTTTTTACGATAACAAAATAACGAAGTTCTATGTAAAAATTACTAAACTTCATTAAAATTAACATAGAACCTTGTAATAGTAAGCCAACGAATTATGTATAATGTTATAATGTTCGTGCGTCCAGGTCCTACGCGCAGTCAGCCGCCGGCCCGTAGCGCCATCGAGCGCGCGTGCAGCATGAAGGAGCAGCTGCTGGCCGCCATCGAGCGTCTCGGCCGCCGCCTGCCGCCCAACACGCTCGACCAGCTCGTGGACGAGCTGGGCGGCACCGACAACGTCGCAGAGGTACGGTACTACTGCACGATACCCGATATCCTCGACCGGATCGTGGACGAACTGGTGGACTACTGCCATAATGAAATTTTTGAATTAATGAAATTTTTGGTTTTATTTTTCTTTTTATAAATGACATTTTTATTAGTTTTTGAATGTATATACAAATACATACATATTTTTTTCTGTAATTTTGCTGGTGGAGGGCGTTAATAATTGAAACACAGTTTCTTAACTTCTGCAACGCAATTATCGTTTACATCTGTTTTTGCTATATATGTATGTACTGAAATTTCAATAAAAATAAATAAATTACAATGATAATGTAATCTTAACCGATTTTGTTTATGACGGTCAACCTCACTGAGACTAGCCAACTGTGTGAGAGTGTAGATACGAGACAATATCGCAGTATTTATTTAGGACCTAACCAATAATCGAGTTTAGGATTTCTCGGTCTGCAGTAGTTGTACGTGCTATAGGCACTAAGGCCATTGAGGCAGTTACGTACTAAACACCACTACTACATATCTGCTACAAAGCTTGCTAAGAAAACTAAATGAGTATTTACATGTTCGCTGTATAACCATACAGAGGTCCTGAGTTCAAGTGTCACGCTGGACCATATATAGATATTGGATATTTATAAAATTAGATTTTTTATGATAATAGATTAATTTTCTGTGTTGAATTTGTGACTGTATTTTACTTGCTTTTATTATTATTTATGAAACGTTTCTTTTGATGTGGTGAATATGTATATGTATATATATATATATATATATATATATATATATATATATATATATATATATATATATATATATATGTATTATTAATTTTTGTTTTTATAATTTAGATGACAGGTAGAAAAGGTAGAGTGGTACAAACTGAAGACGGTCAAATACAGTACGAAAGTCGGTCCGAGGCCGACGTTCCTCTGGAAACGTTAAACTTGACCGAAAAACAAAGGTTTATGGACGGCGAGAAAGACGTCGCCATTATCTCTGAAGCTGCGTCAAGTGGTATATCATTGCAGAGTGATCGAAGGTAATGATAACTATGATTTAGCTACTTTTTTACTTATTTTTACATAAACATATATTCTGTTTTCAAATAAATAAAAGAAAATTAAAATTGTGGGTTTTTAGTAAATTAAAATCAAGTAATGACTATGTACTGGGTATCGATAGATGGCGCCATTAACGTGAGTTGTTTAAGACGACTGAACTTGTGGACTTAGCATATCTTTTGAGCACTCCTTAGATTTTCTCAGATGGGTTTCCTTATATTATCTTCCATCACCATACTAGAAAGCGCTAATTTCGTTAAAAAAAAATTACGTTAAAAAAAAACAAAAAGGTTACGAAATGTCTCATATGTTTTTTAAATTATATAAATTATAAACAGAAATTTATTTTCCACAGAGCGAGAAATCAAAGGCGAAGAGTTCACATAACGTTGGAATTACCTTGGTCGGCCGACAGAGCTATACAACAGTTTGGTATGTTGTATTTAAAGCGTATTTAGTGTAAAAGGGTATTGCTTTTTAGTTAATGTGTAGGTATACATAGTTAATTTAGAAAATTACATTGTGTAATGAATATTATTAAGTCTACATTGTCCATCCGTCTGTGAGCAGGCTCTGTCCCATGAACCGTAATAGGTAAAGATTTGAAATTTTCACAAAGTGTGTATTTCTATTGCCGCTATAAAAACAAATAATAAAAAAACCAAGATGGCGAATATCAAATGGCTGCCATGCAATTTAAAAAAAACTATTTGTACATAATGATAGATTATATCTTTTGCGATAGTATGGAATCTGACTCGTATTTGACCGGTTTATTTAAATAATTTTTTTTACATAATTGCCCCACAGGTCGTACACACAGATCCAACCAAGTGAACGCGCCGGAGTACATCTTCCTGATCTCGGACCTGGCGGGCGAGCGCCGCTTCGCCTCCACCGTCGCCAAGCGGCTGGAGTCTCTGGGCGCGCTCACGCACGGCGACCGTCGCGCCACAGAGACCAGGGACCTCAGCCAGTTCAATATTGACAACAAATATGGTGATTATGTGTTCGACATATATTTATGTATCGTAGAAATGTTTGGTTTTCTTTTTCGAAATAAGTTCTTTTTTTATTATAGGCCAGATTTCGCTTTTGATAGATTCTCAAATATGTCACATTTAACCAAGTTTTTCATCAATGAAAGCTCTATTGACCAGTTGGCAGCAAGACGTTATTGTCCATAAGTATGTATACAAACATAACGTGCATACTCTATTGCTTACATTTGCAAACTCCAGTGACACGATAAAAACGAAGAACTGACGTTTTTACTTGCTCTGCCTTAGGACGGGGATATGACACCGATAAGTTTTTAACTTCAAAAAATAGTCTATCACATTCGACGGAAATATTGTTAAAATCGTTTAAGCTATTTTCCTAACGTTTTTTTGTATATAAAAACAGCTATTGTGAATTCTATTAATAATAGTGTGTAGTAAATGACAAGATTTTAAAACATTAGTGGACTTTATATAGTGTTTTAGCAAAGATTAGAATTGTATAGTTACTATGGGGGTTGTTGATAGATGTAAATTGATAAGAGTCTACTGAGAATGTTTTAAATGATTGATTTATTAGTAATAAATTGATATATTAAAATGATTAAAATGAAATGATATGATGTGAGCGCGCCCGGGCTTCTTGCTTGCCGAATGCGAACTAGTCTAACTTTTAGTATAATAATTAATATATAATGGAATAAATGACGCGTCATGTGAAATGATGAATTACAATATGTACGGTTGTAACGTACAATTGTTAAAATCGTTTAAGCCATTTTCCTAACCTTTTTTTGTATATTAAAAACGGCTACTGTGAATTCTATTAATAATAGTGTGTAGTGACAAATAACTCAATATAAACATGTCCCCAGGTCGCACCGCGCTGGAGGCGGTGATGAAGGCGATCATGAAGTATGAGACGCCGCTGGTGGCGCCGCCGCGGGACTACGCCGGCGACTTCTTCCAGGACGTGGCCTCCGCGCTCGTGGGCGTCGGCCTCATCGTCAACAGCGACAGCGCGCCCGGCATACTGGCGCTCGACAAGGTGCGTGCCGGTGCATTTGTTTTGCATTTGTTTTGTTTTATTTATAATTAATTATTACACTATATGATTTATTTTTAATTTCACAATGGACCCGCAAAACTGTTTGCACAGTTTGTCTGTGGGATCAGAGTCTCACAATTATTAATCTTACATTATAATATTTAAGGATATTTTTGTATATATTTTACATTTATATATATTACATTATGATAATTTGAGTAGGTATGTTTAATTATGTTAAACTGTCCATATTATATTTTTAATAATTTGGTGAATTTCCTTGTACTTGGTTCAAGTCTAATATCAGCGGGCAAACTGTTCATAAGGTATGGTAAAACTGTTTAATACGTTCGTTCAATAGATGGCGTTAGTATTGCAGCTACAGATTTCATCAAAATCGGTTTGTACCCGTAGCATTAGAAAATAAGAAAAATCAGTCCAAATACATGTCAATAGATTTATTATTAATATTTATAATGTTTTTTTACAGGATTACAACAATATGTCAAAGTTTTTAAACAGGATATTAGGCATGCCGGTAGAGTTACAGAATAGGCTGTTCAAATACTTCACCGACACGCTCGCCGCCGTCATGGAGCAAGGTGAGTCGGGTGTTTTATAATTTCCATTACTTTAATATTATGATTGCATTATTAACATGTAAAAAAATAATGAATTTTTAGTGGTATTTGCTGTTTTTATATTTTATTTATTTTATTTTATTTATTTAGGTACAGAAACAGAAAACAAATTAAAAAAAATTACATCTTCGTATTAAAAACTAAAAATATCATATTAAATTTGTTCTCCAATTATGTCTGTACACAACATTCAAATGAAAACATATAATAATTATATAAAGAAACTTAACCAAAAAAGTGAATTAATACAGTATGAGTCTGTGCATTTAAATTAACGAGTACATAAGAAATATTAAAAAACAAAAACAAAATAATATTTACATTTCATGTGGAAAAAAAGACAAAGAAAAGAAAAAAAGATAAAGGAGAAGAAACAGAGAGAAAATATATCTTTATTATCGAAAATGTAAAGTAAGAACTATAATTTATTTAATTTTTTCTTGAACGATAATAAACTATTATTAAAAATGTCGTATTCATCATTTAATCTATTGTATGTTTTACACATTCTGTGTAAAGGGTTGTTCTGGGAAACGTTATTAGTTGCCGAAGGTATATTAAAAAGTTGTGGCTGACGAATCGAGTGAGTATGAATTTTAAATTCCAGTTTTTCTAGTAATTTACTGTTGAAATCGCCATTGGCTATTTTATGGAGGATACATAAATCTGATATAACACGCCGATCTTCCAGGCTTTTTAGTTTGTATTTATGAAGTCTGTCAGTGTAAGTTGGTAATTCACGCCTGAGACCTTGCCGCCTGCTTAATATTTTTAGAAATTTACGTTGTATAGCCTCGATTCTGTTAATATGAATATCATATATTGGTTTCCATACGGAAGAGCAGTATTCAAGTATGCTTCTTACTATAGTGACATACAAAACTATCCATGAGATTGAATTTTTGAAAGGTTGGGCAGTTCGGATGATAAAACCGAGTGATCTATTTGCTTTACTTGTAATGTAATCTATATGAGGCCTAAAAGATAAGGTTGAATCAAATATAACACCTAGGTCCCGTACTACTTTGACTCTAGAAATAACGGTACCTGCTATGTTGTAGTCAAACGATATTGGAGCTTTATTTTTTGTAAATGAAATGATATAACATTTATTTTTATTAAGCTCCATCAAATTTTCATCACACCACATTCGGATAGAGTCGAGATCACGCTGAAGAATTTTACAATCTTCTCTTTTAGTGACTTGGAAAAAGATTTTTATATCATCAGCATATGCGAGGCATTCACTATTTATCAAAGACAGTAGGTCATTGATAAATATCAAAAATAACAAAGGGCCTAAAATAGATCCTTGTGGTACACCAGAGGTGGCTAGAAATGGAAATGATTCATACCCGTATAGAGCTACTAATTGAGAACGGCTATCCAGATAAGAGCATAGCCAACGATAAAGATTACCATGTATGCCCAGATGGCTAGCCTTAGATAATAGTATTGTGTGATTTACTCGATCAAACGCCTTGGAGAAATCAAGATATATTGAATCTACTTGAGTCTTTGTATCAAATGATTCACATAAAAAAGTGGTATAAACTAATAAATTGGAAGTTGTGGAGCAACCAGATACGAAACCATGTTGTTTAATGTTAAGATGTGGTTTTATATGACTGTACAGTTGTTTATAGATCATAGTTTCAAAAATTTTAGCAAAGCAGTTTAAGATAGAAATTGGTCGATAATTTCTGACATCACTCTTATCGCCTGATTTATAAATAGGGGTGATTTTAGCAATTTTCCATAAAGATGGAAATATACCATTTAAAACTGATTTATTATAAATGATTGTTAATGGTTTTGATAATGCAGAAGAACAAATTTTTATAAAAATTGGTGGAATACCATCAGAGCCCGATCCTTTAGAAATATTAATTGATTTGAGTTGAAGTTCAACTGCGTCTGCGGAAAATTGTAAATTACTTATAGAAAAAATAGATGGAGGGAATTTAGGTGTATAATTAATAGATGATATATTTCCATAAACAGTTGAAAAATATTCAGCAAAAAGATTAGTAATATCAATACCAGATTCAGCTACTCTATTATTAAAATGCAGCTGTTTAGGGATATTATTAGTTACTCTCTTATTTTTAGTGTAACGATAAAAAGTTTTAATATTTTTAATTAAATTATTTTCTATATTTGATATATAAGACCTAAAACATATTTCAGTTTGTTGTTTAACTCTTGTTCTTAGGAGAGCAAAAGTATCATAGTCTCTTGGATTATTGTAAATTTTGAAAAGTGTATGATATTTATTCTTGCGTTTGATAAGTTTAATTAAACTTTTTGAAAACCAAAAAGGGTATCTATTATTGCGTTGTTTAGATTTTGGTGTGTATTTTTCTATTATTGTATACAAAATATTATAAAAAAATTGTACATATTCATCGCAACTAAGTATATTAGCATGTCTTTCCCAATCAATTTGTTTTAATTCTTTAATACAGTTAATATAATCGGTTTTATAAAAACACAATTTGGTAATTGGAGTATTTTCAAGAAGATAGGTGACCTTGCCATAATTAAATATAATTTCAAATGGAGGATGATGACAATCGAGGCGGCTTATAGGCATAGCTTTAACTAAATTAAATTTGTCCGGTTGATCAGTCAATACAAGATCAAGAATTTTGTTGTTAAGATTTGTAAGTGAATTAAGTTGTTTCAATGCTGTTAAATTAATGAGATCAAATAGAGCTTTAGATTTTTCACAAGTATAATTTATGGGATGACCTGGTGATTTAGACCAAGTCAAATTAGGGAGATTGAAATCACCCATTATACATGTTATACAACCGGGAAACATACTGACAACCCTATTACATTTATTTATAAAATCATCGAAAATATTATATGGTAAATATTCTGGAATATATGCAGTACATAAATTTAAGGTACAGTGACTATTTACTTTTATTTGTAACCATAGATCTTCTAGTATGTCAGATTTCCATTCATGCTTAATATCAAAATTAATTTTTTTAGAGATAGCTATTAGTACGCCGCCACCTCGATATTTATTAAAGCGTTTTGAAAAAATTAGATCACGATCCCTTCTTACTACCTCATACCTTTTGTCAAAGAATTCTGTTGAAAGAACGGAGTTGTCAAGCCAAGTTTCGGTAAGACATAATATATCGTAATTTTGACTTATAATATTATTACAAATCTCAGTGATTTTAGTTTTCATACCACGAATATTTTGGTAATATATTGAGAGAGCCATATTTAAAAATTAATGCTAAAAATAATTTAGTAGAATAAAATTAACGAATAGACTTAACGCTATCCATATTTTTGATATGAATAAATGGAGAGTTTTCATCCTTTCTAACGTAAATTCGGCAGTTTCGAACCCATGTGAACTTATACTGTAATTCTTTAGCCTTTTGACGAGCAGCAGCATGTAGAGCTTTGTTAGCAGGAGAAAGATGCTCCGAAACATAAACTGGCTTCTTCTCGTTGGACATTCCGATCAAAGAGGTATTAAGTTTGTTATCTGGATGAGTTTTGTTATATCTGTAAACTGCTGAATAAAATTCGTCACGTCGTCTAATATTTTTAAACTTTATTATGATTGAACGAGGCTTTTCACTCTTTCTGTTTTGTTTAGCTACTCTCGTGAAATGAACAATGTCATCATCAGCTATATTGTGACCAATAACATTGGCACATTTTTGAATTATGTTGGGGATATTTTCATTATAATGTTCGGGTATACCATTCAATTCTAAGTTTTCTTGTCGAAGGTGTTGCTCTAAAATATTGATACGATCGGATAAATCAGTAACGGTTGTTTGAAGTACGGAGTTTTCATTCCGTAGACTTTTATTATCATTAGACAACTCTTCGATTTTCACCTTCATTTCATCATGCATTTCACTGAGGAAACTAACTGATTTGCATAAATCATGAACCTCTTGTGATAGTGTAGATAGTTCACTTTTTATTACCTTCGATAGCATTGTTGGAATTTCTATTTTTATTGCTTCCAAGACTTGGTATCGAATAGCTGCAATGGCGTTGTCATCTAAGCTTGTGCTAGTGGAAATGGAAGGTGAGTTAAACGATTTTGGTTTACGCGTAGTTATATTTGAGTCATGAGATTCAGATAAGACATCTTTCTGTCCTTCATCAAAGGCGAATATCGTTCTAATTGGAGTATTTGTATTGCAAATTTTAGGTTGCTTATTTTTACACGCTTGACACTTCCAAATATTTTTAGTATCCTTTGAGTTAATCTTCTTTTCGGAGACGTTAGCACACACTGCATCATAAGTTTGGTTACACAGACAACATTTGATATATTTATTATTATCAATTTTTTTCAAGCATCCTGCACATATTCGCGATTCACAAGACATAGTTATATTTTATTAGATTAATTTTATAATTTATATATATTTTTGAGAGAAAACATAAAGAGGCTCAAAATGAAAAGAACTTTCTCTCTTGTTATTTAAAATGCAGCAGCTAAATCTATTTTTATTGTTATTTATCGGTATCCGTCAAAAATTAAACGTATGTTGTTTCTAAGTCTATATAACTGAGGTTGTGGTGTAGCGATGTATGTATGTGTATGATTGTCCCTCCGCAGCGAAGCGCAGCGGGCGCTTCGACCTGGGCATCCTGGACCTGGGCAGCGCGGGCGAGAGCGTGCGCCGCGTGCGCTGCGTGCGCTTCCTGCGCCGCCACGCCACCGGGCAGGCGCCCGTCGAGCTGCACACCGTGCACTCGGAGGTAACACGTCTGCTCGTCTACTGCTGTATTTCTTTTATTTAAACATTTATTTATTATTATTACATTATTAACTTAAGAATCCTCTAGTGAGTTTTCGAAAGTCATGTGAAGTCTGCCAACCCCTACTCGGCCCCCGTGGTGGACTATGGGCTAATCCCTCTCGTATTGAAAGGAGGCCCGCACCTAGCAGTGGGACGTTAAAAAGGGCTGAATACTAAACAATACATTCGGTGTGCCGTTAGCGCGGCATGGAGTGGTCGGAGGCGCTCGAGAAGTGGCACGCGGCGGAGGCGGAGGCGCGCGCGCGCCGCGCCGAGCCCGCGCCCGACGGCTTCTACGTGTCGGCGGCGGCGCGCGGCGGCAAGCACACGGCCGTGCTGTGCGTGGCGCAGCGCGCGCGCGCCCGCGCCGGCGACCGCGACCGCGACAAGAAGGACCTCATGTTCCAGGTCTACAGGTCAGCCGACATATTTGCTTGCTTTTGATTTTTTTTTATTATTTTGACGACGGTGATAGGTGAGACGCCATTTTTGATTTTTTGACTTTTTGCCATTTTGACGACGGTGATACTGATAAGTAAGACGACAAGTTTGTTTTTTTTTTTACATTTTGATGATGGCCTTTACTACCCCACAATATGTTTTAGTAAGCAATAATCTCATTCAAAATTGCTTGTATAAATTTAATTAAATCAAGTCTAATTTTATTAATTTTAACTTCATTCGTAATCCCCTGCTTGGTAAGGGCCAGTTGGAAAACTAATATTCACATCTCAAACTGTCATATTGTCACACTTGTCACATTGTTTGGTTGAAGTATTAACAACGTAAAAAGTGATTGAGGTGAAACACAAAACATAATTTATATATAAATATATACATACTGTAAAGTTTTGTAGCCATATATGTATGTATGTATGTATGTACTGTAATATTGCAGACCGAACACCGGTCTCCAGATCCGGCTGGAGTCGCTGTCGGAGCTGGAGAAGAAGTACCGGCGCGCGTCGGCCGAGGAGGCGGAGGCGCCGTGGCGCGCGCAGCACGCCGCCTCGCTGCGCGTGTGCGCGCACGCCTACTGGCGCTCCGCCTGCCGCAACGCGGACACCTGTGAGGTGTGCAGCTTGTACATATTTTATAATACCAAAAATCTCCATGGAGCTCATGTTTTTGCTAATGAATTTCTTCAAGTACGCAAATATTGATATTTTGCATTTTTGCCGGTAAATTGATTCTATTGGTAATGATTTAAGAGAAATCTATTGATTTTGAAATGGATAGAAGTAAAGATAATATTCATCCCAAAACCAGGTAGAGGGGACTACACCCTGGCTAAATCCTTTAGACCCATCAGCCTTAACTCGTTCTTCCTAAAGACGCTGGAGAGATTGGGGGACAGAGAGATTAGGAGCCAAATATCCCTCCAACACCCACTACACCCTAACCAACATGCCTACAGTGCAGGCAAATCAACGGAATCGGCACTCCACAGTGTGGTATCTCGCATAGGGAGCTCGCTGAATCAGAAACAACCTACCCTAGGCGCCTTCATTGACATAGAAGGAGCCTTTGACAAAACCAACTTTACCAGTATAAGTAGAGCCCTGCAAACAAGTGGTGTAAATCCTACACTCATAGAATGGATAAATAACATGTTAAAACAACGAGCTATACAGTTTACCGTTAATACTACGACAAGGGGCATCGTAAGTAGAGGCTGCCCACAGGGCGGAGTTTTATCTCCTCTTTTGTGGAACCTTGTTGTGAACGAGCTCATAACAGAGCTCAACGACAACAGCCTGTACACGGTAGGATACGCTGATGATATAGCCATCTTAATATCGGGAAACTTTGAAAGCACTTTATGTGACCGCATGAGGAAAGCTTTCAAAATAACGGAGAACTGGTGCTTGAAACATGAGCTCTCCGTTAATCCCATGAAAACAGAATTGATCATGTTCACAAACCGAAGAGTACCCGGACCCTATAAACTTCCGAAACTCTTCAAAACTGAAATAAAACTAAAGGAATCAGTTAAATACTTAGGTGTAATCCTAGACAGTAAACTGCTATGGAATAAGCACCTTGACTACAAACTTAATAAATCAACCATTGCCTTCTATCAGTGCAAAAGAATGCTAGGCAAAAAATGGGGGCTCTCGCCGAAAATAATTATGTGGCTATACACGGCGGTAGTTAGACCAATGCTAACCTACGGGGCCTTGGTTTGGTGGACCAGAACGGAACTCCGGACTGCAATCACGAAACTAGGACGCTTCCAAAGGCTGGCATTGACTGCTAACAGTGGTTGTATGAAAACGACTCCTACAGCAGCCATAGAAATAGCGCTCCAAACAACACCCCTGGACCTATACATACAGCAAGAGGCGACCAGGGCTGCCATAAGGCTGATGTACCTAGGTCTATGGGGGAAAAACAACAACCGTCCACACACATCCATATTGGACAGAGCAATAAAGCAACTACCGCTTATTGCTGCCCCGTGTGATAGAACATATAATAAACACATCTTTAACAAAAAATTTAACATAAACATGATTGAAGAGAAAATAGACCAATCAGCAGCCAACGAGCTACGAATTTACACTGATGGCTCCAAAACGCAGAGTGGCTCTGGAGCTGGGATATTTTCCCTCGATCTCAATGTCAACATACACATACCATTAGGCATACACAGTTCGATCTTCCAATGCGAATGTGTAGCCATAACGGAAGCCGCAAGGGCAGTGCAAAGACGGGAGGTAAACAATTATAGCATAAAAATCCTCTCCGATAGCGCGGCCGTTCTGCAGGCGTTAACAAACAAACAAACAAACAATAAATTAATAATGGAGTGTCACCATGCCCTCGATACAATAGCACTGACCAATCAAGTCACTGTTCAATGGATCAAGGGCCACAGCGGTTCACTAGGCAACGATGCAGCTGACGAACTTGCAAAGAAAGGATCGAGGTTAGAAGTAACTGGCCCATACCCACTTCTTCTTCTACCTTTTTCACAGGTTCGCATCTGGATCCGCCAAAGAACGCTGACGCTTCAAAATAAGAGATGGTCGCTAACGACAGACTGCAGGCAAGCTAGATTAGCATTGCCCGCAGTCAACCCACGTCTCACTAAACGCCTACTAAACTTAAACAGAACCAATCTCAAAATAATGATAGGGACAATAACGGGCCACTGTCCCTTAAACAAACACTTATTTAACATTGGCGCAACGGACAGCCCTCTCTGCAGAGGGTGTTTTAGCGCTGTAGAATCAGTCGCTCACGTAGTCCTGGAATGCGTAGCGGTAACTTCCCAACGAAATGAAATCCTCGAACCGGTGAGGTCGCTCCGCGAAGCCTGTGAAGCTCCCAGGAAGCTTTACCGCTTTTGGACGCAGTTAGGCTGGCTGAACTAGCCAGGATTCGACAACGGACCAAATGCGAGTCTAAGTGCGGAAATGGAGTCCATTATACAATACAATACAATATTGTTGATTTTGAGAAAAAAAAATTAATCTTCAAGATGTATTTAAACCGTAATATCTTTTTCACTTTTCTTTGCTGGATATCTGTAAAGTGTCCATGAGTATTAAATTATTAAAAAAAAAACATTTTCTCATATGTATGTACCATGAACGAATTAACCACTGGACCAGACATATAGGCGGACGTACCTTTAACGGTCATGTCAGTAACCAGGGAATTTTAGCCTAAGTCGTTTGTTTTTTGTGTCAGTCTCAAGCACTTACTTGTCAACAAAACATCTCCCAAAAATGACTAAATGTTCTGTTAAATGGTGTAAAAACTATAACGGCGGAAGCAGCACTATTTCTTTTCACTTGTAAATACATTATTTTATTACATTTATCGTTATTTATCACAAAATTTAATTAAATGTAAAATAAAATGTCATATTATCCAACTATGTTAAATATAGTCGATATTTCTATGTATTGTTGACATCTGACAACCATCATAAACGGGCTGGATTATACCATTCAGAACAAATGACAAAACTGTCGAGTGAGTCCATTTGACATCGACTAGTGCTTGACAATGTCGAAAAATATATCGATATTTGACGAAATAACTGAAAGAATTGTGTTATTTGTACAGTACAATAACATAAAATACTTTTATCACAGTATCCTACAATCTGATGACAATAAATTTATAAAAATATTTTCTAAATCAAATAAAAATATAAATGCAAAAATTATAATTAGTATGTGTACTTAATTTTTTATTTTATTTTATACCACATTTATATACTTTGGAATATTATTCCATTGTAATAATAATAAAGATCATTTTATTTCAACACATAAATTACACAAAATCAAACAATAATGTTTTATCACTAAACTTCTGGGTTGGCGATTTGTAATAAAACACTTTACCACTTGCACTAATTATTTTACTTTCACGATCCAACACTCACTTTTTCACAATTTGCAATCGCTTTTTCTTTTTCCTAATTTCACAAATGTTTATTAAGAACTGAGCAATAATAGGACAGTGTCACATTTTTATAACTACCCGAGACAATCAATTGCCAATTAAAATAGTTCAATAACAGAATCAACAAAATCGCTTTATTTAATTAAATTAGCTTAATATTTTTTTAATCTTTACAAAATAATACTTATTATATATTAATGGAATATACACCCGATATTCATTTGTTTATTATCATTAGTATAGGCCAACAGAATGTTGCCATCAATGCTATATTTATATAAATCAAATTAAAAAATTATTATTATTTGACACATTATTATTGCCTCTTTAATTCATTTATTTTAATAAATACAGATATTTTAAATTAAAAGATGTAAAATACGATGACTATGCTAACCAATGTCTAAAATGTCATTCATTGGTTCATCGATATATGTATTTTATCGATTACGTTCAAACACTAGAAATATTGTATTGTGTATCAGTGTTTATAATAATGTAATAAAATCTTTGTGTGCGTTATGCGTCACTTGGTTGAACTAGTTTTCATACATTTGTATTTTATGTCAGGTCCAGTCTCTAATTCGTCCATGGTATGTACATATTAATGTAATTGTATCAAATTGGTAATTTTTGTCTTTATAATTCCGCATTTAGACAATGATACTGTATATATATTAGGTATATATGTATGAACACGTATGTCGCGCAGGTGGGCCTGCGCGTGCGCACGTACAACGTGCTGGCGGGGTCGGTGCTGGCGGTGTGGGCGCGCGTGGAGGCGGCGCTGGCCGCGCGCTCCGCCGCCAAGATGCAGGTCGTGCGCCTCAAGACCGACGACGGCCTCAAGATCGTTGGTCGGTATAAGTTTTTCTACAAATAACGTTGAATAATTTATCGTTAAATCTTTAAAATTTCAGTTGTGTAAATTTGACATTTTAATATATTATATCAACAAATTCGCGCCAGTCACAGAAGTGTACTTTTTAGCGTTCTCTGTTTTGTATAACTTGGATGATGTTCTAACTTAAATTGTATTTTTGTTGTACGCTTACGCTTTTTGTCGTATCGCTGAATATGATTATGGCTATATTGAACTTTTATACCCATACATATATATATGTAGGAAATTAATGCTATAAATTGTTAGCAATAGAATTTTCAACTAAAAATTTTAAAAAATATTCATGACCACTCGAAGATAAAATATCTTCGGAAATCGTTTTCGAAAAATATATATTATAAACTTTTAAGAAACCAAAGTCAGTAAATAAAAACTTAAGTATTTATTATGAATGTCAATAAGCCATTGGATATAATAATAAATAAATATTGAACAATCCCACAGGTACGCTTATTCCAAAGAATTGCGTGGAGACGCTGAAAGAGACGCTGTCGTCGGACGCCGTGTCCGTCACCGAGCAGACCTTCGACCAGCCCGACCTCAAGTGAGCGGGGCCCGGGGCACACACAGTTCCTCTATCTCTTTATTTTATACCTCGGGACCATAAACGGTTGGAGAGAAACTTGCCAAAGGATGATGGATTGTCTATGGCAATTGGCAGCGCGTCGTCGGCCCCCAGTCCCGCCGGGACCTACCGAGTCAATTACGGCGGCACGCAACGACGCGGTACGACTGATTTCTCATAAGTTCTTCGCTAATTTTATGCATACGTAAATGTGCACCTTAAGAAAGTTTACTCTACAGGGTATTTCCGTTTCCATTTTTTATAATATAAAGCTCCGTCTCGCTCTCTCTCTTTTTTTATCTCTCTCTCGCTCACGCGCGACAGAGACGGAGATGGAATGTCCGCTTTCTTAATTTGCGCGAGTTAGTTCCAAGTTTTAAATATGTAGGTATCGTTTGGGATCGTCTAAGATTTGTGATATGAGTGTTTAATATGGATAATATGGTTCCTTATCTGTCTCCCGATTTGTATGCACACGTGCATTGTTTAGTTTTATATTTTATTTATATGACTTTGTATGAGATTGTGGAATTTTGACATGGTCGATGGTACCACCAATGGTTCCGATGTAAGGTTTATATGGTTTCGTCTCAATTCTATGTTAGGATGTTGTATACGATGTTCGTTTTGTACAAATGTAAGACCGTTATTTAAAATCCCTCACTCGTGTTTAGGTTATCTTAAATATTTTTAGACTCGACATGTATTATAGATGTTATTAAAGAGATATTGTAAGCTGATATATATATTTTAATCGTCTGTCACAATTTTCATAACAAAACACTCGCTTTGTATTTAAATTTACAAATATATTTTTTTGTCTGTGACTTGGAAATGTGACTAAAGCTATCGTAAACTGTGTATCATTTCATTTTCGTTCACTAGTTCTTTATGAAAGAGGTAATGTTGTCTATTATAAGTGCAATAAAAGTCGTATCAGACGAGATTTGTAAACGTAGCGTTTCTATCATCGATCAAAAAAGTATTAGATACATAATCCCATGCTAAAGTTCTCTTAAACTGTCACCAATTGTGTTTAGGTGATTATACTAGTTGAAATAAATATACAACAATGTAACTTGAACCTTAAATGCAAGGCTTAAAGTTGTTTTAACAAAAAAAAATATTAAAAGCGCGCTCAAATGTTCAAATGAGCGCTCATTCGGTGAGGACACTTTGTCGCTGATTGTGTACCTAGTCCTTTCTTTATCGATGGTTTCTATTGATAAAATTTACAATATAATTAATTGTATTATGTGAATATTAAATCAATATCTCTTTTAGTGTTTGCGTTTGAGCAATGTTTTAAGCAATTTTTAATACGTCATAGTTTTAAAGTACACATACTGATACATTTTAGTTATCTACAATGCAAGTGGACAGTGAATAGTGATCAATAAATTCGGACGGCGGACCTAGTCTATTTAGCAGAAATTATACCAATTTGTACTTTCCATAAAGTGGAGCTTCATAGACTCATTAGTGTTGATTTTTTTTATTTATATATAAAAAATACACAGATAAAAATGATATTATAATATAAAAGCTATTTTTATGAATTTCCTGTAAAACATACTGCGTAGTTTATGAAGCTCTGCTTTTTGTTATCTGTAACACCGTCGTGACTTCAGTGTGGTAAGAAACGTTTTATAGTATAAAAATGAAGACAAATATTACTTTTAATGTATATTAAGATAATTTGTCGGATTTAGATTTTTTGAAATGTACATTCATAGTGCAAATTGTTTTGGATGTTAAATCACAAATGTCGAATTCATCTCTGTCTTTATGTAAAAAGACAAATAAATGTATATAATTATGAGAAATTTGTTTTATTGTATTGTGTAGCACCTCTTATTTATATTTCTTCAAGTATTTTTTTTTGTTATATGCGACTTTGATAAGGAAATTCTTCAGAAGCCAAAACGATAACTTTTGCGTTTCTAAGTTGAAAATTTACCCACTCTTATAATGTTGATTTACATCAACTTATTATTATATTCCGAGAGCTCGCGACGAATTTTGGGAAGGTCCTTTTGGCAAGTTGAAATTGTGAAAAAATATAATTTCGTGAATTGGCGAGTTCAGTCCCGCGGGTCTGGTATAGCTTTAGCGGTTATTTCGCTACTGCGCAGTATACAACTTTTGCAAAAATAATATCCAAAAAAACATATTCTTGGCAACTTGATTTTTGTTTAATCCTTTAATTTAGCTTTCATATAATTCAAAAAAAGAACCCCAGACGTTTTTGTCGGTTATAAAGTATTGCCAGATCTCTCCAAAGACTCATTTTTTTTTAATTCCAAAAAACATACTTTTGGCAATCTGAAATTTTAATCACGTATTTATTGAGTAATTTTCAATAATATTTGCAAATCGCCAGACGAATTTAGCTGTTTTAAACCCTTCCCAGACGTGAATAAAGTTTACAAATTAGTACTACAAAAAGTCTTTTTAGGTGTAAGAAAGATAGCTTATCGAGGTATGCCAGCAGCTGATGGGGGCCCAAGGTCCTCACGCTGTGATTGATTATCGAGAAACCGCACGTTTCGAACTCATGGTTCGGGCTCTGCGTTCACAACTGAGTATTTTAGGGTTTCGTACTATTATCTATAAAAATAGCATAAAAATCACGTTTGTTGTATGGGAGCTCCCTTAAATATTAATTTTATTCTATTGTTTTGTATTTGTTGTTATAGCAGCAACAAAAATACATCATTTGTGAAAATTTCAACTGTTTAACTATCACGGTTCATAAGATACAGCCCGGTCACAGACTGATAGACAGGCGGACAGACAGCGGAGTCTTAGTAATAGGGTCCCGTTTTACCCTTTGGGTACGGAACCCTAATAAACTACTCTAAAATACTCAGTTGTGAACGCAGAGCCCGAACCATGAGTTCGAAACGAGCGGTTGCTCGATAACCAATCACAGTGCGAGGACCTTGGGCCCCCATCAACTGCTGGCATACCTCGATAAGCTATCTTTCTTACACCTAAAAAGACTTTTTTGTAGTACTAATTTGTAAACTTTATTTACGTCTGGGAAGAGCTTAAAACCGGTAAATTCGTCTGGCGATTTGCAAATATTATTGAAAATTACTCAATAAATACGTGATTAAAATTTCAGATTGCCAAAAGTATGTTTTTTGGAATAAAAAAATTAGTTTTTGGAGAGGTCTGGCAATACTTTATAAGCGATAAAAACGTCTGGGGTTCTTTTTTTTTGAATTATATGAAAGCTAAATTAAAGGATTAAATAAAAATCAAGTTGCGAAAAATATGTTTTTTTGGATATTTTTTATTGAAAATGTTGTATACTGCGCAGTAGCGAAATAACCGCTAAAGCTATACCAGACTCGCGGGACTGAACTCGCCAATTCACGAAATTATATTTTTTCACAATTTCAACTTGCCAAAAGGATCTTCCCAAAATTCGTCGCGAGCTCTCGGGCTATTATAAAACAAGTATGTATTCACCAACTTACGATAACTAAACATTAAAAGTCAAACCCTAGTAAAGTAAGTTTTTTTTATTGATGCGGTGTTTAATAGAACAGAACTTTTACTAACCGTTGATTTTGAAATTCCAGCTGAAATCGCTAACACCTAACAAATATAATTTTATTTAATGTCGATATTCGACCTAATACTTTAGTTGAGAAATGGACATATATCTACTCCATGAATAAAGAATTTTATGCCGTAAATATCAAAATTAAAATTGTTTTCTTTTCATAATTATCAATGGCTTTCGATAGGGGAAGATGTATGGAAGTTTATCATTTATGTAGTTGAACGGTGTGTTTATATATTCGTAAATAAATTATTAATTGTTCATCATTTCAGGTTAAAAAACCTCTGTTTGATCAATCAATGAGGAATCTTATTAATTTTAAAATAACCACAAGTCATATAATGCGCCTCTTTTTACCCGATTGAAGTAAATTCTAAAAACAGTTTATTGTGTTTATTACGTAACACTTTTTACTTTATAATTTTTTTTGTAATATTATATATTTTTGATTCCATTTTCCGAGTCTACTCGAGCTCAGACCTTATTTTATTATACTATAGATATATATTTAAAAACAAAACGCAGTGTGATTTTTTCTTTGTGGAGGGTTGAGCTAAGGAGAACCAACATAGATAGGAAACAAGTTGAAGTGTCCACTGTCCTAAGGTGAGCAGCAAATTGTAATTCAGAAACTCACCGATATAGCGCTAGCGTAGCAAGTAGACTTGATTTGAATTTAGCAGTTTTAAGCGGAGTGAAGTGTGCTGAATTATTATAACTTGAAAATAATATGTAATTATATTTTATATCGGTTTTTGCCTATGTTGAACTATTTTGAAAAGTGCGTCACAACAAAGCAGAAATATTTCTTTCCTTGTTTAATTCACCATCTTACTCTTATGGCTTATGGCACTATGTTTTATATTCATCTAGTTGTTTTCTGTGGCGCCACCAATTTGATGCTTGTTAGCGGTCACTTTTTATATCGAGATAGTTCTTAGTTCTACTCTCCATATTTTTTTACCTTCGATAATGTCAAATTGTCATTTTTAATTTTATTTGTCATCCATGTTTTTAATGTCAATGTCAATGGTTTTGTGATAATGGTCGTCTTTGTGCGGCCGTTTTTATATTTATTTTCTACTAAATTGTAACTGAAAAATTTGCATTTTTTGATAAATATGACTGAAAAAGAAATTACCATGGAGCAGTTAGAAGAAACCGTGAGTTGCGTGCTTGATTTTTATATGAATTGATGTTGATTTTAACGGGACTGTATTTAGGTCAAGCGGCCGCTTTTCTGCATTTCATTATTATTACATTACGAGGTTCTTTCCATTAAATAAGTTCTCGAATAAGTGACTACGAACTATTACTTTGTAAAGTACAAGTAAAAAGATAAAGAAAAAAATATTTCATACAATATTTTTATACCTTTGAGGGCGCGCCCGAGTTCATGGATAATAATACATAGGGCATTGTTTACATTTCTAAATATCTACTTTAGCGAATAAATTTAAATGTAATAAGTTATGAATCACTATGTAGAAATCTTATTAAATTGATTTGTAGGTAAAACGCACAGATGAACAACTAGATCTTATGGAGTGGAAAATGGATAATGTGGAGAAGCAGATGGTTGAACCTTTATGCAATCAAGATGTTTGTCTTGTGAATCTACTCAAATCTGTCTCTGAGGTAGGGCTTTAGGTTTTAAAGTATAGATATAATGGGTAGGTTACACCTGTATGGTAATTAAAAAGCTGAACATAACTTTTAACTAATGTATTTTGTGTACAATATTAACACCTATATAATTGCCTAATTCCATATTTAATCAAATCTTGCTAAATATTTAACCTATTCATTCATATTAAAGGAAATCCTGCCTTAATATTTCAAAACAATGACTCACTTTAGAACAATATGACACTGTACTGATTGTTGTTTGAAGACTTGTCACTAATTAGATAACCAAGAGTCAACACATTACACACCAGACCACTTTACATATATATTGGTAGCATAAAATAAAAACTTGTATAACAAAATTAAAAGGAATGCAATATTTATTTTTCAGCCCCTTGCATATTAGTGTTGGAAAGGTCAGAAAATAATAATTAGTGTATCTACATATGTTGTCATGTTGCTTGCAGCTTGCTATTTCTCTCGAACATAATTAATTTTGAAGTTGATTTTCTTACTGTAAAAAATTCTGTTCATTTTATATTAAAAATAAGTAAAAATCCTACATATTAGCAATAACTTTGGTATTTTTATTTAAATTAATTATAATCAATAAAATTTTAAATTTTTTATATGGATATATAAATTTGATATATAAATGTGATGACTTCAATAACATTGATTTATTAACAAATTAACAAAATTCATTTGAAGAAATAGCAGACTGTAGCTATCATGCTTGTTAGCTGAGGAGGCTTAAATGTGGTACAAATTTAAGCCGACAAAGCCTTATGAACAGGGCCAGCTTAGTACAGGGCTTTGATAATATTACTTTGTTGCCAGAATTGCCATCTGAGAAATTATTGACTTTTGTCTGTTATATACATAGTTGTTTATCCACAAGTTGTTTCTATACTGTTTGTTATTTGTATATGTATGTGTCATGCTTGCTGAAGTTTATCTGTCTATGAGAAACGTCATGTTGTTACTGTCGTACTACCATTATTATTAATCGTAATATTTGCAACAAAAACTGTATTTATTTGCTATCAAAAGAGCCAGCATGATACAGATTTTTTAAGCTTACATCTTAGGTTGATTATCTTCATGAAAATCGCAGTTTCACTCACATGATACTTCCAATGGACTTTTTCGTCCATTTCATTTTATGTTACTTTCTTACCTGTGGAACATTTGCAACATGAAACATAAATTTCTAAGCCTCTCTCTCTTTCTAACTGCTTTTGTGTGAAATAGATAGAGCGCTGGAAATGTTGCTTCATCATTTCATACTTTGATGCAATTTCAAAAGCAGATAAAACTTAATATTAGAATGATCTTTGTTCTATAGAGTTCTATATTATTCTCAAAGTAAATGTTTTCAATTTAAATATTACACATTAAACAGATGTCAACATTTGTCTGCTTTTGAATACGCATCATATAATCTGTGAGAATACAAAAGGTGCTTCACACTGCACAGGTGCGTTCCGACTACCAACAGCTGCGGGCCGAGCTGGTGGAGGTGCAGGCCTTGCAGAGAGAGCTCTCGACGCGGCTGCGCACTCAGTTACGTCTTGTTCATGGAAAGTTTGCGCGATTACGCCAACGTATCGCCGCCGCATCGCCTCCGCGCTAATCCCATAGATCATATTTAATCATTTTGTTTATCATATATGTGCGAGTTTTCATTTGTATTGCTTTAAGAGCTAAATTGTTTTTTATATACGATTTTTCTTATATATAGAATTTATTTCCCATACCATACATATGTATGTATACTATGAGTCGCTGGACATTTTTCGATATCATATATTTTTATATGTTTAAAATGTATTTCTTAATATTTTTGTACATGTATTTATTAATTAATTTTATAAAATTACATTACTTGAATACTATTCATAGTTCCACTCTCGTCATATTATCACTATAAATACGAATAATCGAACACGTGCCAACATAGACTTAGTAAAACGCACACCATTCAATATTTCTCACGTTAAGTAACAATGATCTCATAGTAAGTTGTGAGTCTTTATTGTATTATACTTAATTAATTCGTGGTTAACGCGATTTACTGCGATAAAAGTGATCGTATGAAGATCCCTTTAGAGTAGGCTCCACTAGTCCGCGTTAATTCACGTTTGTTTTCCATAGTTTCGTTCTAGTATATTGTAAGTTTGGTGCTACGCATGTTGCGAGTGTATGGACGCTACATATGAAATATGATAAAAAATGATTTAATTGTTAAATACAGCGGCATCTGGTTGTATTGCAAGACTTATCTTTCTAATTATGAAGTGACAGTTAAACGTTTAACTGTTCGATCGTGCTGCAATATATAGAAAAGGGAATTCTATACTTAATTTCTTATAAGAACATGACATTATAACTAGATTCCGCTGTATTCAGTAGCTTGAATTTGTAACGATAAAAACAAATTTATTTTATTATATCCATGTTTTGATATTGTGAAGGGTTTTGGCTTTTGTTCAATTTAAAAGGAATTCGCCCTAAAAAGGTTTAATGCAAACCTACAAAATAACAGTAATTATAACCCAGTCGGGTTGTCGAAAATAAAAGCCTAACTCCGAAAATATTGTAGTCCAAAATTTTATTTCATCAGCTTTTAGGGATCATAAATTTAAAATCGCTACCAAATTCGAGCGGTGCGTTAGCTGCCATCTTGATTTAAGGAAGAATCGTTTTTCCCAAATATCTCGGCCCTTTTCAGCCTTTTAATTAAAATTATGACAAATAAAGTTGTTCATTTGAGTTGCAGATTTTTTTGTGCTATCGATATTTTCGAGCTAAGGGCGAAAAACAGGTGAAATGTAGTTATTGAATTATTTCGTTCGACTTTAGGACCAAAATGTACAGGAATGGCTGGTGAAATAATATTTTGGCCTAGAATTTTTTCGGGATTCCATGCTTACCCGACTGGGCTACAGTACGGATGAAAGTAGACTTAAAATATTCTACTTCACGTTCGAATTTAATTCTATTTTCAACCAAATATAACATTTTATCTGTGCCCACACTACCGATGTAGTCATTGGCTAACGAGAAAATAAAAAAAATAAAATGTCAATTTACAGAATGGTCAAGAGTTTGGAAAACTAGATCGAATTTATAAATGTGCTTAATGAAAGTGTTAATGGATGGAAAATGGTCGTTTGGTTACGGTTTAGAATAATTGTAAGATAATATTGATATTTTTATCTTCTCGATTCTAAATTAATCTTATTAAGATTTTGAGCACTTATCGATTATAATGCATTTCTTTGCATGAGGCTCGTTTAGTTAGTGTATTGAAAAATTAGGTGACTTTTATTAGATTTTCTAGAAATATTTTATATGTAGTGAAATATATTAGTGGTAGTTGATGTTATTCTATTGCATTTATTTTGTTTTTATCACGTTATTATCGTTACACACATATCGTGTTGCATGCTAGTTTATATTAGCTATATAAAGTGAGCTGCATCGGAAGATTTTGACCGTAGTGTGTTACTGCTAGAGTAATATTCTATTTGCACTAATGTCTGCCGATTGTACTTGAGGTATTTGTACGCATGATGCGAATGTTTATTTTCTTCTCCCTGCCCATTTCCCAATCACTTGGGGTCGGCGCAGTGCATCTTTTGTACTGCTGATAGGAGTCGGCGAAAGTTTTATGACCGGCCGCCTGTCTGACGACAACCCGTTTATTTTAAATCATTCTATTAAAAGCAGAAGTGTGAGTGAAATTCTTATATCACACAGCTTACTATTTTATGCAGTCGTCTAACAAAAGCGTCTAGACTGGGCTATCGCTGGTGGTGGTGGGGTCTCCCGATTGTCCTACATACTTTTATATGATAGTTATGACTTGGGAGACGCTTTAGGGTTGACGGCTTAATTGTGCTATCTTTGGTTGAAGGTAAATCTAAGATATAAAAGATTTGCTTTATTTTTTACATATAACTTAATATAGCACCTTATTTTACTCATAAATCTCGATCTTGGCTTCTCCATTCTACGGGGAAACAATGGAATCGAATTGGTGAAATAATCTGTGCTCAACTGGCACATTTGGCGGTTATTAACAAGAAAATTGAATCGATAGGTGTTGTAACTTGCCAAGGTCGTTGCCATGGCACTACAGCGCTACAACTTCGAAACCGTTATTTGAAAATTGGTATTTTTTATCAATTTGAAATCCGTACAGATAAAAAATAAACAAGGCCTAAACAAAATATATGTTAACCGTACATTACATAGTACATATTTTTGTCTGTTTCCAGAATGTTCTATTTCATTACACCTTTTTTTTTTTTTTTATGTCGGGAAATGCATTTACGCATACCACCTGATCCTCCAGGTGGTGATGTGGGGCTCACCGGCTAGAAGAGCCGGTACTACCCACTAAAACCCGACATTCCCCTCCCCTCCGCCTTAATGGGACGCCGCAGGATCGCTTGCGCATAACTACTACGGCGCCCCGGCGGCAGGTCTGCCTAAGCGCTAGGCAGACCACCAAACCAATGGGGCTGCTCCACAGTCAACTCTGCTACGCCAGAGAGGTACCCGGAGCAGCCCCATTAAACCTAACCACCGCCCACCGAAGTGGGCCACCTCCAATCGGCTGCAGAGGACAGGGAGAGCGGCAACGAAACACCGACACTCCTCTTCCCCTGCAGCCCCACCGCGTCCGCCATCAAACGGTGGCGGCCCCGTCTAGGCCGCGGAAGGTAGGGAGAACGGCGCACCGAAATACCGACACTCCTCTCCCGCCGCGGCCTACTCCTCCGCCGGATGCGGGCCTGCGACCACAGTCCCGCAACCGGCACCCATCATCCGGTTGTGGGACCAAGCGGTCCCACCACCGGTGGCCGCAACGTCTTCGGCTCGAGTCCTAGACGAACGGCCCCACCCAAGCCATTTGGTCCGCACCGGATTTCTCCGGTACCACCCGCCGCCCTAAGCGGGTGGCATTCCCCTATCCGCCACCTGGGGACGCGCCCGGTAGGAGTTGGCTTCTCCCCCGGGGTATTTCATTAGACCTATTAGAACATTGACCTATAAAGCAAATAAGTAAAATAGATTTTTTTTTTAATTTGCATATTTTTTGAGGCAAAACCTCTCATGCAGCTCATTTTAAAACTTACTCACTTTAATGTTAACAAAAGTACATGTCTGAACTATGTCTAAGTCGTAGATTCTAACTTACCACGTATACCTTATTTACTTACTAGATTAGCATCCTCGATGGTTTTTGATGTAATTTTACAAATATCCATTTGACTTTTTTAAATTTTACATTTCATTAAAGTCAAAACGGTTGTGTGAATGCGAAATGCGAATGATTGACAATTTGGCCGTGCGGCCGAGTTGAATTTAACATCGAATATGGATTCTCAGTAACATGATATAATCTCCTCCATAGAAATGTACACGTTTCTTTGTATATCACATTAATACTTTATAATAATTTAATAAAAAAAAAACGTATTTCAGGAAGAGATTAAATCGCCTGTACTAGAATCTTGATTTTTTATTTGTTATATAGCTAGTTGAGAGTTTTCATTTGTTTGTTTTTGCCAAATTTGTTGTGTATATATGTAGCCAAAGTTTTTGTGTATACTGCATACTATCACGTAAAAAATGTTAAAATGAAACAATTTCTCATACATTTCATTAACTATAATAGTTTTATTAGGTTGCTTGCAAGAATCCGGTCCACTAATAAATAAATGTTCTATTGCTTCAGATATATTGTCTTCAGCACGTCCATTTCACTACTACTCACGCTACTCACTATACTAAATAAACAGAAATTGTTGTTCACTGCATTTACTCATATGTTAGTCCTTCACACGAGGCCAGTTATACCTATGTTGTGTTTTTATCTCTCTCTCTCTCTCTCTCTCTGGGGTCGGTCTCTCATGTCTGAGGATCGTGGTCAGTGTTAGGGTTGCATCTGGAGCGGATGATCTGCCTCCACCGGTTTCTGTCCAGCGCGTTTCTTACCACCGTGTGGAATTTCGATGACGAGTCTTTAATTTGTTGTTTTTATATAATCAAATATAAAAATAAAGCTTTTATATAAAAAGAATGTCATACCAAATCGAAAAATTCTAAATCTAAGAAAAATTAATATTGCCAGATTTTACTTATTCTTCAAGTAAAAAACTATTTGCACTAAATCTTTGTCCAAGGGCAAGATCAGGGGAGCTTCGGCTGATGGCTCCAATATAATTATGTATGCTGCATGTTTAAGTTTCTAAAGATCGATTAGGACTTGGCTTGGTCCAGAATATCCGTACAGATAGTATGGCTTTTTGCTTGCTATTTTCAGTCTCAAACAACGATTGTCTTTGGCATACGCCAAACGTAATTTTGGTAGACCTACGTTTTGCCAATATTTCGCGTGGGTTTTGCGCTTTTGAAAACGTATTACTCGTATTACGAAAAAATACTTATAGATATATCTTTTCTCATTTAGTTATTTGATTTCTAAAGAATACACACACACACACACATATATTATATATATATATATATATATATATATATATATGTAATCATTTGCTTATTATCTTCAAGATAGCCTAGACTTTCGAAATAAAGTAAAAAAAGGATTTTTTATGA